TCTCTCTCTCTCTCTCTCTCTCTCTCTCTCTCTCTCTCTCTCTCTTTGTACTGTACATTTTATGGCAATGCAAATAGCGTCCGGAATAGCGTATACGTGCCGCTCTATGTGTATAAGTGTTTCGCATTCATGTTATCTGATGCTTGATCCATGGCAAATTCATCTCTAATATTCCGAAGACGATGAACGGATTCTTTAAATATTACATGAATGAATTTAATTTCCATTTCGCTGTAACGCACACACACACCCTCTCTCTCTCTCTCTCTCTCTCTATCTCTATCTCTATCTGTTTCGTTTGCTCTCTTCCGCGCGTCGACATTGATGAATTTATTTTGCATGGACCCGAATGTTTTCAACACCATTTGAATCGTCGCTCAGAATTGTTAGAATGCCTTGATGAATTATAATGCATTTGGTGACAGGAAGCTGTGCGTTATTCTTGATGGAAAAATGTCAAATGGCGTTGTTGTCGATGTCATCGTCGTCGTCGTCACACAGGAAAGAATTAATTTCATTTCTGGCCTATTACATGGGCTTGTTCATTTCCATAAAATCGTGTTGGCAAATTGCAACGTTTTTTTTCTCTCTTCAGTCAGGAACACCATTGAATGTTTCAACATTTTTCTATATACATTCTCTGTGTGTGTGCGTGTGCGTTGCTGTTTTTTTGCTTTCTCATCCGATGGATTCGTCCGCTGCTATGGAAAATTCTACTCATTCTGTACGAATGTAACAAGTCGGAAAAAAACAAGCACACACACCAAGTGATTGGAATAAGGATAACGGCGGCTGGACTGGCTACAGGCAAATCCACTCACAAATAATAGCGAAAATCGCACAGTAACCCAAATAAGTACTTAAACCTAAACCATGCATATGGCCACAAACAACACAAAGAATACGTTCACATAACACAAAAGATTTAATCTGTTTGGGACTACGTAATCTATTTAATTGTCGAATCGTAAATCCGTTACAACCGAAAGTAATTAACCATCCATATGAATGATTAGTTTGAGTCGGTTGTGTTGGGCAAATCAAAATATTCGCCTCATTTTTGGTCTCACTTTTAGACAAAAACTCGGTATCCATCGGTCGAATTATCTCTGTTGTCTGTCAGCCAGGGCAAATATGTACATATTCATTTTCGGTTTTTCTGAACTCGGTGCATTTATGAGTGCGTGGGCGTAGGCGTGTATCTCTGTGTGGTCATGCCAAATTTTGAGTTCAAATGGCCGCATTCACTCTTCGAATCGGACCATAGCCGTACACGCAAAAATAATGATGGCCTATTTAGGTACTTATTTATCGGGGCGCATCGTATGCTTGATGTCAAACATTGAATCCAACACAAATAATTTCCGACACATTGAATGTCACCATTTTCGGAAGTTTGAAGTTGGAAATTTTCAAAGTTTTCACATTGAACAGAGCTCAGGATTTGTTCCATCAAAGCTGATTCGTGCAGAGCTAAGCAACCATTAGCAGAGCCAAGAGTATAAGCCATGTTCATTCCATTTTCCACATGCGAATTTTGGTGGGTGGACTTGGATTCATTTATCTGACCATTATTGAGTGGCTCTGGCAATAAACTCATTTCGATCTCTCGACATCGACTTTATCGCTTCACAATTTCCACATTAAGACTCAAATTATATGCTGGAAATTCATTTTCATTTCATCCATTAAATTTATCTTCGTTAATAAAATGAGTTATTGATGTGTGTCGCTGTTACCGTCAGAGCCATATCTGCATGCATGCATAGTTCGTACGGCTGGATGCCGTTCACTTAAGCCACTTGATGGCAAATTAATTTTATACACAGAAGAAAGAGAGTGTGAAAAGAGAGAGAGAGAGAGAGAGAGAGAGAGAGGGGGGGGAAGAGGGATAGCAGGCGATGGGACAAGAATTGCATAGGGCATTTCTGTGAACACGATCACATTCCGATGGAACAATAATCAAACGTGCGCAATGCGATGAAATTTCATGCTGCATATCGCATGCCCACAATGTTTTCAAACACATATCACCGCAGGCACTGAACAATGCTAAGGTACAACATTGGCATATCGGTACGGTTAAGTTTGGTTCCGCTATGTCTTGCACAACTGCATGTGATTTCAATCCAATTGCGCACGTTTGCAAATAATGGATATGAACATTTTCATAATAGCATTGATGATTTGTGGCGAACAAGAGTGGAGAATGTACATCTTGTTATTACGACGGAAAAAAAGCACAACGTTAGAAAATGGCAAAAACAATATGACAGCGATGAGTGGCCAAAATAAAGCGCACAATTTTTTTTCTTATAATTTCGAAATTCAATACCGAACATGCCAATCGGTTTTGTTCGTAGCAAAATTCATTACGACCATGGATAAATGGCTAAGAGTTATTTTCGGAATTCACACAGAATGGAGAAACGGCAAAAATTCCGGGGCAACGAATTGAAAATATCCGTTTGACCTTTTCGATGTGTAATGCGTTTGCCTCTGCTTCAATTTAATTTGGAATAAGCTTTTTGCAGAGGCCGGAAGTGAATTGTTTTCTTTCATTTCTAATTGGTGACTGTTTTCGTGCGGTTTATTCCGGTCACATTTGGGCGCAACTAACAGTCTATTGATTGGTAATAGCAAGAATATTTCATACATAAAACATTGTAATTTGATTCTCTTATACATCTTGCACGACAATCGAATTCGGTTCGATAAGCTCATCTTTCAATTCTTGGTAGACGAATCGCATAAGAGCACCATGAACAACAGCAAGAACAATACAATGGCCTAAGCCAATATGTCAGTGGCATTGTCGAAACCAAATTATTATCGAAACAGGTGATTTACTGTTTGTTGATTATGTGTTTCGTGCTTTTGGACAATGAACATAAATCCACCTTTATTTGGCATTAGAGAATTCGATTCGATGAGCTCATTCCGATTGGATGTGGTGCGAAAAGATGGGAGGAATGGTGCGAATACGATAGATATAAAGGTCAGAGACGAGAACGAACAGCGAAGTAGAAACAAATGAACTTGGACTAAACGCGGTATCTTGTGAAATGTGAATATCAACATTAATTTGTATTAAATCCGTCCCTGATACGGCCAACAGACGGTTTCGCCCACGCTCAACATCATCAACCGTTCTTTTGTACGCACGCAATGTGTGTGTATGTGTATATAGTCGCAGCGCCGAAATGGATTAATGTAAGTGTATTGATCGGACGATTGTGTCAAAATGACGGATTGAATTTTGCCTAGATTGAAACATCTTTCAAGTTGCAGCCGCCCATTGGATTCAATACCTTATTCAAATTAATTACATTCATTCAATGAAGATTTGCCATTATTCCAAACGGTTTAGAAGTGTAACTACGAAATTACTCGCGCTTTGCGTAATGTAATATATTGCCGTTGATGATCTTGGAACGAACCTGCACAAATGTTTTAAATCCATTACACCAAACACTTGCTCCTGTTTAATGCATCCTCTTTCGAACAACACTTCATACTTTTGAATGAACATCCCTTTTCGGTGCTCGAATGTAAATGGCTATAACAAGGAGTAGAAGAAGAAGATGAAATGGGGTTTAGTTTGAACAACAATTCAAAGTCTATAAAAACTCAATTTCGATACCTTGTATGGCATTTCAATGGTGGGTACAGTTTTCAGTAAAATTTTCAAACAAGTTTCCACATGTATTTGCGTACATTCGGGCGATCCAACCAGCTTATCCAGTATCGCAACGATTGGCATCATTCCACCATCCTTTGGATTTACATTGGCACCGTATCTACAAATGAAAACCAAATAAGGCAACATTAACATGGAGGGAATGAAGTGGGAGAAACTTGAGGGAAAAAAGTCAGCACAAATTTGAAATGTAAAATTGATACAATTAGTTTTATTATTGCATTGAATGACCGTATTTCTCTCTCTCTCTCTCTCTCTCTTGCTCTCGCTCAATATGCACAACCATTTTGATTCGCATTGAAATAACGACAATAACAATTGTCTATTCGAATCACTTGGAAACAAATCAAATATGTTTGGAGACTGTTGAAGCCCTTCAAATGCTGAATGGTGAAGGCGCAGTTTTTTTTTTCTTATAGAAAATCCAATTCGTCCGCCATTTGTGAAATTTATGGCATCATTTCGAAGTGTTTCCTTTTTTTATATGTATATAGAGATACATATATTCATTTCGTCGTCAATGTCATTCCGTCTAAATCGATCTCATTTCGAGTGTCATCTAAATGTTCGTCGCTTTTATTCGAGTGAAAATAAAAACGGTCACACGTTGTATCTCCGGCCTCATCTATTCAAAGATTTATCGCTGAATGTTTCGACCATACACACTCACATTGAATTGATGCATTTTTAGCGATGATGGTGATCATTGAAAAAAAAACGCTGACTAAAATTGCAATTATATGTGTCGAACACACAGACAGAGAGAGAGGGAGAGATGGAAAGCAAAAAAATAGATACATGAACTATTTGATTTGATTTGGCCTTGCTGCAAACTCTTATATGCGCCTGAATACTATCGATTCCATTTTCCAAACCACTTACATAGAATATGGCGTGAATGGTCAAGCACTTAAAATAGGAGGGAAGACAAAATTAGCACCAGTACGCCTCGTGATATTTGATTGTGTGACATCGATAGAAAAAGCTTATAAGGCGACAACAAAAAATGTCATCAATGCTTTCTTATCATTTTCATTTGGTCTGTGTTCTTCATCGATGCCTTGAAGTATATACACATTTATCTGTCTATACATCTATCGACCAAAGACCGAAATGACTTTCGACATGCTGACACCAATTCAGGTTCTATTGATTTTGTTCGGTTTTTCGCTTACGAAACTTCTAAGCACTGTGCTCTTATTGGCGCACACACATAGACACAACGAATACCATGCATATTAAATGTTTTTGGTACAAATAGCGCAAACTTTACACTATTGTTTGCAATTAGCCATTTTATTGCGAACATCAATTATCATGGCATCGTTGGAATTGCAGCACTCTTCAGCTTCATCGTTTTTTCCACTGTGTGTGTGTGTGTGTGTGTGTGTGTGTGTGTGTGTGTGTGTGTGTAATTTTTAATGGGGAAAAAATAAAAACTGCCACAACATTGTGTGTTATGCCGCAACGGAAGAAAAATCATAAAAACTCAATAGCCCAGATAAAAGACTGGCTGCAAAATTTTCTTCGGAAAAAGTGTGGAATGGTTTTTGATGAGAATGAAAAGAGTAAAAAAAAACAACAAAAACCAAAAAAATTCAGCTATGATTTAAAGGATAATATACGAGGCTTTTGTTTTTTGACTGCGTCAACCATAAACCAGAAGAAATGATTTTTGTCGAGGCACAAAAACCATAACAACAAAAGGTTATCAGAAAAAAAGGAGAGAGCGCTCAATCGCACTACAGAGAGATAGAGAGAAAGAAAAATGAATGAGCAATAACAGCAAAAAAGGAGCCGCGATGAAATGTAAAGGAACGCAAATAATACAACAGCATAAAATACAAAGGAACACATAAAATTGTCCATCAAAAGCTGGCTTGTATTTATGTTTGTGTGTGTGTATAGCCAGCTCTATTGAGATTGTAACTCAAATTGAACGCGCCACACGTTATGTGAATTTGATCAAAAACAAAGCCTCGTTTTCATTTAGTAGCGCGGCGTCAGCAGCAGCAGCAGCAGCAGCAGCAGCAGCAGCAGCAGCAACTGGGCAATGTTAAAACCCTTGTTTGTACTATCAGAAACAATAAATAATAATCAATGATGTAAACACAGCATTTTTATACTCAATATTATTATTTTACGACCCAACATAATAAACACGCACATTTTAACGCAAAACAAACTCCGGAACTTGCTCTTACTTTTCTGCTATGGCTATCACCTTTGAAATTAAGGGCCATTCAATCAAGAATGGTGAGCTAGTATGAAAAAAAAAACAGAGTGTGTAACCAAGAGAAAAAATCAGAATAATCATTTCTCGTGCCGAGGATAAAATCGGCTTCAAGGTTTTTTTCTTCTCCTTCTTATTCTTCTCGCGAATTGTCGTGCATTTTATCAGTGCTCAAGAGATTTTACAGATTTGTGTTCTATGATCCCCTTCGGGGCAAATGACCTGAATCGAAACAATATGCCATGTATTGTTATGTTGCTGACACGTTTTGTATGCGCAAAGATTGTTATTCCGCCGACCCGCTCACAAATCCCACTGAATTATTGAATAGTGAATTTCCGCAGCAAAGCGCGTGGCACAACTTCTTCCATGTTTAAACTTTTAACTCTGTCTCTATTATTAATTTATCATAGCCCGATGCAGCGGCAGTGGCAGCAGCACAACTCCATTTCAATGCTACAATTTGTTGAATGATGATTATAGCTATCGTTGAAATGCAGTCAAACTAACATTAATACTCAGTTGTACATCTATTTACGATGTTGAATAGATGTTTTCTGCACAGATCAGTCTCGAATAATGAATGAAATGCTATTGAGGAACTAAGCCAAAAACTCATGGCAGACACAACGGCGGCATTCTTTGTTATTGAAACATAATTTGATTTATGATTTAAGATAGAATAAAAGATGCCTATGTGTGCTCGAAACAAACTATCCCACTATGATGATGCATCGCTAGCAACTGAACCAATTAAAAGAGTGGCTGTCTCAGTTCCGGGAGGGAAAGGAAAAAAACATATAGCCTTGGAACTGAATAAAGTGGAAACTTTTCATTGCTTCGTCTCCGGATTCAATTTTAGGGAAAAAGCATTTCGGGAAAACAATTTACAAGTATTCTTTTCGGAATTATCTCGATCACATGGATGAAAAGTTTTTGAAAGACACTTGTTAAGATGACCAATTTGCAAATTAATTTGCTCACAATGTTGCAATTTATGCGAAAGTTCTATGAACAAAAATGAACAAATTTCATAGAATTCGTTTGTCAAAATCCATGATACGCTGTATGTATGCTGTGTGTATATCGTGGAAACGCATAAAGCCGGCATCGTTGTCAACGCATCGAAAAGTTTTCAAGTCTCAAATATGCCACTACTTATTTGAATCTATTGCACATAGCTAGGTTGGCAACAAATTCATAAGTAGATTCTAAGCATTCCATTAATTTCATTTATTTACTCAAAACTATTTCACAGCATTTTCTGCACGACGTGACACAGATAGAAAGAGCGACGAGAGAATGAACATTGCAGAGTGCATACATTGATACATATACACAAGTTTATGGGTTTAAAGCATTTTATGCGTTCTATGAAACCTAGTATGAAACCGTGTTGCCAGCCAACGTTGCGGTAATTCGGCGAATTGTGGCATTTAAAGTTAACACATTCACGTGCCCATGTAAATGTTGTGCTAGAGAAGTCAGTAGTGTGTTTGTGTGTGTTTATGAACCATTTTAAAATAGTTGACGATAACTAGGCAGTGAACATATTCACGTTTATCACTCGTAATGGTGCTATGCTATGATGTGCTTGCGCTGCAACAATCATTTACATTTTCGCGACACATTTAGTGCGTACAATCGTTTCAATGTTATCACAGCATAGACACTCACTCGCTCATTCACTCTCTCATTCCGTCAATATTCGCGTTGAAATCAAAATGATGGCGTACATAATGTGTTATGCCAAACAAGACTGAAATAACTCTGTACGTTCACTCTTGCTCTTGCTCTCGCATCCAATTTCTCTATCGTTTGTCGGCTGCCGTCGTTAGCTTCATTCTCCGATGTCGATTTGACTGACGATGCTTCGCAAAACTTGTTTCAAAGTGCACATTATATTTTATTTTATTGCCTTCCAAGTGTAATCGCGTATTTGTGCCACCGTCGCCTTTGCAATTGAGTTCACTATGCTCTCACCTCTACAACTGAACAGATGTGAGCGCCGTCACCACCCACTCATTTCATGCAACACACAAAGTCACGGCAATAAAACATTCATACGAAATAATCCAGGAGTAACATTTTTCAATTGTTCGAAATGGTTGATCGTAGCAATGAACGAACGCTCTCTTTCTCTCTCTCTCTCTCTCTCTCTCTCTCTCTCTCTCGTTTGTGTGCGTTGGCTATGTTGTATGTATGGGAGCTTTTACTCCAATTAATTTTTAAATAAGCCATACATGCACTTAACATACGGCAAACGGCAAAATTTATATTTGCTAACCGAACATAGACACACATACACAATTCAGTAGAGCACATTCAAGTTAATGTTTCCGATGGCAATAGTGATACAGTAAACGAGCGATTGAGCAGCAACAGCAGCACGATGAGAGAGAGAGAGAGAGAGAGAGAGAGAGAGAGAGAGACGGGAGAGAGAGAGAGAGAGGCGGGAGAGAAACGGAATAGGACCATATTGACGGGTTTATGTATGTATGTGTCTCGGTATCGGTATCGGTATCGGTAACACTATTTGCGACATTAAATTGTTTGCACATGCGAAGCACAACAGCAAACAATTTAAATCAATTCTTAATGTCAAGTTTGTTTTACTTCAAGTTTCCAGCACAATTTATGGATGGAAAATACAAAATGGGGCGTTGCAATGTTCATCGTCGTTTGCACAATGCCACAATATCGAGCAGAGACATGTATGAGCATTTAGTGTTTAGTCAATAAATTTTCATAATAACATTAATGAACAGGGGGCGGCTAACGGTTTTTTGTTTGAATTGTGCGACTGATTGGAACGTAATGTTTTTGAATTAATGCGGAGATAAAACTCGTAGTGAAGCGCATTTTATAACATTTTGCGTTTAATTTCGATTGCGGATAAATTCTGCTCCAAATAAAACCAGCTATAAAACATGAACTGAATGAACCAATTTAGTCAAAATTATATACGCATTCACGCGCAACCCGATAAAAAAAAGGTCCGAGTCAGGATTTTTGGCTAAACGACGACCATGTCGTCCATCGGAATGTAGCCTTGTGTCTGAAGATTATGGTTACGTTGGTTTTGTTGCATTTTAGCCTGCAGTTGATTTGCATAATAATTTCAATATTTACAGCTTGAGTGCACACAATTGGCGGTGGCATAGAGAGCTTATTGGCGAAACGCGTTCATGTGGAAAATAAAGCATCACAAACACTTACCGAAGTAATGTTAATAACAAATCAGGTGAGGACGCTTGAAGTGCAACACGCATCGGGCTTGCCTTGCCGCAACTGTCGATGGGCACATCAATAAATCTATACAGAAATGAAAAGCATACGTTGTTTTAATAGAAAGTCTCTTTTTCGTTTCTTTTATTCTCTGAAGAAGAAAAATATGGGAAAATTTCTAAACGAAATAAATCGAACAACAAAAATTGAAGGAGACACTAAGAAAAAGGAAAAAAAAGAACTGAAACTTTCGGGAACATCGATTGAAGTTCGAATATTTCCTGTTCAGATGATTACTTTGGATTGTTCGACGACGAATTCGGAACAAAAGTTCGAAAATACAAGTGCAAAAACTCTCGATTCACAAGAACCAAACGAATATTCCATGATTCATTCCAAAGTTTATCGCTTCGTATGTATTGTTGAATTGCAGCAGACAATTTTCTATCGATAGGTTTTTGGTCAATCCATCACACACACACACCCCTTCCGACATTACTATTCCGTAAACCCTACAACGATAACCAAGCACATAAAAGACAAACAGAAAATCTTTCACTTTGTCCGCTCTGGGCTATTCGTAAACCCGAATTGTTGTAAGAACACGTTTTATTTAACTAAACTATTAAACTTTCAAATACATTTCTCTCTGGCGCTCTCGTTGTCATCGTCGTTGTCGTCGTCGTCTCTCTATTGTGTATTTTATCAGAACTTTGATGACGGACGCCGATCATCGGATGCAATTTTTCTCTTTTATTTGCTTACGAATTGCTCGAAAGCATGGCCAAATAAAAGGAGCCGCCTGAATGCGAATAAATGGGAAAATGTAACAAGGATATGACCATCGGAAAACATTTCGACATTGTTGGATGTGCAATTCTTTTTCTGCTATATTCTATTTCCATTCCCACTGAACATAATCAGTTCCGACGGAGCGAGCGAGCGAGAGAGAGAGAGAGAGAGAGAGAGAGAGAGAGATAGAGAGAGAGTGAATGAGAAAAAGTTGTTGTTGATCGAATGCTGAACGATGATTATGTGATTTCTTTTAATTTGTTTTGTGCATCTCTGCGAATGAACTCTAAAGCTAGATTTTGCGATTATTCACTTCTTGTTCCGAATTCGATGTTGCATTCTTCTGATAGAGAGAAAAAAAAGACTTTCATTCGTATACGACAATGTTCACAAACTCAGTTTTAAACTTACTCTACAAAAGCCAGTTGAACTTTATTATGTGAAACACATAAACAAAAAAAAATGAACTTCCCATTTGATGGTATCGAGCATGCATTGTGCGTAAATGAGTGCTCTTCAATGCAATTGCGCGCAAGGTCTCAAGGTAAACAACACGTAGAAGGAAGAAAAAAAAGCGAAAATATGGAGCAACGTTCAAAAGAATCTTGCATATTCATTGCTCAAGTGACACGGATATTAGGGCCATTTTGTAACTTTATGGTTACTATCATCATTCAACTTGGCAATAATAAAATAATACAATTTGGTTTGGTTTTGGTTCGTCTGGCGGTGAAACGAAACTGGTTTGGTGGGCAAGGGAGATCATGTTCAAAATGAAATAAGTTTTTCGAACAGAAATCGTATAATCGATTTTTCTTCATTGTGCTTCACATACATACATACACAGAGAGTAAGAGAGAGAGAGAGAGAGAGAGAGAGAGAGAGAGAGAGAGAGAGTAACAGAAGGGAGTGAGAGAGAGAGAGGAAGGGATAGCGTAGCAGCAAAAGACGCGGAGAGAATAAGAGAAAGTTTCATTTGACTGAAAGTGTCACATCAAATAACTTTTGAAATATTAAAATAAAGTCCATATTCGGGCGAGGAAAAAAAAGTTGTAAAATGATGTCACACTCAACTACAGCATCAACTTTCTAGGGGTCGAAAATGAGCACGGTATCGCTACCAAGTTCAGAATAACAATTTTGATCAGCATTCCTTAAATTTCTAAAAAATGTTTCGAAAAGATTTTTCATTCAAATCTCGGCATTATTGAATCGTCGTTAACTGAGAATTCGATCATTTATATTTTATTCAGACAATCAATTTCACGCCGCTCAATTTTAACTTTCATAAAGTGTGTATCCAAATCTCTCCATGTGACAGCTTCGTTGATATTGATTAGATGAAGGGAAAAAAATCTCATGCACATCCTTTCGAATTCGAATAAAACGTTTTATTCCATTATATTCAACCCCTGAGTTGGTTTCATTTTATGTTCGATAATTATGTGCATACAGTGCAAGTGTGTTGTGCATGGCGTTCATTTTTGATCAGACTCATAAAATGCACGTTTCCACGATTTTCAACCGGAAAAAATTACAACATGTGACGTACACACACAGAGACACAGCGAATGTAGAAAAAAAGAGAGAAAATTAAATGGGAAAAAGAGCTGATGTATGGATATTGAAAATATCCGCTGGCAAAATCCCGATACTGAATAACTTTTGTGCAAGACAATATTAACTTCGACTTTATTCATTCTCCGTTAATTTATGAACTAGATTCGCGTTCTTGATATCACAGGTGTTTTTGTGACATTGAGAGTGTGTGTATTTTTGCTGGTGGTTCCAAACGAAAGTTTTTGGCAGCACTTGCCATTCAAATGTAACGATAAAGTTTCGCTTGGAATTCGATTTGATTTCACAAGAATTTTCCATTCCTTCTGAGCAGAGAGAAGAGAAGAATAACACGAGGCCGAGCCATTTTATTTAAGACGCACACAAAAAGTGCATTAAAATGAGTTTCATTCCGCTGGGGAGTTGTGTTCGTTCCAAATATTGGAATTTTCTTGTTTTTTCTTTCGAGTGAGGTGTTTTTCTGTGGCAGTAAAACAAAGACAATAGACATTCGCTTTTTTCGTCTTCTTCTTTTTTGGCTTGGGCTAAATTTTTTGTATATTGTGTCATACCCATGTCCGTTCGAGTTCATCTCTAAAAATATATTCACAAATTAAAAATTAACGAAGGACAACTGACAAAGTCAGTGCTCTATTTACGACAATAATACAAAGACCTTCTCGCTCTCACTCACCCAGACCATCACAATATTTTGTGCCATCCATCGTACGAATGTAATGTTTACTTTTACTCGTTCACACAAACACACTCCCGATTTTCATCCATGTTGTTTGTATTTAAACAAAAGCCTTATCAATGATGCAAATGGTGTCTTTATTTCAGTTTGAGCTCTTTCTTTTCGCTTCATCTCTGTGCAGCTCACAGAATAGCAAACAAAATGAAGAGAAACGCGATTCTACTATCTAAATACAACCTATGTTGATTTTGTTGATGATGCTGTTGTTGTTATTGTTGTTGTTAGCCCACTTTTATTCTTTATGTCATTCGCTGTTCTGTGTGTGTATGTCTTTGGAATGCCGTGTGCAAGGCGCGGATGAAAAGAGAAGAAAGGACGACAGATAGAGTTTCGCGCACCAATGAAATGAAAAAAACAGAAAAAAAGAAACCGGCAGAAAACGAAATAATAACAGTAAAATTATTCATTTTGCACAAGTTGAAGAAAATTTCAGTCATATTATTGTCATGTTTGTAGGTTGCTACTGCAATTGCTTCCACAGTATCCAATCTATTTTGCATACGCGAGAAAAAAAAAAGAACATACCGAAAAAAAACTTGTTGGTGAATATGAATCAGTGATAGATGAAAGAAAAGACCAACAGAAGAGAGAGAGAGAGAAAGTGAAACGATGAGAACGCAGAGAAAGAGAGAGAAGAGCAGCGATGGAAAACAGTATTTATTTTCGTTAATAATCTTATAATGCTGAGCTTTATCGTATGTTGACTTGAACAATATTTTTCGAATGAACCACTTTGGGGTTGAAGTGGCTTAAGCCCACCATATTCGCATTATTATAATAAAAGCGACAGCAGCAGCCAGCCAGGCAATCAACAATTGAAAAATCCGAGAATGGATGATAATTTTGCTCTTTGTGTGAAAGAAAGCAAAAAAAAGGTGATACTACAAAAAGAGAAACCGAAGCACTCCAGCTAAGCGCCAATGAATGTTCTATAGAAAAAAAAAGTTTTAAAGTATGACATTATAAAATGCGAGGAAAAAGTGAAAGCATAATAAAAAAAAATGTTCACCAACGAAAATATAGACTTCGCGCGCGGTAGGTAAAATGTTATGGTGGAGCGTGTGCACAGGCACACGGACCGCGACACACTCGCTCAACTTTTGCGCCCGAGATAAGCACACACACCGCTCCCTCATAGCCTGGGCTCTACGCCAAAGCCACGGCAGCCATGATATTGATAAAAGCGACACAAAAACATTCTAATTAAGAAAACCGACGTAAAATTTTATGCGAAAGCATTTTCGTGCCGTTTTTCTCCTCTCTTTCTCTCTCTCTGTTTCACTTCCTTGTATTGTCACACGTTGGAAAGGAGCGAGAAAGAATTTTCTTTATCAATTTGGCCTCATTTTTAAAATGCAATTTTATGCCATGAAAATTCATCCTCATTTATTTTTCGTGTCTCACATAGTTGCTTGCGCGTTCGATACTGTTTATTCAGCGTATTTCATTAAAGAGAAAATCGTTCGGCATCAAATGCGCATTTGTTAAATATTATGAATCACGTTCCAGTGAATTTCTCCGATTTTGAGGATGGAAAACCCCAATGGAAATTGCCACAAAACAATGCGATCAAATGATGAAAAAGCCTTCAGTTGTCTTGAATTAATGTCCATGAGATTCGTTAAGAAGCGGGAAAAAAACGAGACGCAGAAAAAACGAATGAGCAAAAGAATTTATTTCATTCGGAAAGTATTAATCCTTTTTCATGAAGCAAAATGCAAACACTTGATCAGTTGATTTCGTCTCGCATTTCGTCTGCCCACCCGTTCGCTTGTTCACCCATTCGCCTGTTTGTGTGTTCTTTGCCATGACAAAAACCGAAAAATGATTTTATTAAGCTTCTTTTCGAATAAAAGTTCTTCGCCCTTTTTAATAAAGCATTACAGAATAAATATTGACGCATTATTAAATTATGGATTGTTTGTCATGAACACCAAATGCGATGAAAAAATTATGAGCTTCTCTCTCTCCCTCTCTTACTCTGCCATTTTCTGTACGCTTTCAGACATCATGAAAAAAAGCCGACGATAAGCGTGTTTAATGTAAACGCAAAGTTAAAAAGCAAATGTATATAAAGCTTGTTTTAGCATCACGTTGATTTTATCATCGCTTGATTTGTTTGTGTTGGATTTTTTTTCATGCGTCTTCATTTTCTTTCTCGATCGTTCGCTAATTCTCATTCGCTGTTTTTCTCTTATTATGTTTTTATATTCTTAGTTTCTGATCTGGACATATAAAATTGACCGATTACAGAGCACAGTGCCTCGATAAAACTGCGCGCCCATGCTCTTGATGCTTTAAAGAAAGAGAGAAAAAAAACTTTTCGACCGTCTGATCCATGGAGAAAATTTCTTTCTGTAAACGATTCAAGACTGTAGGCGATGAATATAAAAATAGTAAGCGGTTTGTGTTCGTCTTGGAATGCCTGTACCTTCTTGGTACAGCGATATCTGTCTCGCTACAGAAAAAGACAGAAAAATTGGGAAAATAAAACTTTTAATTGATTTAATATGTTGACGTAATGATGTAAAATGCTTTTCCAATGCATTCAATGTTCGAGGCCGCTTCTTTGATATGCTGATATCTCACAACACACCCTCGCCATTAATCATTTGACGAATTCGACGTTGACGTGTGATGATGCTCATTTCCAACATAATGAAAAAGTGAACGAATATCGAAGACGAAGAAAAAAAAACACGAACCAACATAAACAGCCCAACTACAAACCAAACACAAGCTCACTTCAAATTTGAATATTTCCCGTATTTTTTTCCATCTCGTCCTCTCAATGTTTTTTTTTTGTTGCGCGTCTAATTTACAAAATGAAATTCACCTGAGAACTTTGGTGCCCTCGTATTTATTCAGATGAACAGGAAACTCCAGCCGAGAATTCTTTGCATGTTCCAGATAAAAAACGAGCGCACGAATATTTTCATCCTAGTTTTTGTATTTGGTTTATTTAAAATGATATAGAAAGTTAGATGTAAAGTAAATATGATGGGTATAAAGTCAAATCTCTGTATAGATGATAAAATACCCGACCGACTTTTGCACGGCATACAATTTAATTCAGGCTTACCAGGTAGGAATCTAAAAAGGTGAATACGATTGGTTTGGTCTGAAAGGGGGATCAATCAAATTCAAACAATTTAAAATATTTAGCTTGATTGTTTCGAATGTCAGATGCTGTCGTGGGAATCAGAGTGCGAAAGGATGGGAGATGAATTCAATGGGAAGCCATTTACATGTCCTAAAAACACAGTTGACAACCAGCAAAGGAATAGATACGAAAGCAATGTGGCACAATAAATAAATGCTCAAAGTTATGTGTTTAAGTGAATATCCATGGCAATGACGGAATTAAATGATAAGATTCAAATGCGGACTGTATTCAAAAGAATATGAGGAAAATGTTCGCTGTCAAACAATGAACGAATGAATGAATGAATGAGGAATAATTATTATGACTTGTTTGCCTACTAGCGTTTTTATTGAGTGCATAAAATGCCGATGGTTTTTCATTCTTTTCTCTTTTCTTTGCTTCATATGTCCGATTTTTATGACAAAGATTCTAAAAATACAGGCATCATTAGTTAAGCTGTTGGCTAAGCATTTGTGACCTGATCTAGAAAATCGCTTCTCCATCCAGCGATGAAATATGGAGCATTTGAACCAAATATGGCACCGAGATATAAACGCTCAAATGTCTGTTCGCATTGGAAAATCTCATCTGAAAATGGGAATAAAAACGAGAAAAAAAATGAAAGAAAAAGAGATATATATATAGAGGGAAGAAAGAACATCGAAATGATCCTATGATTTTATATAATAATAGACATGTCATTATTATGTCACACTCTACATTGTTTTGAGCGCTCATAATTTATTCAAATTAAGTTGTTGTTTATTTCTTTTGTTCATACGTAAAAGCTTTTTCACCACATCCGAATCGGTGACTCCCCAATCCCAGGCTATTTTCAACCCAATATACAGCACATTGTGATACTTGCCCATTAGGCACACCTAAAAATATATATATAAATCACACGCATTAGGCTTTATGTCGTATTCCAAACTTTTTGCCAGCATGAGAATGTTTTCTTTTATCTTCAATCTCTTGATCGCTCACTCGTTCACTTTGGCGCGAATCAACGATGGCTTTTTTTCTCGTCAAATACTATTTTAAGCGTCCTCGGCTCGTTTTCATTCGAGCACACAATAAGGCATCGTTTAATATAGTATATTCACCGTCGGGGATGGGTGAACGTTACAAAGGATTACATTCTGGTGGATTGGAGTGAAAGCGCAAGAGTTTCGAAATCGCACAATAGAATCGGGATTTAAAGACGGTGTGTCACAATGGAAGCAAAAAACCTTTTCACTTTGGCCAGAATGTCATTCTTTGTACGGTTGCGCCACCTCCTTTTGGCTCTTAATTTCTAGATGGTTTATAATCTCACATCATTGTTCTCATGCTTTTTACTCTGATGATAATTAATAGCCGAAATGACAGCCAATGTACAGGTTTCAGTTGCAGATAGATTTTGACCTATGGAGAAAAACCACAATTTGTTCACATTGTTAAAATGTTGCTGTTGTTCTGTCGTTAATTTTACACTCTAAGCATATCAAGGCTGTTTTGATTATTATGGTGGATTATGGTGTTGGAGACTGTGCTAATTTTGTTATTTTATTCTTTTTTTAAAAGTCACTTTTGTCGCACTGAAACACTAGCAGCAAGTTGCGCAATGCAGTTGCCGTAAGAGCTGTGTGATGATATGAAAATGACATTTGCAACCACCATTCAACACACACACACACACACACACACACACACACACACACATGATTTATTCAATGGACAAACCTTTTGATGTGCCTAAAATAATTGCATTCAAATGATCGATAACATCGCGACGTTTTTTTCTCGCTTTTAATCCGCTGCGCTCGAGACGCGCAAATGTCTCTTCGAAAAAGCAATCAAAAATCAATTCCATTGCACTTCGATCTAATTAATTCTAATTGGCCGAAGCACCATACAAAATGAACATAATATATAACAAACACAATTAAAACTCAATTAAAAGTCTTCGATACACTGCAATTAAATGTGTTTGGGTTCAGTATACAAGCAGAAAAATAAATAAGAATTGAAAAAATAAATCCGAATGCACATCGAATATCTATAAAAATCAATTAACAATGAAAATAAAATCAAGACTGAAAATGAATTGATGGCGATTTCGATTGTTTTCTTCTTCGAAATAAACACTGCACACACACGGGTTGTTTGAATGAAGAATACCAAGTGAGTGAAAAACCACAAACATGATTTCGGACAGTGTTTTCAGCATAGCACAGCACTGCACTGACACTTAGTTCGTCGAACGAAATGTATTTTTTGTTGAAACCATACGGTTGTTTAAGCTTCTTCTTTTTCTTCAACTTCCATTAAGTATACATTTTCAAATCTATTTTCAATGCCCTCTTGCCACTTAACGGCTATCGAATAACGTTCGCTTGCATATCCCCAGACTGAGCGACTCGACTCGTTTAATTTGCTTGTTGTTAAATAACGAAATAGCACATAATAATCTGAAGTGGAACATGTAAGTCTTCAGCAAATGCAATTTTCTGCCATTTTGGAAAAAGATACTTTATTTCAACTGCGTCAATTGGAGCGGCATGTTTAATGTTTATTATATTCGATGTTCGTTCGTACGATGAGTGACAACAACAACACTACCAGCAGCAACCAGCATAACTGAAAGCACTGTTTACTTTTTGAAATTTTAAAGAAAAAACCTCATCTATCATATGTTTTTTTTTTGGTTTTGTGATGCAACCGCATTCGGTTTCGTTATCATTTTGATGTGAATTTTTCTTGTGCTTTGGTTTCGATGTTTTTACCGGATGTTGGGTTTCATTCCAATTAGTCGATTGTGCAAAAGTGTGGTCATTTGCTGGAAAATCACAACCGAGATCACTGTTTGTAACGGTTCGAGTTAATGAAAGCATGTGTAAAAGCGGAATTTCTCCCATAAAAATTGTATCATGTCAAATGGAGGGTTTTGATTTAACATATTTTTTCCCCTTTTTTTTACTCCATCATCGTTCTGCAAACATTTGTCGTTTTGTACACCGAAATTCTGTTCGCTGCTGCTTTTTATGGGTACCACAGCATTTTTATAACCTTCAAGTGAATGCAGGAAACGAGATGGAAAGGAAGAAAATAAATTGGAGCCGTTGAATTGTTTCTAATTTTTTCACTCGCTCGCTCGTTCGTTCGTTCGTTCGCTTGCTCGCTGAGCATCATTTTGAACTTAATATGAATCCGTTGCATGGGAGCCACCACGGTGCTCTATACCTTATACTTATTTATTTATTGCATCGTGTATTTTTTGTTCCTTTCTCAATCTCTCGTTGCTTTCTTCTCTTTTTTGCCGCAACTCTTTTGCAATTAAAATGTACGTGGAAGTTGTTGAAAGAATGAAAAACAGGAGCAAATATGTGTAATTACTTGGGCGAAAAACAATGAGAGAAAAAGACGAATGAGAATGTGTATATATTTTTTTTCGTATCTATCTCTCTCTCTCTGTCTGTGTTTCTTGCGCTTCCTCGAGTGGACGGGAAAGAGGAAGAAAGAGGGAGAATTATAAGAGCAAGTTGCATGATGATAAATAATTGAGATTCATCGTAATGGGTTACTTGTGCGACGATAAATTATTACATTGTAAACGCGCGGGCGCCACACCGAACAACACTCGCTAAAAGATATTCGCACAATATTCACCGTAGCGAAAGCGATTGGAGCGCACATTCAGAGAACGATGAGATGTATGTGCCATTGCGCTGGGATAGCTCGTTTTCAAGCTTCAACCAAGATTAATATAAATAAAACGGCACCATACCTAAACTCCGAAAACAAAAACTAAGAAAGCTAAAATCCCGAATTTGGCGTGTGTGAGAAGAGGAAGAGAACAGGACCGAATAAAGTGCGCGCGAGTGAAGGTCTTGTTTTTTCGGAGTTGTAGCTTTTTCGGAGTTTCGGCCCATTCGGAAGTTTTGATTCGGCCCATTCGGAGTTTTGCGTTCGGAGTTTTGACTTTCTTAGTTTTTGTTTTCGGATTCATGGATGTACACCAAATAAAACAAAGTAGAAGTGAAATAAATTTAAAAGATAATTAAAGTGGACTTTTTATTTTGTATATATCCACATACATACAAGTATACATACGAATATTTCGGTTGGTGTACGCGTGTAAATGTTATTTCTTCCGTTTTATCAATATTCTTTTGTTGTCATTTTACGATGCGGTGCAAGAGATGAGATACACCAACATGGGAATGGAAATGTATACGAATTCCGGTGCGATAATTTGAATGTACAAAAACAAACACAAACACAAACGACATGACGTTTCCGAATTGAAAACTTGCTAACGTCCTACATCTTTTTCTCTTCCTTTTTTTCTCTCGCAGATTATTGTGCAATAGTGACAACTTTGATGAGTCGTTTGACTTTGAAAGCCGCGGTCTGGTGACGATGAAAGGTAAAGCCGAACCCATGAATTGCTGGTTCTTGAATCGATCCAAGAGTGACTACGTCAATATACCACATCCGGAAGATCTATTGAGATAATCAAAATGAAGCACTGCTCCAAAGCACCGAAACGATTAGACAGCGGGGTGTATGTGCTCTCCGATCCAACACCAAAAGCCCCGCAGAACAAGTGAGCGCAATCAAGGAAGAGAGAACGAGTTGTTTGTCAGTAATAACACAATGTGGCACCACACAAACAGATACACATTTTGATAGAGAGAGAGAGAGAGAAAGAGAGAGAGAGAGAGAGAGAGAGAGAGAGAGAGAGAGAGAGAGAGTGATGATACATTTGCATCATTTTAACTCGTTTTTATTCACATTGCCGTACGCAACGTGTATTTATGTATATGTAGAAATATTATTCTGGCTTCAAGGCACATTTTTATCTTTTGTTATTTTTTCTGCCTTCTTCGTTCTATCTCTCTCTGCAATTCAAAAACTCCACAGGAAAAACAAGATGGATAAGTAAAGTAAAAAATTTAAATGAATTTTTATTTTATTCGAATGTGTAATATGTTATGAAGATAGTCGATTTTATTTCGTAAATGTGCGTGCAGAGCCCATTTAAATTACTTCCAAACAATCATAAATTGAAAGCTTTAAACAAAATATATTATTTCTACAGATATACATAGACATATATATAAAATATTTAAAAAAAATAAAATGCGAAAAAAAAGTAAATGAGTCGAATGGGATTACCCATCTGAATCTCACACATAGTCGCGACCGAGACGCAATCAAAGTTTGCGCACTTCGTAAAATATGAAAAATGCCCACAATCACAAGCAATTAGTTTTCGCTTTAATCGTCATTACTGGTTTGCTTTTCTCTCTTTCTCGCCCGTTCATTCTTCTATTTTTCATCGTCACATATTGACTTTAAAAACGATTTGCTAATAAATTTGCAATCAAATACGTCACAAGCAAAATTCTATACCCATCGACTGCTATATATACGACAGCAGTCATGTTTGAGATAAATCAAAATAAAAGCTCTTTTGAAAGTGATGGTGCAGAAAACATGCAAATCAGAGAGACACACACATACCCGCGTGTGGCACGAGGCGCGCGTGTGAGCTGCCATGTGAGCTCGTGCTCGCCACACACCAAAATTTCGGAGGGGAATGAGTAATCTAGATACAGTGCGAAATAGCGGTTTCAACTGTTTTTGGATGAATTTACACTAATTTTAGGGGAAAATATGTTATTGCTTTTGGGAACGCTCAAGTGGCTACTATTCATGTACGTGCCAATAGATAGACACGCACTGGTTACCAAGTCTGTGCAGTTGTATATATTTTACGAGTTGCTGTGTGCAAAATTTACAATACATACAACTGCACAGGCTTGGTGACCAGTGCGTGTCTATGTATTGACACGTATATGAATAGTAGCCACTTGAGCGTTCCCATAAGCAATAACACATTTTCCCCTAAAATTAGTGTAAATTCATCCAAAAACAGTTGAAACCGCTATTTCGCACTGTATCAGGATTACTCATTCCCCTCCGAAAACTTACAGTGCATTTACAATACAACACAATCGACCCGAAGCAAGGGGGCCACACATTCGTATTTAACCAAATTGGGTATAAATGGTAAAACGCTCTTGTTACACCTTCAAATAAACATTTCAAAATTTACGTCACACTCCACATTTCACATGGTTTGATGATTTAATTCAAACCGATGCAAAATGTATATAAATGCTTGCCATGTCACTCTTCCTCTTCGCCATTCCTATTTATCTTTTGTCATGAAATTCACATTCCGAAAATGCCTTTCTTCTCTGCTACTGTGTGTGTGTTTTTTTTTATTTTTCATTTTCAAATGAATCGTTCTGGTTTCATTACATCATTAATCGCTTCATTTCAACCACACTCGCATTTGGCATTTCGGGCTGATCCACAACCATTTTCACGAAAACACAATTCACCAAATCCATTCTCATTTTGAAGTCGAATTACAGCCACGGATTCCCATACTCACACACACACACACAACCATTTTACATCAAAAGTTGCAACAGCAACAACCAAAAATAAAAAGTGAACATGTTTAATAAACCGTTCTATCAACGAACACGGTGAAGAGTGCCAACGTCTTTTTTCTTCGTAATGCGATCAGTCAACTTCTATTTAATATGCACACACGCAACCAGCAATATTTACATGTAAGCAAGTAATCTCAAAATAATTATGATAGTAGTAAAATAAACAATGGAAATGTATATTGTTGCCTGGAGGGGATAGGAAGAAAAACCAGATAAACATAAACATGAGACACACATAGAATCGTGAGCTGTTCGTAACAACTCCATAAAATGAAAATTAAACATGTTAACGGTATAATGAAAGAGAATATTTGAAGGAACTGGGGGAAAAATTACAATTTTTACCACTATCTCGTGTTTGTTTTAAGTGTTTCAAGCACTTTTGTTTGTTATCTCAATGAACATTTGATTAATCAGCAACTCAATTCTTGGCCTTTTTCCTATCTTCTTTGTCCTCCACCTTCGCATCCACCCGTCGTGGATGAGGTATTTCTCTCTCCGTAGAATGTTTATTATGAAATTTATTCTGTCTACGTATTTTATTATTATTAAAACAGCAAAATGATGATGCAAGGGCAAACAAACGAACGAACGAAAAACAAAACGAACAGCAAAAGCCGATGGAATTGCAAAAATGCACTCAAAATTACGTGTATGAAAATGGCAAACATCTTCCATGTAAATATTCTCGGATTTCCACCCCATGCCTATCCTAGATCATAACTTTTTCCCATTACAATTTCATATAGAAAAGTTTTTGCGTAGCATGTGCACTTCTTGAAATGCCGGTTGTTATTCATTCATTCATTTTCTCTCGTTTCCGTGAAATACAGACCAAGAGTTCGTTTAATTCATTTCATTTTCGTTTTTTTAGTGTGTATGTTTTGTTGTCGTCGCATAGACATCAGTTTTAAGTGAAATATATGAACATAAATGCAAAATATAAGTCGAGATGCAAACATTGGTTCTATAATATGGAATAATGGTGTATCCGTCTATTGTGTGTGTGTTTTTTTTATCCATGGTTGGTGTATGGCTAAAGAATCTGAATGAGGAAAACCATAGAAACAGAATGACATAGAGAGATAGAGATAGGAAGCAAATGACAACAAAATTCAATGTACCAAAGTGATTTTGGGCTTTTCACTGTGTGTCTACACATTTGCCTCTTGTGATTCTTAGTGCTTCGGCTTTTAGCTTCTTCGTTTCCTTAAGCATAAGCCCGTAAAAGTTGTGACCGTTCAAACTATGGAAAATAGAGAGCATCATCATCGGCGGCAACAGCAGCAGAAGCCACAACATTGGCATTGGTATTGGTTCAACATGAGCCAATATTAAATATTCAATTTCAAGGCACATTCCTCAATTCAGTGGATTTAATAAATTCACAAATTACTTCGAACGCATTCTTGGGCAAGACAAGAGAAAAAGAGTGGCTCTGAATACTATATATATTCAGTTGTTGAATGTCGAGCCCATATGCGGTGACGCAAGCTCATTTCGTATGAGTGGGTGTGTGAGGGCTGTTATTTCATATGATGCTCTTTATATGCTCTTTGACAAGCGAAGAGAGATTATCTTTTCGCTATGCACATATACACTCTTACACCAGAAACTAATGGGAGAAACACAGAGCAGCATCAAGAAGTACGTGGAAATTTTGGTCAATAACTTTCCACCGCGCGCACAATGTGCGCTCAATTGATCTATGGATCGTCGCATGAAAGAATGCTATGCAGTACATATTGTGTGTACTAAAAAAGAATTTCAATTTTCTTTCGGCGTAGGTTACAAAGGTCAATCCACTGGATATTCCATTTTTTCCCCCGTTGAGTTGACGTTTTATATTGCAAAATCGTGTGAATTTGTTCGATAATTTCATAAATGACAGACAGTAGCATACCCAGGGCCAGTTATTGATTTGCCAGCATTTAAATTCCTGTTTGATGACAAAATGACCATAATTCATTGCCCAACGATATGAAATGATGAACGCACAAATTGATGAAAAAAATGCGCTGCTTCTGCTTTACCCTCGTGCTTCATACACTTTGTTGTCGAATGTGTGTGTGTGTGTGTGTGTGTGTGTGTGTGTGTGTGTGTGTGTGCGAGAGAAAAAGAGTAATTATTTCCATTTGCAATCAAACACGCAACATATTCAACTATAAACGAACCAGTCATAAAAGTTCACGCTCATCAATATGCAATTAAATAACAATTGTTTGCGTATTATTTGGGCATTTTTCCCCGGATAATAAGTTAAAGGATAAATATTTCAACATAACAAATGAGCGGAATGGACATAATGAGAGAACCAACAACAATAAAAAAGCAAAACCCGTAGAAAAATGGACAATGGCCATAAAAAAATATGCACACACAATGCAAATGAATATTAAATGGCGAGGAACTTTATTGAAGTTGTGCTCTGTTCGGTTTGAACTGCCACTTATTTACACATTAAAATAATTAATCCATTGTGAGTGTTGAGTTTAAATGGCAGCTGTGGGAAAGATTGTGCGATTGCATAAGTTTTCGCAACCAAATGTTATAAATTTAGAGTCCATTTTAATGATCCAGCGAGGGAAAGAGAGAGAGCTTCGCGTTTATCCTCTCCACCAACAGAGGATCCAGCGCAAATGCTGGTGGAAAGAATGAAAGCGAATACAACTTTGGTGTGTAAAAAGTTTTGATGCGCCATTCTAAATCTAGAGAAGCCGCGCAGAGGATGTAACAGAGAAATTGTGAATTGATTTAAATTCTCGACGTTGAGTCCGTATAAATTTTGTGTCTCGTTTTCAATTCAATTTATTTCGTTTATAAATTATTAATTTCAAATGTTAATTTATGGAATGTTTTTCTCATGTAAAATTTCCCAACAAAATGCAAAAAAAAACAATTTACATTAATGATAGATGGATTGAAGGAGCGGAAGAGACAAAACGATGCCGTGATAGCGCGTTTATCGGCATCGAACAATAGTCGGATATGAATACGATCGATAAAGTGCTGGCACAGGAATTAAGTGAAAGAGAGAGACAGAGCTTCGCATTGAGTTTAATAATAATCATAAAAACAATAATAATATTTCATGTACAACGATGCAAAAATTGCTGACAATTTAAAGCAATGATTTTTCCACACACATACTCTTTCGTCTCTTATACATTCTCTTTCGCTCTTGTACACATACGCACTTTTCACGCAAATTATTAACCCCTGACGATAAAAAAAAGGACAGAGTGACTGCGATGAACCGTTTGTTCTGATTGTCAATTTGATGTGGTCGGCACATTTGCGTGACATTCGGTGTATCAAATGATTACAACGGAATGAAAGAGATACATTAAATACACAGACAGTCAATGACAGATAGCTGAGGATATATGCTGAGCACAGAAACTCAGTAAGCTGAGATTGGGACATTTTGACTTTATGACGTGTAGTCCATATAAATGCATGATGAAATGCACGAAATTGTATGTGTGCCATCATAAATTTGTATGGACTACACGTCATAAAGTCAAAATGTCCCAATCTCAGCTTACTGAGTTTCTATGCTCAGCATATATCCTCAGCTATCTGTCATTGACTGTACATAGATTGTACATATTTAATTACAATAGATTGAAAGCGTTGCAGTTAAACAGAACAAACAACACAAATATATTATACAATATACAATGTGTAAATCTATCGAACAAAACCAAAAAAATGAAAAAATTAAAAATAAAAAGGTACATCAAGCCAGGTTATTATCATTAACGACATAAATGTTTTATCGGGATGAAATTTCCCTCGGAATGCGCACATATTTTGATTGGAATAATTGTAAATCGACATGACAACAACGCATAGCGGCAACAAAGTAACTAAAAAAATGAATGAACTTGACGCGTATTAAATTTAAAAAAAAATAAAAAAATAAACAGATAGATTATTCGCTTAAGTAAGTAGCTTTAGATTGTTTGAATTTAAATGTAAATGTAAATGCTTGTTCCAGGCAAGAGAGAGACAGTAAAAAAATGTAAACGTCAAAATTGCAAACACTATCAATTGCAAACGACAGCCGATTCTTTTTTCAACACACAATTTTTCAGATGAAAAAAATTCAGAACACACTCAACAAAAATCACATCGTTATTTATGCTGTACAATGTAGTCAAAACAATTGAACGTCGATGGATGAACGAAAGAAAGAAGTAAAGAATGAAAAGAGGAGAAAATGAAGTGTAAATACTTTCTCCGACTGAAGTGACAAAGATATAGAACAACATTTCATTTGAAACATCGATAAATATTTCCGAAGTAGATTCCATTCCATTCAGAGAGATCTCGTAAAGTTGTCCTGCATGATTCATAGTATTTTTTCCCCTGGTCTTCTTTTCGTTGTTGTCGTCGTTCAGCGAAACATTGTGTGAGAATAATGGAAATGGTGCGCGCACTCGTGTCAATTCCAATTTTGCACATTTGCCTGGTGCGAATTCGAAACAAGTGACCGTTCACAACTGCTTTCATTGGCATGACAAAGTTTTTTTTTTGTTTCTGCGAAAATTTATCGTTCAAATCGACACATCGAGAAAACTTTGAAGCTTCACTGAACTTCGTGGAAGAGAAGGAAAAAAAAATTGTTTTCAGTCTCACAACAACAAAATTCGACGAATTGAAAAGGAAAAAAACCAAGAAATTATGATGATTATTCCCGTTATCGCGCATCTCCTTCGGTTCGATCCAACAGACAGTGATAATCATAGGATTTTTTTTTTGACGAAAAACCGAATTTGTAATTTATAAATACATTAAAAACATATTGAAACGTTATTTCCATGAGCTCAGAACCACATTTTCAAAATCAGCAGCAAACAGAAACAAACAAGACAGGGATGTCTGTGAAATGATCTAGCCCAAAATCATTCAGCTCATAAATCTTAATCGATGTAGCGTGGAATATACAGATATATACAATAAAATCAAAGCAAACCACACACAAAAAGAAATTGAATAAATTACGATAATTTATTATGATGATGATAATGATAAAAATCCAAAAGAAAAAAAGAGAAAAAAAAAGAAATATCTATAAATAAATTTACAATATATTAGCAGACGTTTCGTTTTTAGCACAAACACGATGTCTTCGAATTATCTCTTGAAAAGTTCAGACAAGCCTACATAAAAAAGAAACGTTCATGTTTGAATTCGTGCAACTGAAAACAAAACAAAAATGATATACAAAAAATAATAATAATAATGATAATGATGATGATGATGATGATGATGAAACATTTTTTTTTGGATTAAACGTTGTTATCAAGTTCCAAATTCTTTTAAACGTGAAATTGTATTTTATGTTATGTTTAGTGGATAGTTTATGAATGTGACTTTGTCGTTGGCTCGGCAACTCGATTCCAGCCAATTTGAAAACACCGTATAATATATAATGTTGAAAGGTGAGAGAAAATGGAAGAGTGTTCTATGTTTTCTTTAAAACAAAACCAAAATTAAAAAAAAAACACTGCACAACACTAGTGCGATATACCGGTAAATGCAATCGGATGTAGTTTTGCTTGATATTTTCTCCATATATAATCGTTTGAATTTACACAAGCAAGCAAACAAAATACACACACAACAAACACACATACTGATTCACTGATCACTTACTGAAAATAATAACGAAAAATTAACGTGCTGAAGGCAAAATCCATTACACATCAACACATTTAAAAGTAAATAACAACAAAAAAAAATGAAATAACAGACAACTAAATACACCAACACACGCAAAACTTACCTGTATTATACGTTTATATATTTAAATCAAATAAAATCTTCTAACTACTTGTAGAAACTAGAGAAACAACAACAATAAAAGTGAAACTAATTCTTATCTTTATGCAACCGCCACGAGCCATTTGTTTCATTTATTGGGCATTGTGAGCCGGTAGCTAGAGCAAAGTATTGATTTCTTGATTTTAGTTGAAGTATGGCATTCGCATTGAAATTGGTAAGTGTGAAAAATTGTGAATGGAAATATCTGGAGCTTTTGCACAATCTTCGCGAATAAACTAGTAATCGAGTCTCATCAGTTCTCTTCGTTTTGATTGGTCGGATTTCTAACGTCGCACCACACTGGGGCAGAGTGAGCAAAAGAAAGAGAAAGAGGAAAAAGAACGGTGAGTATAGCGAACGGAAATTGAGAAATAAAGTTTTGCAAACGTGCCTGAAACTGCAAATGTTTCAGCGAATAAAAGCAAAAGGTCAAACGTGAGAAATTTACTACTTTACACTTTTCATTTACAGCCTTCATTTACATTTATTACTGTAATTTGTTTATTTCGGATTCCATAATTTTTCCGGTTAATAGTTGGGGCTGGCATTTGGGCTGGCTTATGGGCTTGCACCGTCGAAGCCACACTACGTTCCATAAATTTAAACTTAAACTTTTGCCGTTGTACACGCGCGCACACACAAACACACAGCAAATTAGAAGCGATCTTGAATAACAAAATCTACTTAATATTTCGCATATTTTGTGAGTTCAAGAGCTGTGCGTTCGGAAAGAACTTGTTGGAAACTTTGCCCTAAGATTGCGTTCCTAACTTCTTTCAATGTATTTCTTATGGTTATTTGGGGTGCGTTCATCTACCGATTGTACTGATTTGACATTTAGGGCATAAATTTGATCGAATTTCCAACAAGTTTTTTATTGCATCCTCTCAATTATGAGCTCCATCATTGTGCATTTTATCCGATGACTTAAAGTGGAAATTCCCTCATAGATCGCATACCACATCAACAGTTGACGATGCCGACGATAATGTAGTTCGTTCAAAGTTGTGCATTTTTATTCGGCACGAAAGAGCGAGGAAGAAAGAGGTAGAGAGTCTTTGGCATTTCAGCTTTAATGTCGTTCTTAATTTTTGTTTTGCCATTTCAGTATTGGCAAATGAACCTCACAATATGAACTGAACGCGCCATTTTCATTTCGTAAACTGGCGCCTCTCTTGTCGACACTCGCTCCAACGGCATTCTCGACTAAGTAATAAGAAGAAAAAACAACATTCTATAAAATTACTTCTGACAAATTTTTTATGTGGTGCTTTAACTTATTTGCCAAGTGATAAATGACACAACACTCATCATTATGCAAAACAAGAGTTATTGACGCAATTCATAGCATACGTAGAGAGAGAGAGAGAGAGAGAGAGAGAGAGAGAGAGAGAGAGAGAGAGACAAACACATAGTTTTTGGTCGGATAGAAAATCATCATGCGTAAGAGTTTTACGAGCCAACCAGCAAACATTATAATGGCAATCAACGTTGGCGAGAGAATCTATGTGTTAGGTTGTACTTTAAGTGATTAAATCGTTTAATGGACACAACCATTACGAATTAAATGGTAGTGTTTTCTGGCAAATTTTAATCATAAAAGATTTAGATCTCATTGTGACATTAGGTCACATTTTATTCCCACCTTAATTAGCATTGTTGAGTGTCTTTGTATTTGTCCTACTCCCTATGTCCGCTCCAATCTCCCTTGAGTAATATAATTCAAACACAGAAAACCAGGAAAAAGACACAATGTGTTTGTTTTTTTCGTGAATACAAAAATATTTCTTTAGCATTTTGTTGAACGTTCATTGTAAATTTATTATTATGATGGCTAATGGATAAAATGGCGTAAATTCACTGGATTTTTCTTTTCATCCTGAGTCTGGTTCGTTTGATTATTTTCCGTTCACGATGAGAGCAAATTTGATTGATGTGTGCAAAGGGGTGTGTGTACTGTGTAGCATTTGTGATATAAAAATTAACGGGTCATGGAACTGTGTGGCGTTGGTTTCAATTTCCGGCTGAGATGTGGAGCTTTAAATTTGTATGCCATTTGAAAAAAATTATTACTACAAACTAAAATAGACGCAGTTACAATATATTTATGGTTTTTATATATAAAAAAGGGGGAAATGCGAGCTAGAAACTAATGACGGTTCGTATTTATTTTTCTCTTATATTTCTTGCATACGAAGTTGTGATACTGTCGACTTAACGTGCTTACATGTTAAACCTCTGTCGATCGATTGTTCAGTGGTGGTGATGGAAGACCCACATTTTGTGTTAAAACGGGTGATCCGCTCGATACTGGCGATCCGGTGCTATCGGAGAAAAATCGATTTTGCGTAGGTAAAACACGAATGCCACCACTTGGTGGACGACCTTGCCCACCACCAAAACCACTGTACACCGGACTAAAACCCGACGATATTTCAGTCGGTCGTGTCAGATAACTTTCTTCTTGTATTGTATCCGGTTGTTGTTGGCGCTGAGTTCTTCGGCCAGTTTGACGTTCGGATTGTGGTTGAAGCTGTTGTTGTTGTGGTGGTTGTCGCTGTGGTGAATCATCATAACTAATATCCTTAGCTAATTTTCCCTGCGGAAATTCACTACCACCTTCGGACGATGTGAAATCTTCTTCGTCTAAATCCCATTTTTTAGCTGGAAATTCAATATTTGGTTTGCCTTCTAGAGGTTCATGCGTTCTGTATACTTTTTCATATGACCTACTTTTTTTCAACGTATCGCTGTCACTTCCGTCACTGGCCAGTTGACGTAACGTCGTACGCGATCCACGCTGTGAGCGTGGCAAAGTAATCTTCCAACCTGGGTCAACTTTACGAGCCCGTTTGCGATAGCAGTAAACGGCACATATAATGCACATCAAAATCGGAAGAATGGCCGCAAATACAACGCCAGTTGCTATCCAAGCAGCACGTTGCGTATAGTAAACCTCACCTGCAAAATATTACCCATATGCAATGTTAAAATTTGCATTTCAACTTCGTTTGGTTAGCATTTCGATACTTACGTAAGCATTGTGTGTATCCGAAGATTGGTGGATCCCATTTTCCTTCGGATGTACAAGTTCTTCGGGGATCTCCAATCAGCATAAAACCTTGATCACATTCGTATGCCACATGTGTGCCGGGTGTAAATAAAAATGTTGATTTCCGTCCAAATCGTGGCGTCTCCAGCACACCACACGACATTACACGATGATCATTGATTGCTTTGATGTTTATGATCTTATCGTAATAGAACTTCGTATAATATGCCAAATCTCGATTCAACGACATTCCATAATCGTATCGACATTGATAACTTTCACCGCACAGCTCAGACGCTCGTTCGATATCTTCCGTTCGATTCGGCGGTATAAAGTCTCTCGGTTCACGCAAGAAGTTCGGAAGGAACGTTGCATTTGCATAGTAACTTGCCGTCCGACCAAATTCACGAGTAAATAAAGCTGCACCTACTCCGGGCTTCTCTCTGTCAGCCAACATCCCTGAGAAATTGAAGAGAGTACAATTGTTTCGTTTGGATTTGAAAGAAAAATTATTGTAAAAATACATGTATCCAAGGAACTGTTTCAACTTACAGTGCATTGCAAAGTCGCGATGGGTACTTTCAAAATTGTTCAGATTGGCACCAACAATTCGACCGTCGGGCAGTGTGAAATCATCAGCCATATCCCAAGTCCATGTACCGAGCAGTCCACGAGTTTTGTTAATAAAATTCCATGGCAAATAAACGCGTGCTGTTAAGAATCCAGCATTTTCAACAACTTCAACACCAGCCCCAGATGAGAACATGATAACGACTTCTGATTGATTCAAAACATAGGTCGGTGTATAAACGGTAACACCGTGGAAGGCTTGGAATTTCAAACTTGGACGATCAAAGTAAATACGACGTCCATCGGCAAAAACGTCAAGTCGATATCGCCACTGAGCATGTGCTGGCCGAAGGCGAACTTCAATAGGTGTCGTTGAGAAATTACCACGTGCAACAACCGATGTGAGTTGTGTTGCCATAACTGACCCATGAATATTTCGTGGCACTTGTTCAAATCGTCCTTGCACATCCAACGGCATAGAGCTATCGTTTACACGAACCAAGACGAATTCACCCATTCCGTTGAAAGTATACTGCAAGTTATCGAAGGTAACAACATGTGGATCACCAAACACTCCAGCAACCGCTGGCGATTGATATGAAACACAATCTTGTGTTGGGCGACGCTCAAAACGGAACGTTTCACAACCGACTGCTTGTTCGCTTTGCCAGGCGCAACAAGAAAAGTACGGACGGATATCGTTGAACCTAAGCGTGAAAAAAAAAAAATCAAAATCAAAACCAAATGCCAGACGTTCAAACAATCAAGTCATTCATACCATGTGGATAAGGTGGGCACTTTGTTGGCTTCATTCCATGGCATAACGCCGATATTATGGTTTCGTCGTGGTCTTGAGCCCCACATTTGGTCATAAGACATCAAGAGAAAACCGTTACGATCGTAGCAACACTGTTGCTCTGAGCCCTGAATATTCGGTTGCCCCGTTCGAACACAATGAATGGCACCTTTGTGGTGTAAACACGATGGATTCGAGTCACGATCACAATCAATGTCCGGCAAGAAACGTCCCTTATCATGAATGGCATGCTCCAATGTGCATGGACACAATGGGATTTCAGCGGCAAAATTACGCAAGAATCGATCAGTTCGAATCCAATTTTCACACAACGCTCTCGGCCAATTGCGACCATGAATTCGTTCCCACTGCGGACCGAAATACCAACCCAGAGGAATTGGTTTCGACCATAAAACCCTGGAAATTTACACAAGCGAATGTTTATATTTGGAAAGTGTAAAAATAAACAAATATCGGATAGAATAAACTAGAGCCACTGAAGTATGAAATTTTATTAATAACGATAGAAAATCGATTCGCTGATACTCACGGGCTAATTGGAAGGCCTGAATATTGTTCGGGGTTAGTTAAATTTATTTGAATGAAACCGAATTGCATGTCAACTTGTTTGCGATTGTCACGATTGCGATAGTTGCCGGTGCCAATGATGTAAACACCTGTGTTCGTCGTTCCACCTTCTATCAAATCGATGTACTCCAATTGAGGACTGAATTTATTTCGAAACGTTAATGAATTATTAATATCTTTTTTCCATCAGTTCCATAACATTCAAGTGTTTTTGTAGTGAAATTACCGAATGGTTGATTCTCGATAACCATAAAGTCCAATGGTGATGCCTGCGTTTAAATTCGTGGTCAAATTAAAGCGATTCCACTCGATGCGAATTTCATTGGGTGCTTTTTCATACACATCATTTCCGCGGAAGAAAATTCGATCGGTTGCAGTAGCCGGTGTTTCTGTAAATTGTGCAAAATAATCGATTATTCCCAATATTCCGTTGATTGTTTGTTTATTCCATTAAAACGTCATTATTCACTATGCTGTACATACCAACAAAATACAATCCTCTCCATTTAAATCGTTCAGTGCCAATGGAAATCTGGAAACGAATGTAACCTTGTGCCAATAGAAAGGGTTGTACACAAATTGCTCGATTTCGATCAATAACATGACCTACAACACTTTCCGTATCGAATGTGCAGAGGATGCGCTCGTTTGGATCGAAACATGGCCCGGTGATATTGACAACGGTTCCGCCCAACATATTGCCTGATTCCGGTGCAAAGACCAACGGTAGATATGCAGCGTCTAAAAACCACCAAGAAAAAAATGCATAACATCATTATAAATTCGTTTTGTGTTTGTGAAATTGCTTTATTATTGATGTAAGATACATTTTACGCTTTTAACACAAATCGCAACTTCGACTTGCATTGACTTGATTGAACTAAGAACGAACGAAAGGAATGAACAAAAAACAAATCGAAATTGAAAACGAGCAATCCGTAGAAGAAAGTTGCAGCAGCAACAGCAGGAGTAGCAACCAAGCTAGTGGCAAATGATATTGATATATGGTTGTGTAAGTATCTCATTTCATTAAATTGTGCAATCACTAAGTAAATCAATTAATTTCAAATTGATTTCTTGTTAGAGGGAAAATGTGCCGTTTCATGCGACACACACACACACACACATACGAAAGCCAACAGCGGGAGCTGTCTTATCGATCGTGTCGATGGGGTTTTTGTTAGTGCAGCTGCCGTCACCGTCATCGTCATCGTTTGAAGTGAAGTGATGTCCCAACAAATAATGTATAAAAGTTTATATGAGCGACTTGAAGCTCAAATCAATTGATTTGTTCATCAAGCAAAATCGCTGCAAACGTCTAATTAAATTTTCCGTTTCGCTTCGAACGGAATTCAGTTCCACAATAAAATGTTCAATATCGATTCATTCAGTGTTTCATCGTCGCTCAAATTGTATGCGCCCATGTCATTTACGAAGCGCAAATATACACTCCCTTTCCCTTTGTGAGAGAGGGTAGACACATTGAAGAGCCACATTACCTATATATAATATAATATTTATTATTCAAAATCGCAATAATGCGACCGAGTGTCAAGCACGCACAAATCCTCTGTTAACTTGAAAACTCAATCCCGAGCAATTTTATGCATCAAAAAATCTCTTGTGCTCCAATTTCTAAGCAGCAGTAGACAAAGGCGAAAGGATTCGAGCAAAATAAAATGAAAAAGTCAACGACAGCCGCAGCAGCAGCACCAGTTCAAAAGAGCGAGAGCGAGAGAGAGAGTGTATGTGTGAAATGAATGTGGAAAAAGTCCATACCAATATCTTTGTTGCATGTCCCGAGCATAATTCGTTCGTCTATACGGAATATATGACGGCCTGGAAAACCATTTGCCCATCCACGTCCAGTCAGGTCACGCAATACTGATGCCTGGCTATAGGGTTTGTATTCGTAAGCTTGCGTTCCGTTGCCAGCATTGAAACCAATCTGTAAATTAAAGTGAATTAGTTTTAACAAGTGAAAATATTGCACACACATGTACCGCAATTACACACAATTTATGTTGGTGCTTTTTTCTCGAGAGTCAGTGAGTGAGTGTGAGAATGAGTGAGGAGCGCAATGAAGCGGGAAAACAACAAGGCAACCACCAAATCGTGCTTCGTTGTTTTCGTCGTCATATATATGCTACCCAACAGGAAATGTGTGAAAATGCGGACAAAACGGTTGCTGAAACGTCTATATTTTAATAAAGATGGCCATCGTACGATATAATGAACATTTGTCAATGTCACACTAAACGCTTCTCCTCTAAACACGCCATTGTTTCTTATGCATTTTTAATTTGAAGCTCTTTCACACGTCGGGAAGAACGAAACTCAGGCCAGGCCAGGCCAGGCCTGATAACAATTTTATTGGGAGACATTTTAAGTTAAGTGTCGTCATTTGACAGCTTTTTGTTTATAACATAGACAATTTTATGGGAATCGTAACATATAGATGTATATTGGTGGCATAAACAGCGACTGAACTTTTACTCTCACATGGCAAATCCTCTAATAAATGTCGAACGAAAATTCATTAAGATTTACTGCACTCCCACTCACTAAAACTCAACAACTTGCGAATAAGAGTGACAATGAAATGATACTTACAAATGCTGGAACACCGCCTTCACCTCCAGTTGTGTCACCTGCAGACAAATGCAATGCATTAAATAAATGTGCGGCATAGTTTTTTTTTGTCGTGGTTTATCTATTAATTTGTTTAGGTGAAAAACATTGTGATGACGATGAATCGACGAAACCCTCATCGATTACATTTACACGGTATGAGAAAATATTGAAAGTGGTTTCAACTATAGATGATGATGAAGAGGATTTAACTGACACCTACGTGGGTTGCCAATCAATTTGACACGTATGTGTGAACTGGCTTGCGAATATCTTTACTCCTGGTTTGACTTGACCACACGAAGTTGATATATTTTTAATATTTTAAATCAAATGATTTACCACAAAAGGTAAAATATACACGGAAAACCAACCGAAGAATATACACAGCATAGCTGTGATTAGCAATGGTGACAAAGATTATTCGGATAATTAGGACAAAGATTGGATTATCTTCTATATTTTCATTCTATTCCGCTTCGAAATGTTTGAATTCATCATCGTTGAATCGGCAAGTAATAGGCATATATACAAATGACCATAATGAATGGATGGATTACAAAGATCCCAATGAATTAGAATGCAAAAATCATACCTCCGGCTTCGGTGTGGGAGCTCCAAACCAGATTAATATAGTTGAATATGGCATAGGTGTACACTTCATCGGTGGCCAAAACCATTTGGAACGAATTTGTCTGCAATGAAGAAATGAAAATTAATTTTCTTGGTGTTATTAAGCATTTGGTAATCCTGCAATGGAGATAGAAGAATAATTAGAAATTTAATCCCTTTTTTCGGTGTTGGTTCTCTTTCAAATCTTGTATCAGAAGCATTGTAACAACAAATCAAATTGAATGAAGTGGTTCACTGAACTGGAGTCGGGGAAACCAAAGTTCATAAGCAATAAGAAAATTGTGCGAAATAGAATTTAATTGTCGCTCTAAAAGAAATAATAATGAAAGTGAGCGACGAAAAAAACCCAACGATACCTATTCAATAGAACATGTGAGGAGTGTTGATGTTAATTTATGTTAAATAAAAAAACAATCTGTATATGCAGAGATTGTTAAAAATTCAACTGTGCTGCTAATGGTTTTCCATTAAATGGAGGAGAGGGATGGCAATTTAGACAAATGTTTTACATCGTTAACGAGCCAAGCAATTTTCAGTAGCATGTTATTTAATATTTATCATGTATTAATTAATTTAGCTTAGTTTTAATGCCATGTCATTGAGGTAAACATACGGGGCGGCTCCATGAGCGTGTCCCTTATTCTTCTTTTTCTTCCTTTTCACAACACACAATCAGCATTCTATATAATTTCATTCGCGATTTTCTGCGAAGCGCGAAATTAAACGATTTTGTTGTTGAGCTTGCTTACAAACGTGTATAATGAGGCGAAACCAAGATTTTTACATCTTTCATTATATCCACATATGGAAATGAAGGTCCCGTTCGCCAACATTTTGCCCACATGCCCCGAAGATAATTATATGGTACACTGCCTCGAAAATATACACTCGTACAAACTCTTTGATTCGTCTTCGTCATCGTCGTTGAGCATTTGTTTAATGAAGCAGAGCAGAAGAAAACATGAACCGGAAACTTCTTTTGCACTAATCATATTATGTTGCTTCCTATATTTGTAGATAGCAAAACTTCGATCACAACACAATTGAATTCAAAAGGAAAATGCCCTGCGACTTTGTCGTAAGAGCGTGTGCGGCAGTGGAACGGTGCAATTTTTAATGGCACAAAACGAAAATCACATGACAGCAAATTAGCGATTCATCAGAAACACCGTTCAATTTCGAATTAAATCGTTTCCAATTTTTTTCTTCTAATTTCTTCTCCCTCCGTTCTTCTCGTTCACAAATTCATAATAAACAACAGTTTGAAAAATGACGGATTCTTTTATGTGTGTCTCTCGTTTTTGCATATAGGAGAGAAGGAGTGGGAAGGTTGCTTGTGCCAATGGAGCGCAAAACATCGAACCAATCATAGGGAATGATCGTGCGGCGGCTGTTGAACGTCAAAGTCATTTGAGGCGACGCGAGCGCCCCCAATTTCAAAGGGCACATCAATGTAATTTAACATTTCAAATCGGAACTAAACAGCGCGCCAATTCGAAATATAGGAAAATATAGTGTCAACAGCCGCACCATGGGAATGATTTGCGAGTCGGTGCTCGCAGCTGGCGAGACCAAGTAAAAATGACGGAATGTATTAATATTCGATCTCACCTTGAATAGCGCTATGTCGATACCACCAGCGAATGACATATTTTTCCATGTGATAATAACTACATGTTTTGGTATAAATGTGTCGGCTCCAACAACACCTTCTCGAATATCCCACATAACACGTTCACGCACCTCCACACCGAATCGATCCGTACGCGTTTGCAAATCACGTTCTTGTCTGCACGTTTTTTTTTTATTCATCATTCAGCCGAACATTTGTCGCGTTGTTGATGGGTTTTTTTTTCATTGATGAGACGAATTCAGAGAACGGGCGAATATTGTATGCGCCATCGTCATCGTCGCGAAATCACACCCAAGTGGAGGGAAAAAGGAAAGAAAAAAGAAAAAAAAAAAATTAACAATTTCAAAACTTTGATGTAGATTAATGATGATGAGTGGCAATGCGATGGTAATGTGTATATAACGTTGATCCAAGTGTATACAATGTTGTTGTTGTTATTGATGTTATTTTTTCTCCGTCCGTATCAAATATTGCAGGGATAAAAAGGAACACGAAAATAAATTTATGGTTTAATCGTTTTTGATCGATAAGTGTTGAACGAACGAGGGACGAAAGGAAGCGACGCATTTTTTACAATAATTAATTCTCTAACTTGAGCTATTTTCAATGGACGCAAGCATTTCACTCTCTGGGCCACATTGCGTATGAATGAAAAAAACGGTAAATATGAACGGACAAATTGGTAAATATAATGCGCCTTTGCGAACAAAAATTAAAGAAGACTTGAGAAAGCGCAGCAAGAGAGAGAGAGAGAGAGAGGGGGGGGGGCGGTGAATTTTCGGCTAGTGGTTCGACTCTTGTATAGTTTGTGAAATGTTCGTGGCAAAATGAATGAGAAGGTCAAAAATGACGACATTAGGCGAGGAAAATTCGTAAATTTTCGGACGCACATTGGATATTTGTCGACTCTTGTATCATCATTTTTCATTCCAACGACTGATGACTATTTAATCACTTGCCTTTCTTTTTTGACGAACTAATGCAACAGAGAGACATTATTTAAAAAAAAAAAACGAAGAAAACCTTAAAGCACAAGTCATTTTACGAGTCTTTAGCTTTACTCTTGCTGCGATTTTGCTTCGCTCTCTCTTGTTATCTCTTGCTTTCTCCCTCGCTTTTGTTTCAATTCATACACTGATTTTCTCGATGTTGTGCGATTATAAAAGAGTGCGCGTATTTCGTTACCATCTTTCAGATTCTCTGTTGTCTAGTTTTTTGTTTTTTTTTTGTTGTAACTCCACCACAAAGCATCAATCTTGCTTTCGAATTCATGTTTTATTGCAGTTCGTCAAAGAGCGAGAAAAAAGCCGTTCTTTTGCACAGCACAGCATAAAAACACATTTTCCGAGGTAATATATTCAGATCGAGAGATTTATCAAACTTCAGCAACCAATTTGACAGTAGTTGAATGTTGTGAAATCAAACAAATCAAAAGCATGCATCCTTTTTTACTGTGTGGGCGCTGTCGCCGCACTCATTCTCCCTCGCTGTGTATGTTACTTTTTTGTTATCGTTTGTTTTCTTTTCATTTTAATCAAAAATTGTCATTTACTTCGATGCGCCCCAAGACATTTGTGCATGAACTGAACGTGCATGGCGAACAAGCAAGAAGAGGTTGTGAAGAAAAAGTTTCCTATCAAACAAAGTGGAACTGTAAATTGTAAGAGGATGTTTCTTTCATCTGTACCGGAGTCGTTAGGCAAAGCTGCAAATAAACACTCAATGCAAGATGAAGAAGAAAAGAAACGAGCTCAACAGACAATGCCAACAGTTTTAATGTGCCATGTCATGCAATGAATGCCATTTCTCCACTGGCGATATTAACAATGAAAATGGGCGGAGAAGGAGTGAGAGCTATTTTTGATATATCAGATAGTGGAACGGATTAGAAATTCTCTAACATAATTTATTCATAATACTATTTTGAGATGTAATTTTCAATTAGTTTGTAGATTGCAATAAAAAGCTACATCGTGTCAATATAAAGCTGCTAATCCCTCCACATAAAAAGTCAGCCGCTTTTCATCGATTGCAGCAGCAGCAGTAGCAGCTCCAATTGTTGCCTTTGTATATACTTTCATTTTCTGGGAGACTGTTGCATGGAGTCTTCATTTAAATTAGAATGAAATAAACAAAAAACGTATACACAACAGTTCATTATGTCTAGCTAAAAGTTGCAAACGTCTCAGTGTAAATGTATGTCATTTTAACCGACATTCTCGTCTCTTTTTACAACACAATTAGCTGTAAAATAGCGGAAAAAACATTCTTAGAATGATCGATAGCTCAAAGGAGGAAGTAGTTGGCATAAATTTCATTTCAACTGGAATGGCGGCATTCAAACAAAGGCATTCAAAGGAATACTAAAAAAATTCGTTCCAAGAAACTCAATTTGCATTGTACAAATGAAGTGTGCGTGTTTGGTTGGTTGTGCTTGTGCTGTTTTTGCTGCTGCTGCTGCTGCTGCTGCTGCTGCCAAATATGATTTTTCGATTCAGGTCACATTTCATGGATGAAAAACAGACAAAACTATTTTTAATCGTTGCGAGCTAAACATACATATATAACAACGGCAGAAAGTGAAATCTGTGTCAGTCAATTGATTTTTGTTGTTATTGCTGCTGATTTTATGCTGCCCGAGAGTGTTGCCATTTTTGCATGTTCACTGAAACAGAATAAGGATAAACCCATTTCTGTTAAAAACAAATGCACGCGAAAAAAAATATGCCGGTCACTTGGGTTTTGCTCTTAGCTGAGCTTTAGCTTGTTTGCATACACGAAAAAAAGGCGAAAAAATTACAACATTTTATGATGGAATGAAACTTTTAGTCGCCCATTCTTCTTTTGACTCTATTTTTATTTTCATAATGTCCATGGTTTTCATTCGCTGTAATTAACATACAAAGTACTGTCATTCAAAGCTGGTTCGCATGCCGTTTACCAACTGATATTCATTGATTTGTAAAATAAGTCTTTCAGTTTCAATTTCAACCAAATTGATGGGCATTTAATGTGAAAGCCTTTCAACTGAAAGAATGACGAGGGTCATGATTTGTTGCCCTCGGATATCTTGCGTTCCGAATATAAAATACACAGTGGGTTGGCCATTTCATTGAGGGTTTCTGTAATATGATATTTTCTTTCTTCTTTCAAAGAAACTCTTCCCTAAGTTCTTCGAATTTTAAGCTTTTTTCCCGGTGAATAAATAAATGTAATTTGCATTGATTTTGTGACATACATTAGGACAAGCACCGAAATTCAATCGAGGAAATTTTGCTTAATGATTTGCCATCCTTTTGAAATGTAAATGTTATCCTTTTACCTGAAGTAAACGCCTGGTATACGCTGATCATGGTCGGTTTGGTAAATTTGTCCAATTCGGCATTTCGAGAAGAAAATTCCAATGAACGATGGATCGTTACGTTTGGGCCAGTCTTTAATTGGGAACGATAATGGGTATGTGTAGTGATCGGGTGGATCCGAAAATTCCAAATATCCGTTCATCGAGACCTGTGCAAATTAATAATTAATTGTTCATCGAAATGTTAGACTAGACAATAAAAATAACAGCAATAAAAACATTGCTCAACTTACACGAGTGTAGTTAAATCGAAAGCCATAGAATGGCAATTGAAAATTGAAGTTCTTATGCAGTTGTGGATTTGAGGCGTGAATATCCTTTTGTAAATCGCCAATGTCATTGCCACCACCTTTATCGAAAAACCAATACAGGAAATGACTTCGCAGTTCGGTCAAACGAGCCGGTGTTATTGTGTAACCTCTACCATCGTTGTGATGTGTTGGTGGCTCAGTTGGTGCAGTACGGCTATTTGGATCTGAGGAAAAAGAAAAATACCAATTGCTTTTCAATTCAACAAAATTAACCTATGATTGACATAGACGTATATATACACATAGTCGCTACATATAAAATCGGGAGCCATTTTCCATTTCGTTCTGATTGTGCAGACGGAGCAAACAAAAACTGTGTGTGTGTGGCCTGTGAAAACCTTGCCCGTGTCATTTTGTAACAATACGGGGAAATGTGTAGAGAATAAATTCTCGGGCGGTAAATTAATAATTGCTGTTTTCACAAAATGACCAGCACCGTGATGATAATGTGCAATCCCCCACTTTTCATGCATACACAGCAGGATTTGCTGGGTACTTACGAATATTATGTGCCACTCGCTTTTTGTCTCATTCACTTGCTCGCACACCACCCCGCATTAAATGGAACGACTGATAAGGGCACCGAACAAAGCAGAGGCAGAGAGATAAAGCGTTTATTTGTTTATGCGCCTTTTTTGATGAAAAGAAATCATTATTGAAAATCATATTTCCATTCTGGATGAGTATTGCCGTACTGTTCAACAACAGATTCGGCGTCATGCGTGTGCAAGCCCGAATACGATCATATTAGGACTTTTTTTTATACGCCATGTGTCTCTTTTTTTCGAAATAATCATACGTCTTATTAAGCGTTTTGGTGACAATGGAAATTCGAATATTATTCTTTTGATTAAGAGGCACACAGCTCGAAATTCCATATGCCACTTTATGTGTGTTTATGCAATGTGACGCATTTGAAAAATCATTATACAATATATTATGGCCTGGATGATATGTTTAAATCCATGCTGACCGCATAAATGTGTGAAAAGGCAAATGAAACTCACAACGGAAAAACCACTTCCTTTGCCAAATTTTCTATAGAATATGTGCTTCTGCTTGTGCCTTTGTCTGCGTATGCGAGTGAATTTGTGTAATTTTGTTTGACCATTATTAAGCTGCTCATCGCTATATTATCGTCGTAAGCACAGAATACTTCGAATTGTATGCAATAATTCGAAATGGATTTTTTGCCATTCTCTCTCTGTGTGTGGGCTGTTTGCTCTGTTTTGAATATTTGAGAAGAAGCTTTGGCAACGTTAAATTACGCTTATAAATTCCGCTAGGATTTCGACTATAATTCTGTATATTTTTTTGTTATCATCTTAATGGATGTGTTCTGGCCTTTTGGCCGCATAAACTCCGTACAATGTCGTCATATTTTGCTTTATAATATTAAATTGGCAGAATTTGTGTGCGAGTGCGTGTGTGTATGGAGAGCTTAGAAAATGAGAAATTATTAAACGCAAGCAAATGAAACTGTGCTGTTATATTTATTGAAAATGATTTCATTTGTCCTGTACTGTCCTGCCTCTCTATTCCGTGTACCAATGTGGTTTTCCCAATGGGGCCAAACTGCAATACGTCAAACATGTGTTGTGCCATTTCTCTCTGTCTCTCTCGGTGAAAGGCATTGGGAGCAGAAAGATTGCCAGTAAACCATTGTAAGCATTGCCCGCTCACTCACTCACTCATTCGATGTCAAAAACTAATAATTCTGAGATGATGTAAAAGTGCAAAAACTATTCACTTCATTTTTTTTGTTCTTCACTCGGTCTCTTCCTCTCTCTCCACAAGTCGATGCGAATATTCTTTTAAAGCACTTATAAATACAAATGGATGCAATGTATTATTGTGCTACGCTGAAGGGAATTGAAGTTTGCATTGCGTATTTCCCTGTTGCTGTGTGTATGTGTGTTGCGCATGGAGTGGCAAGAAAACGAATAAGCCAGTGGGAAGTAGACGGAGAGAGAACATGCTGATAAATAAACTTGATTGACCTGTGCGCTGCATTATTTATCTCAGCGCGTCGCCTTATTTAGATGATGTGCAATTTTGATGTGAAGCTTTTTAAATGCAAGACAAACTACAACGAACGAGTTGGATACATAGCCAATTACGAACGAAACACAAGATAAACTGCAAATTAACCATTACGCAAAATTGCATGCATTTTTCCTCCTCAGTCTCATGAGTCTCGTTCTCTTCCTCTCTTGCTTGTCGCATTAAGCGAAACTATAATTAATCGCGTTGGAGGGAGAAAAATGATTCAATTGTTAGCGGCCGCATAACACACATACACAGCATTACAATCGAATAAAGCAGACAATGAATGATCTACTTAGTTTATTTGTAGCCATGTCCGAGCGGATTTATGTATATTTTTTTGGCGAGTAAAGTAAATTTAGACTGCATACAGATTGGAGAGGTTAACCGTATAAAACATTTACGTTTTCAATTAAGATTCCCAGCAGATTAAAATAAATGCCCATTTTCACTTCGTGAACGCACTTTGCGCCACGCACACAGACAATCATTTACCAAGTACGAACGTGTACATTCGAAATGGTGCAAGAAGACAGGGGTTTTCGATTGGAGGTTGAAACCATTTTTTTATCTGTGCCACACTCTTACGCTCTCGTTTCATATTGTGTTTTGTAAAATTTACACTGTGGACTTTGGCCCTTTGTTGATATGCGCTTTTTTCGCAATCACACAACATGAACACTGTGTTAATCGCTTGACGATTATAGACTCAGTTACGTGAAATGTTTGCCGGAGAAAAGTTGGTACACTTCAACTAAACGTAATCATTATTTTTGGTTGGTTTCGTTTGAGCGTTGGTTGTTACAATGAAATAATAAAGAGCAAAACGGGCGATTCACCCATCGGATGGCAGCAAGACCGAAAACAACTTAAATGACAACTGTAGCGACGCGAGCGCCCTCATTTTCAATAGGCAAATCAATGTAATTTTTTTCCGAACCAAACAGCGCGACAATTTGAATTTTCTTGATGCTGCCACCCAATGGATTCACCATCGCGATTTAACGCATTCAGGTAAAAACATTTTTTTCTTAAATTGATATTAATTGAAGCAGATTTGCTGCTTTATTTCTTTATCATCCATTTATTCCGCAATGCATTCCCACTTCCGCCACTCGGTGTATGTCTGTCTGTCTCTTGGCTTTATTTATCGAATATTTTATTCATAAAAATTTGTTAGTGCAACGCTTTGCCTCATTTTCTGGTTGGAGGCGAGCGCCTACAAATATAACGACAATGGTATTCACAGCGGCCCATTCATTGGAGCAGGTCGTAAAAAGCTTTTGGTTTTTGACGATTTTCACTTTTTTGTTTTCATCAATGTTTCATAATGCTGCTGCTATTGCCATTGTTGTTGTCGTACTTGTTGTAGTTGGTGGTGGTTGTGGTACTGTCGTCCGATGGCGAAAAATTAAATTCATGGCCTCCGCTGTACATTCCCCCAACTTGCAAGAACATATAACGACAAAGGCAAAATCTATTGCCAAAGTGTTACAGATTTACGATGAAAGTTTATATTTTATTTATGGAAATTTATTCGGTCGAAGCGGATTCGAATCTGACAAAAATCTCGGCTCGACAAACAACAAACACATTATTTTCCGTTGAAATTATTTTCGATCGTAGCTTCATCGTCTTTGTTTGGCCGCAGTACAATTAAATTTATGGCCAAGCGATTTGGATGATGAACGAGAGGAGAGAGGAGCGGTGTGAAAATCATGCATAATTTTTTGCCATTCATTATCACTTTAGAGATCATGTTTTCATTGCAACACCAAATATAAATGTTTCAATTGATTTGTTGCAGATATCTATCGCAATCTCTGTCACACTCACTGCCTTTCTCGATGCAGCAACTTCTACTTGGCACATCAGCCAACAATGTGGCATTCGCTTTCAATGTCGAACAAATTCATTTTGCATTGTGGTCAACTTTCATGGGCTGGAAATTTTTTTTGCCATTGTTGTTGTTATGGTATGCCATTGAAAATGTTCAGCGCCAGTTTTAATACAGGAAAACAAAATGATGGAATTCGAATGTTCTTTTTCTGTGGTTTTAATTATTCGGTTACGGTGAAGTAGAACGGAACAACAGCAATGTTGTGCAAATCAGAATGAGTGCCATAAAGATGAATCATCAAAATTACTTCCGTCACCGACGATGACGACAACAAAATACTGTGGAATCGTCGGTCGGCGAAAAATTATTCATCAATTGTAGTAGTAAAAGTAGAATAACGTAAAGCCATTAACTAATTACTCATCTTAAATGCGTCACCGCGATTTCTCACTGCCAAAGTGTGTCGTGTTTGTGCACAGGCAACAACGACCAACGTATCGCTTGGTAATTGTTGTTGTTGCCATCATACCTGCGATGAATAATTCTAATTTCTCATCGTTTCACGGCGAAAAAAACTGAAATAAATCGATTTCAGTAGCATTTTCTGGATGAGTCAGTTGTTCAGCTGATAGTGATTTCGTTATGAATAATCGTTTCCGTTGTCATTTTTAGCGGCGGAACTTTCAATTTATCATGACACCATATAGAAAGAAGCGAAAAAACGAGTGAAAAAGAGCTTTTTTTGTTCGCTTTCATTCTCCCTCATCGCACAAATATATTATACGGCGTTTTTGTGAAGTTAGTTCATTGAGTAAAGTGTAAAAATGGAATTTCAAGGAAAAATGCCATATTTTATGGGATTTATGAACACAGACAGGGTAAGAGAGAGTATGTGTATGCCATTGCACGAGGGACTACCACCACATGACTGACGATGATGCACGGTGGCTAAATCGGTAGATTCGATCAAGAGTGTATGTGTATGTGTATGTGCATTGTGCATCACGACAAAAATATGATTCGGTTTATAAAATATGTAAAATATGCTAACGAACTCGTTTAAATTTCCTTAATTGGGAATGACATCAAGAGGGCGATCTGCCTTTTACTTTCATTGTTGTAATTCATGAGAGAGCGAGAAAAAAAAATGGAGACTCAAATGTCAAACTTTTGCAAATTTTATGGTTAGGCTACGTGATGTGCAACTTTAGTGATGTTACACCACGCTCGATGCATTTTATGATGCACATTTTTATGGTTGACCATAAACTTCACTTTCCGCTGTCGCTGCTGTTGTTACCGCCGCGTGTATATGATAGAGAGAGGGAGAGAGAGCGAGAGACTGTAGCCCATCAAATAGTTAGCCGACATTTCATTGCCTCTCTCACTGCACTCACTCACTATTACCATCATTCAATTGTTCACTTGTGAATTTACATAAAAACGCAATGATAATGTTAATGTACAAAATGCGACGAAACGATTCCCGTGAGATATTAAAAGTCTGTCTTCAGGGTGTACAGGCACACATGCAGAGCGAGAAAGCAACAGTTAGAGAAGAAGAAAGTTATGCAAAACACACTGAAAAATAAAGAACTGAGAAAACAGTCGTATAGAGTTGAGCTGAATTCATTTCCTCAATAATCCCATGAATATACATTGCCGAAGTATTGAGTCAGCAGTACAAGCTCAATACACAAGTTGCCTGTGGACCTGCTCTACAATTATAGCTATTGACATACAAATGAATGCCCGAGGCGCAACGATGAATATGAGAAAACGAATGAATAAGAAAGAACGAATGAAGAAAAACTTAATGCTTCCGTTTCATGAGTAAAATTGAATGAATATCAACTCTCCCCTGCCGCCTCTCCTCCGCACACATACACAAGACATGCATTTTATCGTCATTTTGATATGATTCCTTTGGAATAACACGATTACGATGTTTCAATGTGAAACTTTCAACAATCGAGCATGAATGCGAACGAAAAGTTTCAACATCGAGAGAATGTAATTTAGTGCCGATAGTGTTTGCGTAACTTGAGCACATAGTTTCTAACTGTGATGAGCAGTTAGTTTTTTTTTCTCATTCGGTCGATTGTACTCAAAGAGAAAAACGAGCTGAGTTTGCATTTACTTTACTCGAGCAGCATCGCGCACTGTTATAGAAACACTCTTCTTTTATTGGAAAAAATTGAGCCGAAATATTGGTTCGCTTCATTGAATCGATTTCAATGATGATACACTCACATGAGCGTTCCTCCAGAACTGAAACGCAACCAACCGAATGAAAATTTTACTGAAAATTAAAGTTTTACTGAAATTCTTCAGTAATTGTTCAACATAAGTACTTATTTGGCTGACTTCCATGCAAGTGTGCGTGTATGCGTATGGGCCTTGCATTCTCTGCTGTCAAAGTCTCGCAGGCATATTTGTACGAGGATTTGTATTCAAATTAAGAAAGAAGAAAAAAACGAAATTGATTTCACCATTTTCATATGTTGTCATTGCACGAAGGCGACAAAAAGTTTGAATGAAAAGGCAAGTGAACTATGTCTTCGCGAATATCCAACGATTTCCCATTAATTTCGTGTTTATCCAACAAAGAACAAGATTAAGAGCTGAAAATTTTTCAATGCTTTCCGGTTTGAATGAAGAGACCGCATATGTACAGCGCATATATGCGTCTATGTGGAAAAAGTTAGAAGATCACAAGAAGAAAGAAGTTGTTTACTCTTTCGTTTAAAGATTGACAATTTTTCCACTTTGGTCGTTAATGCTACTTTGCACTTGTTGTTTGATAACTTCCTTTTAGAACGTGAATCGTGAAAAGTGTGTGCGCGCGCGCTTGTTCCACAGAAATAGATAGAGATAGGGATAGACCGAAATCGAAATACGGAGACATCCAGAATGAAAGAGTGTTGCACAGAAAACTTTCTAATCTTAGTGTTTACTTTCCGGTAACATTGAATAGTTATTTAAGGCAAGAAATCAAAGCAGAAAAAACGAAAAAAAAACGGATTCCCGAACAAGAATAAAGGTCAACGAGTGAAGGGGAGGACAGCAGAGAAGAGATGGAAAACTGGAAATATTTTGTTTGCATAATCGATGGTTGTTTCCGCCTGTTTGGTTCATGACAGACAGTCAGGCCCTTTCTTATCTCAATGAGTAACTGTATGGGTGATATTTGCGTGTTGTTCGCACTATTCACACAATTGTCATGTATCGAATGGTATGACAAATGTCACCATCAAACCTAAAAATTAATGCCAAATGCCAATGACGATGAACAAGATTGAGGCGTGCCGAGAACATGCTCAAGAATTGTAAATAGTTTGATTTATGAGGTGATGTGCGGGAGTTTCTCATGATTTGTTGTTATTATTCTTGTTCTCCAGTTCAGTTCAGTTCAGTTCAGTTCAGTTAAGCAATCAATAATGTGCGTGTGATGGCAAATTAATATGAAATGTCGTTATGGCACTTCGTTCCCCGGGCTTCAATTTCATTTTTGGTTAATTCGCATTCACCAGCAAAATAATCACCCCCCGTGACACATTATCGTTTTTCGCACAAAATCACATTTCGATATCTAGCTCCAGCACCGTATAGTGCACACGGCGTACACAGCTGTTGCTGTGTTGGTGTGCGAGCTCGCAGAAAGACTGAGTAAAAAGCAAACGAGAGGGAGAAAAGCTCAAAACTTTAATGCCGCAACGAAACCAGATTGAGTTTGGCAAAGCATTGGTGCGGATACGGTACACACACTCTGGTGTGTTAAAACTACATCATTGATTCTATTAACCACGAGGAAAATCAAATAATGGCACTTTATCTAAATAAATTTTGACTGGTAACGTTTTCTTTTTCGAAGCAAGCTAATGTACTCATTCAACTAAAACCATTTTACCAAAGTAGCTCTGCACACGAGTCATTTTCCTCTCGTTTTCTCTCTCTCTCTCACTCTCCCTGTTCCAATTTTTCTCCCTGTTCTATCTCTCATTCGTCGAGCACACGATGCGAAAGTGTAGAAGAACAAAGCCCGTTCAAAGGCAAAACAAACTCGATTGGATTGAAATGTAGAACGCACACAAAAGTGCATGATGATAAAAATATTCGCATAAGAGAATTGAAAATTGATGCTACTCGCTTTTTTTTCAATAGTCTGAATTGGAAATGCACGTACGGGTACGCTTACGAAACGAGTACTCGCTAACATGAAATTTATTGCATGGAAAGATGTAAACGCGGAATACTGATAGTCGCATAGAAAAGCGAAGAATATTTTCGTAAGTTTAGCAGAAGGTAGAGAGAGTACAAATAAAAATACAAATCAGCAACGAACTATAAAAACACACAGATGAACATTCTTGAATCGTTGCTACTGCTGCTACTGCTCCTGCTGAAGAGCATTTCAAATTTGTGCACTCAAATCTGAGAGGAAGACAAAATGCGAGCAAATGAGCTCTGGAATGAGATAAAAGGAGGCCACATTTATGTGAGACAGAAAAGCGATTTACAATTGTCAACAAAACAGCTTGTATATTGGTGGAGTTATTTACATTGGTGTGTTTATGCTAGTTGAAAACATGGGAACACTTCGAGATGCAGATAAAACCCGATGAGATATACTTGCAGAAAAGCACACACATGAGAAAACATGGCATATTGTTCAGCCAACGGAGAAATGGAACGAGGAAGAGGAAGGCAAAGGGTGTGAGAGATACACACAGAATCACTGCTGTGCTCATTTACGGCCCTTTTTCTCTCCACATTTTAGGCGCATGAAATTGTTTTATATATGTGTACATAAACATCGGCTGGTAATATGTAGACACTTGCTGTAAAGACTCTTTATAATTCAATAACACTTTCACGCCTAATATGAACAGATAATTTATCAGGGTAATACATATGTGTATGTTATACTTGTGCTCCCTCTCACTCATATGTGCCGCCACTTTTCAAAAGCATTACCATCGATGCGTCACAATGATGGGTTCCACATAGTGTGATCGAATCACAGCTCACACATTTTTCCCCCTTATATTTATTATCGTGTTTCAGCTCCTGTTTATTATAACTATTATTATTATTGCTTGACACTTATGTTTGTGCCATATAAACGTAAAGCACTCGATAAAAACACTTTCAAATTGAAATTGATGGTAATATTTTGGTTGTTGCAATGAAAATGCGTGTTCCAACAGCGCCATTACAGCATGAACATGAGCCGGCCGTGAAATGATTCACAAATTTCAAATTGATTTACACAAAGTGTGCATCACTTGCTCAGTGAACAATGCTCACTTGTTCGTTTTCCATTTTTCTTTATTAACTAGACTAAAGAAAATGACGGGAACGAAGAAGAAGAGCAGAAAAGTGCGTATAACGTTCAACGTTGGGTGGAAAATTCCCACACAAATGAAAAACGCACAATATTTTCTGTGTGTGTTGAATAAATATGAAATTATTGGCCATTTTGTGCAACTTTGTGCTCAAATATGCTATAACACAACGTAGGTTAAGTGTACAGACACACATTTGCTATCTTATCTGAACGAAATTTTTCTGTAAAAGCCTGTGAACGTTAATCACATCTATTTTTATTCGATTAGGAAACAATGAGAGCCGAGAAATAAAAAAAAACACGTCGAAACCAAAGCACAGAAAAAAAACGGTTGAACATTGAAATGGACAATGTGACGCATTTTAATTTCAACATGTGGGAGAATGGTCATTGAGAAATTAATGTTAAAATGTTTTTCTCTTGCTCTGTACTCACCATAGTCATAGCCACCACTTTGGTCGGGAAACTGTGGATATTGATCAATTGATCCCAAGTAATAGTCATCGTAGTTGTATAGTCGGCCCGAGCGACCAGTTGAATTTGCTAATGGCACACTTTCAACTTCGCTGTTCAAATCGTCACCACCCAAAAAACTTATATCACTTCTGAGTGATGCGTCGTGCTCATGTGAATGTTTGTCACTTGTTTCGCCAACTTCCACATCCACTTCTGCGCTCACCAACAGCGCTTGATGTGAAATTATGGCAAAAAACGCAATAAAACTAATTAGCAAGTGCATGCTTTTCACTGCACTTCTTTCCAAACCCATGTCTATGGCACACTTTTATTTCGTTTGGCCGATTTTTTTTCTTCTCCTGTTTGCCACCCACTGTAAAGTGCTTTTTCACTGTTTTACTAATTTTTGATTGAAACCTGATTTTTTTTACTGTCTTTTGCTTTATATTTTTCACTATGAAAACACACAGAATAAAAAGGCGGAGATGATCACTTGTCAAGTTGTTTTGTAAAATTTTTATTGTCCTTTGGTGTTTAATTGTCGTTGCTGCATTGTGCCATTATTTTTTCTGCAAAAAATGAATACAACTAGAAACAACAACGGTTGGACTGATTTTAGAGTTTTAAATTTTTTTACACTGAGTGCAGCGCTTGCGGGGCGTTGTCATCAGCTTTTTAATGAAGAATGACGATTGTTTTATTCTTTTACGTTTTCACAAATCCGGTGTGTGTATAAGTGTGTTTTTTTCTATTTCGAAATTCACCTGCCAAAGATAATGGATATTTGTGTAGTGCGATAACGATTTTTTTTATCGATGCGCACGATAGTCCAAGCAGAAAAAAAAGATTTGGTTTCCCAATAAAATTTTAGCTAGGTTATGTGCTTTTTTTCTATCTCTATCCTCTACTTCGTTCCTTCTTCCGTATCTCTCCATTTCTTGTTTCATTCGGTTTGACTAACCTTATTTCGCATGTTTGCGCTTATCGCTTTATCATTTTTCTTTTATTTTTTCTGTGTGTTCCAACAATGATAAGGCATTCGGAGCTTCAATTATGTTCGTCGCTGATAAACATTATTACACCAAACGAATTGTGCTATGGAATTCCAAATGAAGGTGCGAACGACGCGAGCGCTCGCGCGCACGCATAACGAACTTGATTGTAGAGAGATACACCGTTATTCACCGTTGATTACAAACATTTGTGATTTCGTTGGAAAAAAAATGTTTCATCGCGCATTATTATTCTCATGCAAACAAATGCTATGGAATTGAGCCAATGAGTCATAATCTCTTTTGACAGCAATTTGACTGCAAACTATGAAGTAAATCGAGATTGCGGTTTTGAAATACGTTCAACTCCACCATTCGTACTCTCGACAGCAATGGAAAACTGCCAACCAGAAGTAGAACGCAATCGAATTTTTAGTGCAACTCATTTTAATTTTCCATTCAATTGCGAGTCGAAATGAAATTCCGTGAATTGCAAACGAAATGTTATGAAGTGCCAGCAAAATCGTTGGCGAACACTTTTCGTAGACGTAGTCAATTCTAGAATATCTTCTTCATTGTGGAAGAAGATGAAGAAGAACAACGGTCTGTATTCAAGCGAAAGTTTGGAGTCAATGTACGTATTTTCCGTCGATTATCCCCATAACACGGATGAAGTGCCAAATTAACAGAATTTTATGCATTTCCTTCCTTTTATGTTTCAAAATATATTCAAAACAACGCGCGTCTCTTCTGAGACTCCTACGGATGTTTCTCAAATAACAAGTAAGTATGTTGTACGCTGTTCCGTTGGTTATTCCAAAATGCCTTACATCGAACCGCGCTGCGTCAACTTCAAACGCAAAATCAAATTCCGTCTTTTTTTTCTTCGAAAAAAAAAGCATTGATGAATCAATGGTTGTTTAAGCATGTCATTTATGCTGGTATCGCTTGGAAAAGAGAAAAGAAAATTACCATGGTTTATAATACAAGACTTGAACAGCAAATATGTTTGTGCGTATATCGTTGGGATTTTGTGTATCCCCAAGGGTAAGCTACATCCAAAAGAATCTTTGAAGTTTTTGTCGAAAATATTGAAATATGTCTACTACATTTTGAATAACAGTCAATTTTCATTTTAATCAAATTTTTTTCTCCACCAGTTCATGAGAGAACGGTTTTTCTTTCTGCGACGCATATTTTTCTTAAAAGATAAACAAAATAATCAAAGAGTTACGCTGTGAATGTGTTAGTGAATGCATGCGAAACACGTACGATATGCTAAAGTAATTCAATTGAAGTTTTATTTCATGAGAAATGCCTGTGATTCACCTGTTTACTTTACGATAGCTACTAGTTATAAGTCATTTACTGCTCATTTACGGTGACTAATGTGTACAAATAATATCGATCAAACGATAGATTCGGATTGATGTTTTATTTGGTTTTCAGTCGAAAATAGCACTGTATGACTAATTTATTCTTGATATCTACAAAATTGAATTTCGACTCGGAATTTAATGATCGAATAGAGTTCATCCGGTCGGCAACATTTCAGATACAATTAGCAAAATGTTCCAAAGTGTTAGAAAAAATAAATATGTTTTAATCAAAGCGCCTTCGGCTCGAATACTGCAATACAAACAAATTCTTCATTACCTCACCTTACTCGGTGCTCACTACTCAGATAAATTGGCAATAAATGCCAGTGCAAACAGATAACATTCAGCTCGAGAGGAGTGTGTATTATCACTGCGTGCATGTAGCACATACACAGAGTATAAACTTTAAAATGCATATAGGCATTTTACGTTCACAATTAAATGGTGATGTTGATATTTCTGTACGTTAAGTGATGCGTATACAAACACACAGAGCGAGAGAAGGATAGAGAGAGAGAGAGAGAGAGAGAGAGAGAGAGAGAGAGAGAGAGAGAAGTATAAAGATTGTATTGTGAAGTGTGACGACGAGCTAACGAATAATAAATTTACATATTCATTCAGAGTAAAAAGTAAAGTCGACACACAAACCATGTATCTCTAATTCATGATGTTTCTTTTCCGTCATTTCTATAGTGTACTCTACTGGGTGACATACTACAGAATAAATTTTGTATAAATATGTATGTTATAAATACAGGAGAGGAAGAAACGCTATAAAAATAAACAACAAATAGAAAATACGGTTGTATGTATGCAGGCGCACAGGCAAGCAGGCAAGGCATATAATCTAGTATGGCTAAGAGTTGTTCAAATGAATGCGAACGTTGAAACGAAAGAATGAGCACAATGTTCGTTCATCAACAAAAAGTTAACGTATGTAAGTATATTTTGAATGAGAGACCGCTTGTGAAGAGTGTAAGAAAGCACAACAAAAATTGAAAGTGAGATGTGTCAAGTCGACGAGTGTATGCTCACGCATGTATGCGTTCTGTCGGTCTTGTCAACAGTGAACAACAACAATAATAGCAACATTCACACCAGTGCCACAGTAGTTCGATTGGTTAAACCAAGTTTTCAAAAGATAATATGATCTCAATTTCAATCTGTTCGGTATCTGTCTAAATTCGTTTCTAAAATGCACCGAGAAATAATTGAATTATTACATTTTTGACATTTCATACAACAATTGCCATGTATTTAAAAGGCAATTCCGTCTTTTCGTTTGCAAATCGAATGAAAACAACGTTTAGCACGTAAATAACAGCCGGTTGTGAATTTAGTGGCAAACAACGAGGTACAGAGCAAACCAAAAGAACAGAGACATACAGAAACAGAGAATGAGAGAAACAGAGGGCGTGAGAGTGTGTGTGTGTGTGTGTGTGTTAACGCGTTATCAAAATATATGAATTTACATTTGAGAGGAAAATAAACAAAATTATCAGCTGGTCGCTTAGTAGCCTAAGCACGGCTACGTGATTTTGACGATTCATTTCGTTTTCAACTGGTATTACAAATAGATCAATATTTATTTGATTTCGCAGTAACAACCAACCGTATTTCATTCATTGAAACTAAGTATTACAAAAATTATCGTGTTGATGTAGATTAGTGATAGATCGATCCTACGTTCGGTGAATTATTTATATTTAATTTATTCGATAGAAAAAGAGATAAGGTTAAGAAAGTGAGAGAGATTGAAAGTGTCGTGCGCGCGCGAAAAATAGAGAATTTGCCAACGCTAGCTATTGAGCCCCTCAGTTGTTGTTGCTGCTGTTGCTGTTGTTGTGTAGTTTTTGCTCTCCAATTAAAAGCATTGGAATGTATCGGTTTATGATTGAACGCACAATATTCAATCAATTGCAGCGTCAGGCAATCAGCGCGAGCAAGCGATATTATCAATGCAGCGGAATCGGGGTTTATGGCTATCGTCCCAAAAAGGAGGTTGAATCATTCGAGCGTAAGTCAGTCGCTTCTTCAATTTTTTTTCGGTTTGGTCAAGCCAAAAAAAAGCCAATCAATACATAATTTCGACGGTCCATTGAAACATTCCATTGGAAACAATTCTGCTCGTTAAAGTTGTTGGTTTCATGTTTAGTTATTGGATTTTCTTCTTCGCATTGTTGTCGCTTCTCATCAAGAAAATGGAACGTTCGTTATTATTCGGATCATATACACACACAAGTACATACGCACGCATCAAAGATACTAAAATTTCTTTAATCACATCACAGCCGCTGATAAGTGCCACTTTTGGTGAGTGAGCGAGTGAGAGGAAGAAGTATCAAATTATTGCGGCAAGAAGTGAAAGAGAGAGAGAGAGAGAGAGAGAAAGAAACGAAGAAAGAAAATGCCAACATATTGTTTAGAGCTATTCAAAATTGCTTTACGACGTGTTTTCGTTATCTCGAAACAACAATATTTGAACACAAAAGCTATCAAGATAGTTAAATTGTAAGCAAAAATCAAGAAAATAAATTAGATGAGAGAGCATTCTCTAGTATTTTTCTTTCGGTCATAAAACCAATGTAATGAAACAAGCGGAATTGTCTATCCTGGAATTTTGCGAGACTTCAAATGAATTAATGCAATGAAAGCCGTCTAAATGACCACACAAAGCAAAGGAAAAAGAGAGAAAAAACACGCGAAAATTCATTGAATTCCATTTGAGCGAAACGCAAAGCTTTCGTGCATTCTTATTTTGCTATTGTTACTATTGTTGGCACTAATTTTTTTTTATTTTTTTTTCCAAATGAAATTGCAGTCGACGATAATGTACTTAAGATTCGACAGCAGCAAAGTAATTTCTATCGATGGATTGAAGCGTTTCGCACACATTCACACCGCATCGCACAAACAAATCCCATTGAACTAGAGAAGAATAAGAATAAAAGGTATTTTCGTACACTTTACTCTATACTCCCATTCTTTCACTCGATCCATTGCATCATGTAATCCAGCGAAGCGCATTAACAAACAAAAAACACAAACACACAATGCTTTTGATTTCTTACTGGGGCAAGCTCGCTCACATCCATTTTCATTTCACGTTTTCGTTCGTCTTTGATTTAAAATGGCACAGTTTGTTTTGCTATTAGCCTTCCACCTGAATTGGAGCTGCATCGTTATGGACTCGACGAGCAACAAACACACAATTTTTGTGGTATTTTAAATAATGATATCACCAAAGGCACCGTTCGACAAGCGCAGGATTTCCTCAATCGTACCTATTGTGGCAGTGTTAGCATCGAATTTTCGTACATTGAATCGGAGCATGAGCGCGAATGGCTCACCGTGAATTATGAGAAATTTATCGCCAATGCAGATGATATATCGATTGATACGAAAAAAGAGATACTGGAACTACTGCTGAAATCACAAAACTGGGACCACTTTTTGGCGAAAAAATTCCCAAGTGTTAAACGCTATGGCGGTGAAGGTGCAGAGTCGATGATGTCGTTTTTTCGCCAATTATTATTATTGGCAGCTCAAAATGAGGTTAATAACATTGTGCTAGGGATGCCGCATCGCGGTAAATTGAATCTACTAACAACGATGCTCAAGACACCACCAGCAAAAATTTTCCACAAATATAAAGGAAACTCTGAATTTCCGTCCGGTGTTAAAGCAATGGGTGACATAGCAAATCATTTCCGTAATTACAATTTCTGTTTTTATTTTCCACTCTCCTCTTCGTATGGAAGAAATTATAAACAAAATAAATAGCGAGAGCAAATAAAGAACCAGGAGATAATATTGTGAGATATATTTGCTCCTTCACCACATATAACTGACTCCCATCGTTTGCTTGCAGATGTGAGCGAAGATTTTGAAATAAATGGCAATAAAGTTCATTTGACGATGCTGCATAATCCATCACATTTGGAGGCCGTGAATCCGGTATCGATGGGTAAAACGCGATCAAAGCAGCAATCTTTGCGCGACGGTGCTTTCAGCAGTGATGCTCACAAGCGATTTGGTACCAATGTAATTAATGTGCAGGTAAATCATTTGGTGATTTTTCCATCCATCCCACTTATTCGATTTGCAAATAGCTGCAATGCAAATGCAAAAACCAAACGAATTCACTCATCATTTTATAGTTGCACGGGGATGGCGCGTTCTGCGCACAAGGTATCAATCAAGAAATGCTTATGATGGCTGATGTACCGCATTTTGAGGTTGGCGGAACAATTCACATGGTAATCAACAATCAAGTGGGATTTACGACACCCGCAGAGCGTGGCCGATCAACGCGATACTGTTCCGATTTGGCGAAATGCATTATGGCCCCAGTATTCCATGTTAACGCTGATGATCCTGAAGCCGTCGATATTGTGACACGTTTAGCATTCGCATATCAACGAAAATTCCGCAAGGATGTTTTCATCGATTACATGTGCTTCCGACGCTGGGGTCACAACGAATTAGACGACCCGACATTTACAAATCCAGCCATTTATAAGATAATTCATTCGCGAAAATCAATTCCCGACAAGTATGCCGAACGATTGATTCAAGAGAATGTGGTTAGTGTGGACGATGTGAAAAAAATCATCGAAAATCATACACGTTACCTTACGGAAGAGTTGGATAGAGCAGACTCGTACAAACCCGAAGCATACTACTATCAAAGGGGATGGAAAGATCTCCAGCCGGCTTCATCATCAATCACAACATGGGATACCGGATTGGATTACAGTATTTTACATTACGTTGGCATACAGAGCGTCTCATATCCGCAACAGTTTGTAAATTGATTTTCAATCGCATTTTACTCGATGAATCGAGTTCATTGTAATTTTTTGTGTTTGTTTCTTCCTTTGCCAGACCATTCATCCACACATTTTAAAAACGTTCGTGAAAAATCGAAAAATACGACTGGAAACGGGCCATAGGATCGATTGGGCGACGGCCGAGGCGATGGCAATCGGAAGTCTTATGTATCAGGGCCATAATGTACGGATTAGTGGCGAAGATGTTGGACGTGGTACATTCTCGCAGCGGCATGTAATGCTCGTTGACCAGCAAACAAATGAAATGTACATCCCATTGAACGATATGTCGCACGGCAATGGTGGCAAATTGGAAATTGCCAATAGCATTCTATCGGAGGAGGCGGTGCTTGGCTTCGAATACGGTATGGCAATCGATAATCCAAACAATTTGATTATATGGGAAGCCCAATTCGGCGACTTCTACAATGGCGCTCAAATAATCATCGATACGTTCATTGCATCCGGCGAAAGTATGTAGAGTAATTGAATGTCATTGATTCTATTTTCCTAATTTCAATCATTTTCATTTTCGTTTTGCATGTTAAATTGATGTCGTCCTTATCGGTGCTCCATCGTCATCGTCGTCGTTGGTGTTGTTGTTGCTGCTGCTGCTGCGTTGCAAATTCGATTTGAATTGAATTCGTACAGCCAAATGGATGCACGCAAACGGTTTGGTTATGCTGTTGCCACATGGCTACGACGGTATGGCATCGGAGCACAGTTCGTGTCGTGTTGAACGGTTTTTACAGCTCACCGATTCGAAAGAATGTTCGCCCGAAGGCGACGACGTAAATTTACAAATTGTGAATCCAACGACACCCGCACAATACTTTCATGCGCTGCGGCGTCAAATGGTTCGTAATTTCCGAAAGCCTTTAATTGTTGTCGGACCAAAAACCCTATTGCGTTTGTCAGAAGCAACATCCGTGTACACCGATTTCCTGCACGGTACCACATTCAAGCCGGTAATCGAAGATGTAATCGCCATGGAAAAGGATCGAGTGAAACGTGTTATTCTATGTAGCGGAAAACATTATTATAATTTGAATGCATTCCGTGAGGAAAACAAAATTCGCGAAGTTGCAATCGTTCGCGTGGAATCGTTGTGTCCGTTCCCGGTGAAAGAGCTTAACGAATCCTTGGACTTGTATAAGAATGCCAAAGGTACATGCCAAACCGTTTTATAAATCTCGCTCGCTCTGAATTTTCTAATTTACAATTGAGAAACATTTGTGATAATTGTGTGCTGATTCTGAATTTTCCATTCCGATAGAATTTGTATGGTCACAAGAGGAGCCGAGAAATATGGGAGCATGGTGGTTCATTAGACCTCGTTTCGAAAATATGGTAATATCATGAAATACCATGAGATTGATTCGTCCGTTTTGTATTTTCGGTTCCACTCGTTTTTTTTTTCCTTTCAGTGCGGACAGAAAATCTCCTACCGCGGAAGAGATGAGGGCGCTACCACTGCCGTTGGAGTTTCATCTTGGCACAAAATTGAAGCGGAACGAGTCGTTGTGGATGCATTCAAGGGCCTTTAAAAAAAATTTCAATCGAAAAAACACACACACACAAGAAAACACATTGTAAATTGGATAGATTGTTTTGAAGTTGGAAATTAAATTTATTTTTATAAAACGGTTTGATTAGTCTATTTGAAATTGGCACAAGTAATTCACAGAGTAAAATGACGAAATGTTACAAACGAAAGAAGAGAAGAAAAAAAAAAAACGAAAACTCAAATGTATTAATATTGTAAATACGAATGTATAGAGTGTAGACTGTTTAATTAAATATTAAAATTTCTGTATGCTTTTTTTCCCTCATTTTATTTCTCTTTATTGTTTAAAATTGTCTATTAAATTTTTTGTGAAAAAAAAAAACAAAACGAATGCTATGAGTAAAATTTGCTTTATTCTGACGATGACACTTATGAAACGAGAAATCTCACAAACGAATTTATGCGGAGATATGGAACACGAATTAAATGAGTTATGTATAAGAAATATGATTAGGTTTCATTTAGTTCAAACGTTTCCATTTCAATGCACTCATGTTCTTCTTCGCATATTTCTGATTCTGGTGATACGCTGCGTTCTCTGTTTGTATCGCTTTTATTTTGATTGTAGATGCCCGAATAGATTTGTTCCAACAGTATATAAAACTCTTTAGACTCGCGATACAAGTAGAAAAGGAGTCATATCCAAAGGCCAACTATTACACTGCATACAGCAAATATGATTATTTCGAATGTTGATGAACTAACAGTGACCGAAGGTGCCGCATTCCATCCACATTCAAGCTCGGATTTAAGTACCTATTTTGCCGGGAAAAAAAGTACGGAGAAAGAAAACGAGTAAATAAGAGAAAGTGTGAAATGACGAATTGAGTGGTAGGATGTCGGTCGAATCGATGGATATAGAGATAATGCTAGTGAATGAAAATGAAATCGGATTGAAGTGTTTCATTTGCATGTACTACCTCAATCAATTGCTGGGACTGTTTATTTGAACAGGTCACTTCACGCAATTCATTTTCCAACCGATTCCCGTCGATGCCACAAGATGCACTGCGTTCGTAGACAGTTGAAGAATAGACAGGCGAATGAATGGGTGAACCGAAAACATCTTCACTCCATGTTTGAGCACCGCAAGCATATTGCCGTTGTTTTCGAAACCAATACTCCATCCATCTACAGCATCAATAAAATAATAAAATGGGGAGAGTGAGAAAAAAAGAAAACGGAAAAATCTCTTAAGCTTCTTTCCATATATTCTCTTGCAATGCACACATTTCACATTTTATTTTCCTTCCATCTCTGTGTCTGCGTGTGTCTGCGTGTGTGCGTGTGTGTGTGTGTCTGTGTGTGTGTGTGTGCACTGTGCATATCCTTTTCTAACAATGGAATTAAAACGTTACCCAACGTCACAGTCGCAACTAAATGAATTTCCAGCTATTTTCAAGTCGGTCAAATAGACACGTTCCGCCTCAAGTGGTCGCTGAGCCGTATTCGGATTGAACTGTTTAGTTAGCGCTTTGTTATTGTTGCTCACATCAATTGAGATATTTTGCACTCGACCTAATTGGCGGAAAGCTTTTTCCGGTATGCTCGTAATCGATGTATTGAATAATCGCAAGTGAAGTGATTTTGATTGAACACCCTGAAACGCACAAAATTCAAATATAATCAAATCAAATCGAGATTATTACGTGATGTTATCTTTGATGTGTGTGTCAGAGAGAAAGAGAGAGAGAGAGAGAATTTTATCTGTGCACAGTAATAACAATAGCAATGAAAATGCAATTTTACATACCTGAAGGATTGTCTCGGCAATCGACATGAATCCTTTGCCGCTAATTGTAATTTCACGCAATTTCAGTGGCAATTGTCCGGTCATTTCTTTGCGCAAATCCGTTGCAGCAACATTCTTATAGGTAATCTTCGAACCGGAAATCACTTTCTGTGGTTCGGGCGAGCTAATCCAGAGTTTTTGTAAATTCGACAATTTGGATACCACTTTCGGAATGTTAAAATCAGGAAGATCTGCATAGGTGGACAATTGCAATGAACGCAGTGACGTTGATTTGCCCAATGCACCGTTCTGAAAACCATACACAAACATTTCAATGAAAATTCTCACAAAAATATTTGCTGCCAAACAATAATTACTTCTAATATGCTCAAGTGCAAGCTAGAAATGTCCAAATAATCCAGTTTATCCAAAATACCGCCGAATGTATTGTTGTGTATGGCCGTTATCGGATTTGCACCCAACGACAATGACCTAGTTTCAATGGAACATTTATTCATTTACCAATTTTTGCTAAAGTGATTTCAGTCATTTGAAAAAAAAAATGTTACCTCAATTGCGGCAACGCATGAATCAAACTGGGAACAGCTGTTAAATCGTTTCCGCTTACGTCCAACGATCGCAGCGACGATAAATTGTATGCCAATTCTTGTGGAACGAATGGCAGTGAATTGCGTGACAAATGCAATGCTCTCAAGCTGGGCAACGTTAATTCCGGCACCGATGTTAGTGACACATTATTCAGTGTTAATGTAAATAAACAATCCTCTAGCCCCAAAAACGCTTTATCCATAACTTTTAACTCATTGTTGTTCGATAAATCTAAATAGGTTAGATGCGGTAGCGTTGTAAATGCAGCATCATCAAGTCGAAATAGGCGATTGTTCGATAGATTCAATGTGGCCAGTGACTGAGAGTCATGTGCGGAAAAGCCACCGCAATTAAAATCAAATTAATCCCAAATTGATTGGAATTTGATAGCAGTACAAATTAGAGAGAATGAGATAAAAATAGACAGAGTGATAGACAGATTGTGTGTGTGTGAGGAGAGAGAGGAATAGAGTGCTACTCACGCGAAACTTGTTCGATAAGTCCATGCTGTGTATTGCAACGATTCCATTGTGCGATAGATCGAGATTACAAAGCGCTAGTGCAGCCATATTCGTCATGGACATGACCGGAATTTTCGTGATCAAATTGTGAGACAAATCCAAACTGTTTGGGAAATTGAATGACAGAGAAAATGTACACTTTCAGCATTTTGCAGGCAATTTGATATATAGCAATGAAACAATATATCTATATGGGGTCTATAGATTCTTTCTCCCCCGTTGGGCGCGCGCGAGAGAATTGGAGAGTAAACAAAAAAAACATACGATTCAACACCGCCACCGGAAAACAGTCCATCTGGTAATGATCTTAAATTATTGTGTGATAAATTGACGATCCTTAGGTCAACATTGGATTTAAATATGCTCTGTGGTAATTCGTTAATGCTATTACGCGATAGATCAAGAACCTGTACGAAGAAAAAAGCAAACAAACGAGAGTATATTAATTTTTATCGGAATATTTGGTCAATGTTATCAATTTGAAAAGAAAAAAACAAAAACAACAAGAGAGCAAAGTATACATTACTTGTAGCTTTTTTGAGCTGACAAAACTGTCGAAATCCAATTCGGTAATCAGATTGTACGATAAATCGAGCCAATGTAGAAAAGGTATGTGTCCAAATATATCGCGTGTTGTATTCTGCGAATGCGAAAACAATCGAGGCCCAAGAAGCAGAAGCAGAAGAGGAAAAAAACGACATAGAACAAACACCCGATGGAATGAATAAATCGAACGATGGTCGAATTGCAAACGAAAACAAATGTATAAACAATGTTTGTGGGGTCACCATCAATATTTGCTTACCGTCAACTGATTATGAGCCAGATACAAGTGAGTCAATGATATTTCGGCCGGTCGAAAAAAGCCGGCCATTATGCCCGTTATAACATTGTGCGATAAATCCAATACCTTAATATTCGAATGGTACGCGGATCCTGTGTGATGACACAAATTTATTGCTACTCATCAGCCACATGCATATTTTTGTTTTATTTGGTTTGGTTTGTATGTTTGTTCATATATTTGGTTGTTTTTTTTTTCATTCAGTTTCAAAAATGTTTGAATTGAATATTTATTAAGATTGATTTATTTCAATGAATTTTTTTTTTGGAGTGGATAGATTTGGTTGTGTGACGGTCGGTAGTGTACATGGATTCAGTAGCAACGAGAGACAACAAGATGGTTTTGTGCAGTGCAGATAGATCATATTAAAGGAAAACATTCATAATTGATTGCTTAATCGATTATATTATTGGTGTTTGTTTTATTTTCGATTTGTATTTCTCGTCAAACGCACAACAAAACAAAAAAAAAGAAGGAAAAACCGTTGAGCGAGAGAAACACAGTTCATTTAATTTGCCAATGGTGAAAATTTGTAAGACATTCTTACCGGCTTCTGATCGTCCAATTGCAACATCGCTGCCACTATGATTCAGAGACAATTCGATAATCCGATTATGGCTAGCATTCACGTGTAATGATGATAATGTTCCAACCTATAGCAAAAAAAAAAGTTAACATATTTATGCGCTACTGACGACCAGCTCCAAGTCATTTTGCATCGTGTGCAATTCGTTGCGTACCTGATCACACATATTGAAATCAAAGGTGACCATCGAATTATATGCCAAGTCCAATAACTGCAATTCCGGAAGATTCTAAATAAATAAAGCAATAAAATAACATAAACATACGTGAAATTTCGATGGAATTGAATGTGATATGGTTTTTAATATAGTAATCATTTATTAAATCAACATCAAGTGATGATGTCAATAAAGACGAAACGTTCGACGTCGATGATGACAACTAATTAAATTGTCATTTCAATTAAAATTATGATGGTATATATTTGTCTTAGTTACGAACCATTGACCAAAAAACCAAAGCCATTTTTAATTTCAAGTCAAATCATATTCGGAATGTGTTGAATGTGTATGGCTTAACAAACTGTAGGTAATATGGATAATTGCGGTAAATGCATACCACTAGCGACATCTGTACGATAACCATGAATCGGAAAAGTTTCGATGTCGATACCACTAATCGGTTTAAACGAAGCCATTCAAGTGAAGTCATTCGCTCGTTCCATATGTACATGACTAAGTTCAGTGACATATTATTCTGACACATTCGGTTTATTGTGTTCTTAATCGTTGTGCCGCTCTTGTAAACACGTGTGAACCGAACAATTAAACACATTGAGTGTGGTACGAAGGCGACTTATAATTTTTCTTTCCATTCGAAAAGTGTTCTTACTGAAATGATTTCACACAGAAATATGACAGAGTTTGAAGTGGAAAGCATGTCAGAAGGCTCCGAGCCCGAAGAAGAATTGGATGATTCAGATTTGGAGGTAAATTTCAATGAAAATTATTTTGATTTGCTAATTACTTGTTGTGTGCCATGCGTTATCTTAACGATTATTTACATGTTATCCATAGTTGCAAGAGGCTTTTGCTCGTGGTGATTTGAAGCCCGGTTTGAACGTGGAAGTCAATGGTGGTAAAAGAAAAGCCGTCAACAATATTGTAAGTATTTTTGAAACAATTTCCCATGAATTAATGCATTTATTTTAATTTCATGTGTATGTTTTGTGCATTTCAGCTTGGTTTGAAGCAGAAGTTGGATAGTTTTAAATTGGATTTGCCATGGATTGAGCGCTTGGATATTATCAACGATTTGGCACCATTGGCTCCGGAGCAGGAGCTTCAATTGCAGAAATATGAACACAAACGGGCAAATTTATTTGCTGGAAATGCAAAAATCAAATCATTCACACCGGAAGAAGATCCAGTACTGAACGATTTTCGCCGTGAAATGTTATTTCATCGTCAAGCGCAGTCAGCCGTTGTGGAGGGCATCAAACGTTTACACGATTTAAAAATCCCAACCAAACGGCCCGATGATTACTTTGCTGAAATGGCCAAAACCGATGAACACATGCAAAAAGTGCGTGAGAATTTATCAGCCAAACAACAAGGACAGGCCAAATCAGAGCGTCTCAAACAGATTCGTGAACAACGTAAAATGGGTAAATTGATTCAGCGACAGGCTCGTGTGCAAAAGGAGACCGAAAAACGTGAAATGCTCGACAAATTGAAGAAGTTCCGCAAGGGAAAATTAAAGAATTTGGACTTTTTGGAAGATAATCGCAAATCAGGCGGTGCTAGTGCTGGTAAACGAACGGCAAGAGATAAGAAATTCGGTTTTGGCGGTAAAAAACGCGGCTTGAAGCGAAACACGAAAGATTCATCGATGGACACGGGTGGTTCGAAACCGTTCAATGCATCGCGTGGCGGTAACAAAAATAAAAAACCACCAAAACGCTTAGGCAAAAATAAACGAGTCAAAGCAAAGGCCAGAGGTGGAAGATAAACTTTCTCTTTTTACTTTATTCTCTTTTAGAACTCTAACAAAATGTAAGATAACGCTGTCAAACTTAAAAACAAAAATAATAAAGAGACAAAAAAAAATTGAAAAAACATCCAATTCATTTATGTAGTTGTGTTTTTTGTTGGATTATTTTCGTGTGGTTAAATGCTTGGAAATTCGTTTGTTTTTCTTTTCTTTTCTTTTCTTTTCTTTTCTTTAGCAACCGATAGTGTTTGTTATCACTCGTTTTGTAAATGACTCAGATTCATCATGCATACACGGATGTCATCGTCAATTGTTCAATAATGGTAATCTTGAACGGCATGCGTTGAATTTGTTGGAAGTAAAAATACTGGATTGATGAATTGTGTATTTTGCACTTGTTGTGCCTGTGAAATGTGCATCTCGTAGAGATTCGATGTGCACATTCCTTGTTCGGGCATAGTCATGCTGGTGCTCATGCTGGTGCCCATGCTGTTCATGCATGAATAGTCGACGTACGTTTGTATGGGATTTGGCTGCACGGGATGCGGTTGGTAACTTTGAACATTCTGAATCTGCAGTCCGGTCATATTTTGGTTCGGCATTATCAACGGTTGCTCTTTGTACACGACATTTTGTTGATAGCCTTGAGATTCAATTGGATGTCGTTGGTTTGGTACTTGCAAATCAGTTAGGTCTTTGACTTTTAATCGTGGCGATGTATCCAAGTACGGATCGACAGCCACATTTTGATTCCATGCATCGTATTGTGGCTGTGGTGGAAGCGATGACAGGGATGCAAGTGGTGGTGGTTGCAGCGGCGGCTGCTGCTCTTGCTGCTGCTCGTGCTGCTGCTCCTGCTGCTGCTCTTGCTGCTGCGGTTGAACCCAGCCATTGCAAGACTGAACGGGCACTTCGGGATAATTGATGGGATAATTTTCCATGGGCTCAGCTTCAGGTTCTGGCTTGATCTGAATATCCGTATCGTTGTATACGGCTGATGTTGGGAGGAACGTACTTGAGACTGTTTGATCTTGACTCACTTGCAAGTCTTGTCTATTTTGTGCTTTGAGCGGTGTCGATATGGTGGTGCATTGCACGAGTGTTTCGCCGATTGTCATTGGCTCGACCAATTTTCTTGTCGCCACCGGCTGTTGTTTGTTTGACGAAACTGTCACCGGAATATGTCTCTTTGGCGCTTTCCGTATCACCGTTTTCATAACGGCTTCATTCGTCCGTTTCTTCCAGTTTTTACCGAAATTCTTCTTTTGATTTTTGCTCGATTTGGTAGCTCCACTGGCAACGGCCATTGGATTAATGGCTTTTTTATCCACATCCTGTTTTGCTCCATCGTTCGCTGATACATCGAAATTTTGTTTTTTCTTGTGCGAGAGGGTATAATGTGCCCGGTATGCTTTACGATGAATAAATGTACGATTGCATAGTTCACATCGCATTTCGCCCGATAGAAGGTGATTTGGTTCCTGACCTGCAGCCGGTTTTTTGTGTACTGGTTTTCGGTTAGCTGGTCCAGGTTTTCTGAGTAGATCAGGCATCAAACTGTTTACTTGCATCGATGGTTGTTTCGGTGAATCAGGCTTTTTAACCGGCTCTTCATTTTTCAATGGGTCCCGTTTCAGTAATAACATTGTTCGATACTTGACACCGTGCTCACTCTCGAAATGCGACTTCAAATCTTTGATGTTATCATGGAACGATTTTTCACAGATCATACAATAGAACAAACAGGCGCCATTGTTCCAATGATCAAGGATGCTTTTGTTGTTCGTATGCAATTTCCAACAGTTCACGCACCGAATATATTGATTATCATCCAGATTCAACATACGACCCTAAAAAAACAAGTATTTTCCATTGAATAAATTACAAATATTCCGAAGGAACAAGAACACTTCAATACAACTTACGCGTCGCAATTTTGGTTTCAATACTTGCACAGCGTCGATTTTATTCAATGATACGTGCAAATGATCCATATTATGCTCAGCCAATTGCTTTTCGTCGGCGAATGTTTTTGTGCAGTAAGTACAGGAGAATTTCTGTCGTTTGCTTGATGGTCCCGCTCGATAGGTGTGCAAACTGGTAATATTTGATATTTGTAGACTTGATGGCGCTTGATCGCTTTTTCGCGGTTTGAACACCGAAACCGATGACGTAATGTTGAATAGTGGCTCAATCTTCAACGGGATTGGCATTTTGGAATCGAATTTGCTCGCAGGGTCTTTGGTCATCATTCGCGATTTAAGGGGCATAATACTGATTTCGTTTCTTTGTTCGAGTAGGCGAAGGCGTGAGTCCAAATTGGCCGGCGATGACACTGATAGCGCAACCGAGCCCATGGAATCATTGATGTTTTGAGTGAGCTCAGCCACTTTTGGGATACATTTCTTGCGTTTTTCTTGTGACTTCTGTTTGTCATGTAAAATTTGTTCGTACATAAATGCTTCGTCAACCAATTCTTCGGAATAATTGATGCGACGTCTTTGTCGTGGCTGTATACTGGGCGATGTATCCAGGCTCATCTGTGGCGATTTGGTTTTTTCTGTCAAAGGCCCCAAAACATCATGGTCATGGCTTGCAGCTGGCTCTTTTTTCATTGTGACTTTTTTCTTGGGACAAACTTGCGGTTTGGACGATATAACATTGTAATTGAATGGCTGCGCTGTACGACGATTGACTCGTGTTCGACTTACAAGTATTTCATTCTGCGAAATAATTTCCAAAATGTCATTTCTGTACTTTTTATACGGCATTTCAGCCTTTGGAATGGTGTTTTTGTCAGTCGGCTGTACGATGACCGGATTCAAAACTTGCTGTTCAACTTGAGCCTTTAGCCGGCGTTTCAGCTTTCTACTTCGAATGTAGCCAGCGAATTTTTGTCGCTTCTGACGTCGCTTCTTATCACGTTCCTTTTCCAATTGTTTTTGCTCAAATTCAATGTCAGGGGTCGTTTTTTCGGCGACGCTAGCCATTTCTTCCTTTGGCACCTCGTCATTTTGCTGAATTGGCTGCACGTCGTTGCTATCCAATGGATCTTGTAAATCATTATGATTCTGCTCATGAATCATGTATGCATCGACTTTTTTGCGTATTTTGTCAATTTCGCCCTGAAATAAAAAATCATGATTCATCATTTTGAGGTTTTTGTTTTATTAAACAGCCGGTTATGAATTGTTTTTTTTTCTTTCTAAACTGAGATTGGCATTTAATATAAAACGTTCTCCCGTTAAACTAAGTGCATTGGTAACATTTTTCCCAGAGAGTCTGTTTGTTTGTTTATTTGAATTTTAATTAAGGTTTGAATCGAAAATGTCCACTTACACTGTAATGTTCTTCGATTTGTAAATATGGATGCGATGAATTTGTTTGCTGAATTTCGTCGCGCCATTTTTTGTCCAACGTTTGGAATCTCTTGATTTTTATGTAAAACACATTGACATCTTGTTCGCACTGAATACAAATTCGATTTGGCAACGGATCATTACCACCAATCTAAACAGAAACACCAAAAAGAAGATATTGCGCAAAAAATGGTAGATTTCAGCACTGAATATGACATAATTTGCGAATTTATCCCACAATTACTTACCAACAATGAAAAGGTTTCTTGTACTTTTGATAGTAATTCGGCACTGTTTTCATCGTTCAGTGACCGTCCGTTCTCGTTTTTGCAGCCACACAGTCGACATAAACTTTGATTTATCCGACTCTCGGTCATTTTGCAATTCGATCCGAATACAAAATTTTAAACAAAAAAACACAACAACACTTATCCAAAAATGAAACTGAAAAATGGTCAAAAGAAACTAAAAATGATTTGTGCGTAAGGGGAAAAGAGTCGCTTTTTAATGCGATTTTAAAATGCGAAACATTTTGGTCTGTCGCTTTATTTTGAATGTGTATCGTTAGTTGAATGTGTGTATCCCTTTGTATTAAACCAAAATTTCGTCAATTACATTTGACAGACAGTCAAGAAAATGAAGGAATCTTATGTTAAGTGCGCGGTAACGCTAACAATACACTAGCACAACAGGCAATTTTGACAGATACACACATCAACGAACTTGTTCGTTGTGTGTAAGGAGTGCACACAAATCGAACAACAGTCGCACACAACCAAACCACGATGTATACGTGTATGGGTATGTGTATGGCACATTTGAAAAAATTCAAATGAACGGATCCGTTGAAATTCCAACAACGACCCGAATTTTTTAATTATTATTACGAAAAGCCATAAAATAATTTTTTTTTCAATACAAAATATGTAAATGATCTAAAAACCTGAAATGCTTCGTCCGATACAAGATCCAATTTGTTGCCTCGCAGTGTTAAATATTTCAATTTGTTGAGATTCATAAAGGCCCCCTTCTCAACAGCTGTTATACGATTGTCATCTAGCTGAAGTCTTGTTAGCTCCTGAGAACAACAAATATTTAATGAATTAAAAATGATAAATTGATTAATTTTTTTCGTTCGAAAGATAAAGAATGCAGTGAACGCCATTTGAAGCCATTTTACATTTGGAAATAGTGTCAAATTCGCTTCAGCAAATGACATTTGACCCAGAAAACTGTTTGTTTTAATTTGATTTAGCAAAAATGTATGTATTTTTCTATCGATTTCATACTAACTTTTAGGTCAACAAATGTATTCTCCTCGATTTTCTTCATGCTATTGTAATGTAGTGCTAGTATTTCCAGTTTGGAGTGAATATCACCCTACGTATGCAAAGATAGATAAAGAGAGAGAGAGAGAGAGAGCGAGAGAGAGAGAGAATGGTTTCATTATACAATTCGGCGTTGTGATCGATCGCTAGAATAGAAACCTGGAAAGTGCCTTTCGATATTTTTTCAATCACATTGTCATTGAGTTCGACGGTTCGCAAATTGTTTAGGAAATGGAAACTTGTATCGCTTATGGATTTCAGTTGATTATTGCTTAAATCGAGCTCTTGCAATGAAGTTAACGTGCGGAATGATTGCGCTGGAAAAGCGGTAAATGAGCCAGATAATCCGTGTGCAATTTTCAACGATGTCAATGAGTGACCAATCTAAACATGGAAAAAAACACACAAACACATGAATTATTTGTAAAGGAAGAAGAAACAAACAAAACTAAATCCATTTGCATTACCTCCGTAAATGCGTCGGTATCGATTGAACCGATGTTATTTTCGCTGAGATCTAGTCGACGAACGCCTCGTATGTGTCGGAACGTATGTGATTTGATTGATTCAATTGAGCTTTGGGTAAATTTTACGTCTTCCAGTTCAACGCCATAATCTATGAAAAAATCGGGTGCTAGATTTGAGGATGATAGCATGCCAACTGACAATGATCGGAGACTTCGCATTCTGAAAATTAGTGAACAATAAAATTTCGACTCCTCTAAACACATGCTAGGGGCATTTCTCACACAAAAAATTTGAGCAAATGTGCAAAAATGTCTATTATTTCTTCTTTTTTATTGAAATTGTAAGAAAATGTACTGAAATGACGATATTGCTTGAATAAAAGTGTTCTGGAAGTGGGTTTTGGTGGATCTCAAGGATCGTTCAGAACTGCTCCCGGTTCTGGAAGTAGATCTTCAGGATGGGCCAGGGCATTGTCAAACCGGATCTGGTCCATCCTGAGGATCCACCAAAACCCACTTCCAGAACACAAGTTCAGTGTAAATGAACATTTATTTACACGAATAGATAAAAATTGATCGAATCGGACCGAACGGAAGAAATTTTTCAAAATTTATAAGAATTCATTTATTCTTTTCGTGAGAAATGCCCCTAGAACACATGCGTAGGTGTGTAAATTAATCAAATTCCACTCACTGATTGAAATTCTTTAGATTTGTTCCGCCATTATGTTTGCCACTCATATCGAATTTTTCGATGTACGGCCAAATAGCAGAAAATACCTCACTTAGTTGCATTTCTTTGTTGCTACCAAATTTATTATCTTTGATGTTTAGCGCTCTGAAAAATTTATAATTGTTTTTAACATCAAAAAGAAAAATCGGCGAATTTTCAGGGAAACGATGGAAAATTACTTGAATTCAGTGAAGCCCTTCAAAAATTCCATTGGCAAAGCGGTGAGATTATTGCCAGATATATCGAGAATTTGCAGTGTTCTATCCAGTCCATCGAATGAAGCGGGTGAAACGAAGCTTAGGCCACAATGTCTAATATAGAGTTCGCGTATGCGTGCCGATTCGAACGCACGTTCGCCCAATGCGTTCAATGGATTACCATCCAAATAGGTTACGTTTACTACATCAAAGTGTGCAAATGACGCAGTCGGTATTTCCTCAATTCGATTGAATTCCAAATGCAGTACATCCAATGTTAATTTCGATGCGATTGTATCGTTCTCGATGCGAATGGTTTTAATTAAATTATGCGATAAATCGAGGACACGAAGGTTTCTTAACGGAGCTAATGCATTGTAAGGGACATCTCGAAGCGCATTATTTGATAACAACAACTGTAAAATATAGATTTGATCGCAAAATTAATCATCAGTTGATTCAGAATATATTGCACAAATGTTTAGTTAAACCTTGGCCAGTGATGGCATCCCCTCTTCAAATATGCTCGGATCAAGATAGGCGATATTATTTCCAGACAGGTCAATCGTATCCAATTTGGGTAATGATGTGAATGCGCCACGAGGTAAACTATCAATTGAATTATCAGCCAAAATTAACCGTTCAAGTGATCCGTCCAAGCCGAAAAATGAATCCAATTCAATGCAATCGATGTGATTATTACTTAAATCTAATAATTTCAACTTTTTCAAATTGTGTAATGCACGCGACGGCACTTCAACCAATTGATTGTGATGAAGTGATAATTCCCACAGTGAACGTTCTAAGCCATCGAATGCACCTTCTAGCACTTCTCCCAATGGATTGTGTGAGATTTCAATGCGATAAAGTCCTTCATACGAATAAGAAACAAGGCTTTAATGGTTTATTCGGCGGTAAACAATCTGAAAAATTCAAAATTACCAGTTCCTTGCAAGAAGCTTGACGGTAGACTCTGTAGACCAGTGCTTTCCATGTGCAACATAAACACCTATTTTTATTATGGTCAAAGATCATTTTTAAAACCGATCATACAAATCGTACATTTCACAAAGAAACGAACAAAAGGATTGACGACGTACTTTTGAATTGTTGAGAGTTCTTGGAATGGCTGGATAGGGAACATTTTTGCATTGTATGATACCGAGATCGTTGGGTGATGCTTTTGAACATGTACACAATGGGCTAAACAAACATGGTGGATGTTTATTACTTTCCAATTCACGTGCTCCGACTAATGATGCCCAAACCATGAGTAGCATTGTAACGATTACCAGGGCATAGCCGAATCGTATCAGCGCATCTACTTGATTCTGTTTGATTGCACATTCAAAATTTGATTAATCCAATTGCTAAAAGCACACCATCACACCAGTTAACTCACCATTATTTTTCCACTCTATCTTTCCACTTTATAATCTAAATCAAACCAAATCAATCAATTTTGTTTTACTTTTGGTGGAGAAAATGCCACATTTTCTCAAAATTGTCACTTGTTTGCATACACGCCAAACTTTGAACACTGATTTTTGTTTTTCGACAGACACAACCGGGGGGGAGAGTACGGAACCAGTGCTCGAGCACTTTGCTTGTTCAAATTATACAGTTATTTACCACGTCCGTACGTCTTCTTTGATCGGCTTCCGTACACTTACTATGTGTGCATGTAGATAGATTCTGGTGGCGGGCTGAACAACGCTTTGGTCATATTAAATTTACGCATAGTCCACGTACGAGAACTAATTGGATTTTCAAAACAAAATCGCAAAACATCGATTGCAGAGAGAGAGAGAGCGAGAGAGAGAGAGATCGAGAGACAATACAGAAGAATGACGAACGACACACAATGTAACTCAAAAAGGAAAGGAATCAAATTTCAACATACACTGTACTTTTTACACCGACGATCCGACTTTTTGAGAAGCCATTGCTATAGTTGTGGCGATATTTGAAAAGAAAAAAAAACAATAAACAAATTGATATGTAATATATGGTTCATCCCACATAATTTGACGAATTTTACTTTAGTTTGGTCTTTAATTCATTATCTCACAAATTCTGACGGGCAACAGAAGCACTTAATTGAATTTTAATTGGACAAAGTCGTTCCACAACTACAATTAAATTAGAGAGCTATTGGACATAATTTTGATAATGGTGCTTTATATCAAAATATTTAGGGGGGAATTTAAGTGATCAGATGATTCGTTTTTTTTTCAAACGAAGAGAATAAATGAGGAATTAATTTGGATGACAAACGAACCTTATCATATGTGCAATGCAGCATTGTGTATGGTCCATATTCAAAATGCTCTTTGCATTGAGATTGCGTGTAAGTTATTGCTTGTATTTTTTTAATTATTCAAAGTGAAATTTTTTTTATGCATTTTTAATTTTCATTGAAAAAATTTAAAATTGACTTTTTGAAGCGAGAAATCCACAGGTATAGTACAATCAATCTGTTGATGTCTTTTGATTCATCCCGAATACGTTTCTTCTTAAAAAAGCAAAATTCACTTTTCTAGACACACTTTACATGCGCACTGCCCCAAGTTACGAGGGTTTATTACCCAATCGAATATTGTTAGCAGTGTGTGCGCATAGTTTTGGTAGCTATTGCCTAGTTCCTTTATTTGCTAGGAATTTCATTGGTTTCGCATTATTGAACGTATATCAATTTGTACTGTAAAAAAGTGATAGAGTCATAGAAAATGAAAGAATAAGTGGCAGCTTTCAACTATTCTCCACTTCCATTGGATTTCAACGGTCAAAGTGTATCTACTAAATGCAAGTGGAGACGGTGTGAAAAAAATAGTGTAGAAAAACTTTTAAAATGGTGAAGGTTCTTTGACCAACCAGAACATCATTAACTAGCAATGACATTTATTGTAATTTATTGAATTTTACACCTAGACAAATATTTTTTTTATGATGTTGTTGCAAAACGAGAATTTTTTTTTTAAATGCAAATTAATCTTATTGGCAAAAAGAAAGTAATTTAAAGAAGAAAGAAAATGCGCGAATGTTTAAATGAAATGTAATATGCTTGCGAATTGAAAGTTGCGATGCAGACTAGTAACGCGTAAAGTGGCTGACGGTGTGGAAATTAACGTGACCAAAACACACTCAGGCATTTTCAATTACCAAATATTGATGGGCATAGTAGACGTCGGTTTTTGTATCTGCATGGAAACAACAGAATGCATATTCATTAAATCAACTGACGGAGAAATATTGTTGTAGCATTTAATTGTGTTGTCTTACCGCTGTTATCCATGCATTTAAACACGTGCGGCGGGAAAATTGGATCAACACTGAAATAAAATGTGTTTCGAATGATCTTGAATTGATTGCGCGATTTCAGGAAAACACGCTGACGGTGCGGAATGCTTAAAAAAAGAAGTGAAATACCATATTAATCAAGTCATTGGATTCGTTTTCAATTTAACACTCACTTTTCAGTTTTGGTCAAAATTTTCGTATTTGTTACAGGAATCTCTCGGAAATCAGTACTCATTTCTTTGAGCGCACCGAATGGCACCAACGGTCTACGCAGATCGTCCAGGAATGTTGTGAACACTGAAGATAGGGAAAAAAATAAATTAAGTTAAACATGTCACCGTGTTACTGTAGGATCAACGATATTTTCTTTACCATTTTCAAGATTCAAGTTCAACTTAATCATGATTAAATGCTCTAGAATCAAATGAATTCGACCGAAACGTGCCAAGTCTTCTTCGATATTTTTCAAATTGAATTGACTGTTCTGGAAGCCGACATTCTCCTTTGAGTCATTCAGATCCATGTGCTCGCTCATTTTGTGCATCAACGTTTTACGAGGCGCTGCCCCGTTATTCATGGTAAATTGTGTCTTTAGAGATTTTCGCACATTCAAATCACCATTTGATAGCGCCAATCTAAATTGGAATTCAATTGGAATATTTTTTTACAATTCGAATACAAATTAATAGATGAATAATAATTGATATTACTTCTTATCCGCGCGCAAATCTTCTGCTGAACATAGTTTACTTTCCACGAAAATGTATTCATAATCCTTGTTCACTTTTTCCATTCCAATTTCGAGCAACAATTCCAACGGCTCTGAACCATTCAAGCGAGGAATTGCAATGCGATGATCAGATACATCACGAATCAAATGCGCCAACCGACTTTGATTTGATGGCATATTCTAGAAATAAGAGCGTCATTTAGTGGACAAACTCTCAGTACGATCAAGTTTGGTGCATACTAACCACAACATTAATTTTGGCGGCCGATGTGAAAATGTGTTCAATGGCCTCTTTCAACATACTGTACGAAGAACAACCTAAAATAGTCGTGATTTTAATAAAAGATTGGAAAAAAGATAAAAAAAAATTAAACAAAATGTTTCTTATTCGATTTGGTTTTATGATTTATACCTCTTAACACGTCCCACAGTTGATCGGTGAGCTCGCCACTTTCTCGTGTGCTTGCATTTTCGACAATCTTATCGATGCTCGTATTTGGCTTGTGCTCATTCACATCTTCTTCATCAGTTACACCGATTGGAATGGGTTGCGTAAGCATATCATATATTTCTTGTTTGATTTCCGCAATATCACTGTTATCGATTAATTTGGGACAGATTATTTGATTAGTTTTTTTTTTATTTCATCCCAGTCTCAACTTCAAAAAATATTGAATTGAACTTCTGATCTGAATGATCAACTTGAATATTTGATTTTTTGTTCAATCAATACCAACCCATGACCGCCATGACCTTTGAAAACCAAGCAGCTCAGATCTCTTAATTCCTTGTATGACACAATCGTTTCCTTCATGTCATCCAAAATACCAAGCTGAATCCAGAACTTTTTGGCCACCGATTTAAAGTTATTCACTTGAATTGTTTGATGCAACACCATTTTCGATGCCACTTTACCATCATTGATGATCGACTGTGCCATTGAACCATTCACAGGACGAGATACTTGCAACATTGCATCGTTGCTCAATCGATAATAATTATCAATCATGCCTTCAATCGGACCGTATTGCTTCACCACATACGACAAGTGTTTGGATTGCAACTCGATCAAGTTGATGGGTTTGAAATCAACGACACCCTGGAAATGAATGCAAATTGTATGAAATTGGTTTAGTTTAGAAATATATTCACATGCTATAAAAATAGTTGTTGAAATAAATGGGCTTATCATTCAACTTACATTGTATCTTAATATTCCTCGGCGCCATTTGCTTCCATTCATTTGTGTGGATAGGAGCATAGTTTTTTCGTCACTCTGGTCACAAATAGCCCAACATTTTGGTGTACTTTCCTTTGGAGTTTCGGATAAAATTTGGTTGATATGCACCCTGGATTGATTGGAAGGTTAATTTTTTCTGTATTTTTCCTCTCTTTTCTTAACTACAAAGGGTCATTGATTTATACGAAAGTGATACTCACTGTGCGTCATTCAATGCAATGGAATGGTATTTTTCTTCCTCATCTTTCCATGCATTTTTCTTAATAAATTCGTCACTCACTGACTCATTGAGCACATCAAACTGGCATGAATCCCGCAATGGCGATCCGGTGAGATCGTGCATATGAGATTCATCATTGAAGACAGGAGATTTAACTGTTTTGGGTGCTGGTGGTGTTGACGGATAGCCCTGTTCGAGAATTAAAAGTAAAAAAAAAAGAAGAAGACAAATTGAACAAAAATTTCCGGAAGAACTCATAAAATTGCATTTTTACATTTGTTTTATGCATTTAACAATAACTCACCTTTTTGTAAAACAACACAATCTTATCTGAAGCTGATGCATTGGAATTTTCGGATGTTGTAAAATGTTTCATGTACGACAGTGGTTCAATGTATGAAATATCACAGTCTTTTACCAACTGTCTAATTTTAGCATAAAAATTTGCCATTTTAAATCGAATTTACTTGGAATAAACTAAAAATTTCAATAAAAAAAAACTGGAATTTTTTTTTCTCTGTTAATACAAATAGTAAAGACACTCATGTATACGCTGAGTTTTGAATGCCGAAAACCGTTTGCATGAAATGTCATGGTGAACACAAAAAAATGGAGCGGTTAAGAAGAAGTGTTGCCATCTTTAGTAAAACCGAAGCTGTCAAACCGAAAAGTAAAACGCATATTTTGTATTTAAAATTTCTCATCACAATCGAATCAAATCAAAAGTGCGATCATAAAGAAAAATGTCGAAAATTTTTACGCCAACAAATCAAATTCGGTTGACAAATGTCGCCGTTGTTCGTATGAAAAAGGGCGGCAAACGTTTCGAAATTGCATGTTACAAAAATAAAGTGGTATCATGGCGAAAAAATATTGAAAAAGACATCGATGAGGTGCTGCAAATTCATTCGGTGTTTACAAATGTATCGAAAGGAGCGGTAGCGAAGAAGGAAGATCTGGTGCAGGCATTTCAAACCGATAACATCACCGAAATCTGCAAAGAGATTCTAATGAAGGGTGAACTGCAAGTGTCTGAGAAAGAAAGACAATCCGAATTGTCAGCGATGCTCAAGGATATCGCAACGAATGTGGCGGAAAAGTGTGTCGATCCGGAGACAAAACGACCATATCCAGTTACGATGATCGAAAAGGCCATGAAAGACATTCATTATTCGGTGAAGCCAAACAAAAATGTCAAACAACAAGTGCTTGAAGTGATTGGACTGCTTAAGGCACACATTCCAATTGAACGGGCCCACATGCGGATACAAGTCACACTCGGTTCGACGAAAGAAGCAAAACAAATCAGTGAAAAGCTTAAACCATTGTGTGCATCGATTGAACACGACGATTGGAATACTGGCTGCACTACGCTCATCTGTCTCATCGATCCCGGCCAATTCAAACCCATCGATGAACTCATTCGCAAAGAAACCAAAGGCAATGGCCGTATGGAACTGCTCGACTTGAAAAATGTCGTTGAGGAAGAAATTCTCTAGAGTTTTTGCATTTCAAATTGTTTTCTCTTTTTTTATCGTAATAAATCTATTTAAAAACGAACATATTTCATTTTTTTCCTCATTTCCATCAATTGCTATTGGATCGAAATTCTTAGGTAATTCCACAATTGGATGAAATTGTAAAAAAATTGCTTAAAAATGCTGAACATTGACATTGAAGTGATTGTACTTTGACGTTTGCATATATTGTGTTTATCGGTGAGCTGTCAAATTTTTTCATTAGCCATCGTCTATTTAGTCTGCTTTAGTTCGCGCCAAATTATTCAGCAACGAGAAACCAATTTAAGAAGAAGTTCTGTTTTTTTCTCGATAGTTCTTGTTAAGAAGAAAATTGTTCTTTTTCAAACATAAATGGCAAATATACCAGGTGCAGAGCCAATCAGATCCGACAAATTGCCGTCATCCAATTCCAATTCGCCGAAAGCCGAAACAACCGAAATATTCGGTACGCCAAATCTCACTGGTTTCTTTGAATCGGGTGATTTTTCGGACTTTGTATTACGCTTCAAAGACAAAGAATTCAAAGTTAATAGAATTGTTTTAGCAGGTAATTTGACAACATAGTATTAACAAACAAAATCATTTATTACGATCTCATTACAATTCGTTTGAATAGCCCATTCCGACTATTTCAAAAGTATGTTCATCGGAGACTGGAAGGAAAATAAAGAAAAAATGATGACAATTGATGAACATGCACATGTAACATCTGATGCTTGCGAAAAAGTGATTAAATATATGTATGATGGAAGAATGGAAACGTCCAAATTGGATATTTGCGTGTGTGCTGTTGCAAACATGGTATTGTTTCAGAACCGAATAAGTTTTTAAAATATATTAATCAACCTATCAATTCAATCTATCTATTTTCATGAAAAATCAAGTGGCAAATGGGAGATCTGAAGAAAGAATGTGAAAAATATATGATACCCCAGCTATGCACAGAAAATGTGGTTGAATTTGGTGTCGCAGCAAATCTCTATGGTTTAAATAATTTAGAAACTGCTGCATGTGAATATATTCTTGCGTGAGTAGGAATTGAGTATTATATTTCAAGTTTATATTGTTTTTTTTTGTCAACATTTTAAAGAAATATTTGATTTTCACAGTAACGCGACAGCCGTGATGCAGACTGATGGATGGAATAAGCTAGAAAATACTGAATTCCCCGGATCGGGACATTTCTTTGGTGAAATATTAAAAATTGTCACCAGAAAGGATGAAATCCCTCAAAACTCGTCCACAGCAAAGCGTCCGAAGAATGAATCAACATAGCCGCACCACACAAATTTGTCCCATCAATCCAATCCATACAAATCCACCAAATTGATGAATTCATAAACCAAGAAACAAAACGGTCGAGCTGAACATACTTGGCATGCAGGAAAAATTTTTGAGGAAGAAATATTTTAGATTTTTCATTACAATTTGTTCTCTCTTTTCTATGATAATAAAACTATTGAAAACATCATCCAAACTACTGTTGTTTCGGACGAAATTTCAGCAATGGTGAAATTGCAAACATATTACGCACCATGTTGAACATTGCCATTGAAGTGATTGTATTTTGACGTTTACATGTATTGTGTATATCGGTGAGCTGTCAAATATTTTCAATGTTTATCAACAATTTAGAATGGGTGTTTGCAAAGCATTGTCGACCAACAAAAAGCATATAAAAACATTAGTGTTGTTTTTTTAATGTTTTGGTTAGAAAAAGGATAAAAATAACCATTTCCTACACAAAAATGGATCACTTTGAAACCATCAGCTCTGACGAAGACATCGACTCACCAGAAATAAAAAAAGAGAAAGAAAACATCAAGGAAAATATGGGTGAATATTTGTGTTCGAAGAAATTCTCGGATGTTAAAATACTCGTAGACGGCAATGAAATCCATGCGCATAAAATTGTTCTAGCAGGTAATTTAATGACATAATTTTAGCATACAAAATCATTTATTTCAATTGCAATTTATTTCATTTCAACAGCGAGTGGTTCATACTTTGAAGACATGTTCAGTGACTATTCTAAAGAGAAGGATCAAGCGATTATCACGATCCCTGATATTGAATTCGATGTATTCCTCAGTTTACTTGCATACATATACACAGGGAAAGTGTTGATACGATCTAAGTTGAACATTAATTTGCTAGCTGCAGCTAATAAGGTAGGGCTATGAGGCCGAGGAGTTTTTGAAATTGATTAACCAATGAATTACTCATTTCATTTTATCTATTTCCATGAAAAATCAAGTTCCACATAGAAGAACTTAAGCGGGAGTGCGAAAAATATCTAAAGTCCAAGTTGAATATACAAAATGCGGTTGATACTCTAATTGCAGCATATATCCATAATGCTGCAGATTTAGAAAAAGCCACACAAGCATATGTCATTGAGTGAGTAGGAAATTTTGGTTGTTTAATATAATGTCATACATTTCCGACATATTTTGTCAGCACTATAACCAAAAACAAATTTTATGTTTTTTTCAAAGAAATTTCGCTGAAGTTGAACTGACTGAACAATATGAGCGATTTAAAAATCACAAAAATGCTGGACATATATTCGCGAGAATGTTTGAGATGCTTCTTGAAAAAAAGGGTCTACTACCTGCAAAACGGAGAAAATATTGAATCAACATAACTGCCCCATGTTGACATCCATTTGGTTTTTATGCTCAGCTGGAGGTTCGCCAAAGATTTTGGATAGGTATTCTGATGGAAAACAAACAAAGCATTCCAAAGAACGAGACGCTCTAGCCTATTGGCCCTCCCAACCTGCACGGCATGCGGAAAATTTTTTCGAGGAAGAAATATTTTAGATTTTTCATTACAATTTGTTCTCTCTTTTCTATGATAATAAATCCATTGAAAACATCAACCAAAACACTGTTGTTTCAGATGAAATTTCAGCAATGGTGAAATTGCAAACATATTACGCACCATGTTGAACATTGACATTGAAGTGATTGTACTTTGACGTTTGCATGTATTGTGTATATCGGTGAGCTGTCAAATATTTTCAATGTTTATTATCAATTTAGTTTGGGTGTTTGCCAATTCATTGTCGACCAACAAAACGCAAATAAAAACATAATTGTTGTTCTTTTTGGTTCATTTCAAAAAAATTGTGATAGTTCTATGTTCCTGGAATTGGATTGAAAAAAAGGAAAGAAACACAATTGAAAGATGCCGATTTTATCGACGACGTGTGATTGGTTCATTTTGCGGCCAGGGATCACATATCGGTAATAAAATGTTGCAATGAATCTCATTTTGTTGTGATTTATCATTTTGTTGTGATTTATCTCCACCACCAACTACAATATTTAATCATTTTAGGAAAAGTGAGCTGTATACGATGCAATGGGCTGCCGATACTGAACTGTATCAGATGCAAGTGGTTGCAGCACCATACGGCGGTCCGATGGCAATTGTGCGTGATTCCAAGGAATTTATCAAAGTGGGTGGTTCCACAAAACCGATTATTCGAATTTTCACAGCATCTGGCCACTTGCTCTCAACGATCAATGTAAGAAATGAACTTTGGACGTGGTTTTATTGGAATTTCAATTAAACGACCGTTTATTCCAGTGGAACAGCGGCAATCTCTTAACTTTGGGTTGGTCGGATGCAGAAGAGTTGCTGTGTGTACAAGACGATGGTCTTGTGCTTATTTACAATATGTATGGTGTGTATCAGCATACATTCAGCATGGGACAAGAAGCCAAAGACACCAAAGTCATTGACGCCAAAATATTCGCATCAAATTCAGGAACTGGCGTTGCTGTGATGACCACCAATTATCGCATATTCCTTATTAACAGCATCAAAGAGCCAAAAAATCGGCAATTGCCCGAAATGCCAAGTAAATTTGACTTTTTTCTACTTTTTCTTAATCTTATTCACATTTGAAGTAGAAGTTTTTGATATTATTTCCAAGTGTTGACACATTTTTAGTCAATTTTATCGTTTCATTGTGCATTTTCTTTGTTTTACAGAATCAATACTCGATCCAACTTGTTGGGCAATAATCAATGAAGATCGGAATACGTGCACTTTAGTTGCACGTGAACACGAATTGTTCAAATTAAGCCAAGGCTATAGTGTGTGCTCGGTGCAAGCAGTGTCCATTGAGAATGAATTCAAAAGTATTACCGTAATGTCAGTTTCGTATAATCATCGATTTTTGGCATTGTACACAAATAATGGCATCGTTTGGATGGGAACATCTGATTTACAGACAAAATACTGTGAATTTAAAACGAATCAATCGGAAAAACCGAAACAAATCGAATGGTAAATTTATTGGAATTTTTTTCTCTCCGAAATTACTTGATTCAAATTGTTATATTCTTGGACAGGATACTGGATTCGGAAAACTACTCACAGGCCGAAGCTATTGTCATTGCATATTCATCATTACTTTTGGTTGTAACTGTTGCCGGTGACTCAAATATGTATAGCTATGATTCTGTACCATTTCTCATTCCCGAAATGGATTGCGTTCGAATATTGAGCAACACTGAACATGAGATGCTCCAAAAAGTACCGAACTGTGTGAATAACATTTTCAAAATAAACAGCCAAAAACCATCATCCTATTTATTTGGAGCATACCAAAAATATGAGGTTAGAGACAGCACGACTTATTTTCTTCATCATTTTTTTTCTTATTTATTTGATATTTTCATTGATAATTGATTTGACTTTTTTACCCTGATTTTCTTTATCCAATGCACTTACCTTTCTATTTAAACAGGAGAAAAGCCATCAATCCGACGAATATTTGGGTCTAATCAAAAACAAACTCGAAGAATCGGTAAATGAGTGTATCGAAGCGGCCGGCTTTGAATTTGATGCTAATACTCAGAAGAGCCTTATTCGTGCCGCTTACTTTGGCAAAGCATTTATTGCGGGCCACAATCCAGATAAATACATTGAAACATGCCGTGTTCTACGAGTTCTGAATGCCTTAAGAGATCCCAAAATTGGAGTACCTTTAACATATGCACAGTAATATTGAAATTTATTAGATTTGAAATATGAGCATTTTATTTAACTTCTTTTTTTTCGACAGGTTTAATCGCCTGAAGCCACATGTGGTGTTAGATCGACTGGTATTCCGCAAATTCTATGGCCTGGCCATTCAAATAGCGAAACATCTGAAGTTGCCTGAGTCACGCATTTTGGAACATTGGGCTTTCAACAAAGTCACTTATGATAAAAGTACGTCACTTTAAATTTTTGACAACTTCTTTTTTGGCTAAAATGCCTAATGAAATGCAATAATACATTTTTCGTTTTGTTTTTCGTATTTTGTAAATAGATGATGACGATGTAGCACGTAAAATATCGGAAAAGCTGAAAATGGCCGGCGCTCAGGGCATTTCATTCTGCAATATAGCCAAGAAGGCTCAAGAATTGGGTCGCAAAAATTTAGCGATACGAGTAATGCCCATGACAATTAAATTATTTGATTTGAAATGTTTTTTGAATTTTTTACAACATTTTTATAGCTTCTGGAGATGGAGTCAAAGTGCAGTTTACAAGTGCCGTTGCTATTAAAACTGGGTGAAAGCAAGCGAGCTCTGATGAGTGCAACAAAATCTGGTGATACTGATCTAATCTACACGGTACTGTTGCAATTGAAAGAGACCACTCAATTGGCTGATTTCCAAATGATCGTCCGAACATTCCCAACGGCACAGAATTTGTACAAGAAATATTGTAATTTGAACAGCAAATCCGCACTGCAAGAGATTTTCAACCAAGAGGATGATTTTGTTGCACAGGCTGAGTTTGCTCTACGAGAAGGAATAGCGGTAATTAACAACAGCTCTGAATTCTTGAAAGAATTCTAATTTAATTTTTTGCTTTGAAAAAAATAGTTTTTCCATATTTTCTAAAAACCCATTCTCATGATGAAAATTTTCTTTGTAAAAACAGAATTCCAACATTGAATCATCGTTATTGACTGCATCAGTTGCATATAAAAAGGCCCATAAAGACGTCGAAGCGGAACTGTGCGAAGATTCTCGGAAATTGCTAAAGGATCAGAAAACATTCGCAGACAAGTACTTACGTGCATTTCTCAAATGAAACATTTGCCACAGTTAATTTTCTCTGTTATTTGAAATAGGTACACTCTTCCACGTTCGCAAACATTCTACGGGTCGTCCATTCATGAGACAATCAAACGTTTGTTGGTTTTGGGCGATCTGAAAAATGCAGAAAAGAAGAAGACGGAATACAAAGTGCCTGACAAGCGCTTCTGGTGGTTGCGAATACAAGTACTGTCCGAATCATTCCAGTGGGATGAATTGGAAAAATTCTCAAAAGCAAAGAAAAGCCCCATCGGCTATGAGCCATTCGTTGAAGTTTGCTTGAAGCAAAATAATGTTGAAGAAGCCAAAAAATACCTACCGAAATGTCGCAACGACAAAAAAATCAAATGGTACATTCGAGCTGGGTTAGTGTCAACAGAAATTTGTACATTGTTTTTGGTTTTTGTAATTTTAAATTTTTTTTTAAATTGTTCATCATAAAATTGACGATTGGATTTTATTTAATTTATTTGTACTATCTTTGAATAGGTTGGCTGAAGAAGCTGCGCTAGCCAGTTTCGAACAACGTGATCTTCATAGCCTTTACACGGTTCACATGAATGCCACGAAAAATAACGATCGTGCTCTGGTCGCAAAAGTGGAAAATTATATCGAAAAATTGTCGGAAAAGCGTTGAAATTTGTAGAAAAAAATCCAATAAATAAAAATTGAATCCATTGCATTTGTATTGCCACATTTCGATTGCATTATTCTTAACAGCAAAGTCCATACAGATTGTGGCTGACGACTCGTAGGTTGAATAAAAAATGTCGTCGGAAAATTTATTTGCAAACGAAAAATCTGGTAAGAGATTTGTTGGTGAAATGTTAAACCTAGCTAATTGTAGCCCTAATAAGGAAAAAGAGACCGAGTTATAGCCAATTTGAAATATACCGGGGACCTCATACGGCAAATGTCACAACTATAGCAATTGTCATTTGAATATGCATTCTGTCAATTAAAATTGCAACGTGCACTTGACAACTGATATCTGTTTGGCAAAAATAGACCTATGGATTAGTATCATTAGCTAACGTTTTCTTTTTATTTCACATTCAATTCCATCTATTCCAATTTACACATTTCTCCTCACTGGTCATTGAGATATTTTTGAATTGAAAAGGCGCCAAATGAAAAATTCTTTATTGAAGTCTCAATTTTGGTGAGTTTTTTCTACCGTGTGCTTTGTATTTTGAAACTTATGTTTCTTGTTGTAATATGTTTCGTCAAATCCATTTTCAATTACAGATAAAAACCAAGAAGTGTCAACTTGAAATTGTTCAGTAAAAATGTCTCACTCTAACCTTGATGAACCAGCAAACAAACACAGCAAGCTATCTGACGAGACCGAAGAGTCTCAACCGCAAATCGATTCACTTTTGATACTTAATAATGATTGCCTGCATGCAGTTTTTGAGCATTTGAATATCGAAAGTTTATGCAACGTGGCGAATGTATGCAAGCGCTTCAGGCCAATCACCGAGCAAGTGTTTCGTTGTTGCCATACAAGTGTCCACTTTAGCAAGTACAATACAAAAATATCGGTACTTCGTCGTGCTCTCTATAAATTCGGTCATTTGATTACAGACTTCAGCTGTATATCCCGTTATGATTATAATCATTTCGATGCCGTCATAAAATTCTGCTCGAATAATTTGGAGAAACTTTCTTTGTACAATGCTGAAATCACTTCCGAAGGTCTCGAGACTTTGATGCCACGGCTGAAATATTTGAAATTGTATGAATGTAGATTCGATTATCACTTGTATTCTCACGATCTCAGTGGTGTATTCAGTAATTGTCCAGAGCTTGAAGTGTTGATTTTCGATATGCTCGATGAAGATGGAGACGAAAAATGTACATTTTTGAAGCGACATTTTCCGAAATTAAAACAACTGGAATTTGAATGTGTAAAAGTAAATCCCGACGATCTTCGAGAAATACTAGGCCTTAATCCACAATTGAAGCGACTTCACACCATGACATTCACCAATGATGAATTTATCGATGCGATCGCAGAATACACAAAGGATCTAGAGGTATTGGAAATTTCCGGTGGAAGAGGATACGTGAAACAACGGGATCAAAGTGCCGAAGGTCTTCTTCGATTGGGAGCATTGAAGAAGTTGAAGAAACTATTCCTCAATATTTCGAGCTACAAAAAATACAGAGTTCATCGTCTTGCGAACGAATTTTCAAAGAAGAATATTCCAATCGAAACACTGGAATTGACAGCTTGTTCAATTATATCAAAGGATTTCATCAGTTTAACGAATCTGAAGACATTGCAACGTGTGTATTTGGCTAAAGTTGAACGAGCTACAGACGCCGATTTAATTACTCTGGCAACCGAATTACCATTGTTATCAAACTTAACATTGAGTTTTGAATACACAAAAGAGATAAAAATAACGGCAAATGGATTGGCCAGCATGATAGAGCTGGGAAAGCGGCTAAAGTATATTGGATTTAACGGATTCCACCAAGTGCAATTAAATGAAGCGGCCTATGAATTATGGTTGAAATTAGCTCGAAGCAGTGGTAGGGAGGAAACGCTTGTTATTAAGATGGATAAATATGGAGAAACAAGCTTCATCGTACCGAGTCATATTCTACAAGAAAATGAAGCACAACTTAAAATTATTTGTGGCAGAGACGTATCACCCTGGTCAGCCGAAAAGGCTGACGTACAATTAGATTCGGATTCAGACTCGGATCTGAATTGGTATTCGGATTCGGATGCTGAATCTGAACCGGATTCGGAGTCAAGTTCTGAAAGTGAAAGTGCAACGGAATAAATTCACATTTCCTGTATGCTTCACTTAAAAGATAAGTTTTCAATACATTCGTTTACATAGCGCAGAACAATACAGATGATATTACAATATAAAAATGTGTATGTAACACAATTTTGATGTATTTTACCATATTTTTTCAATAAATTTATATTTGTATTAAAAACTCCCGTATTTTCTAAGCTAAAACGCAAACAATTATATTCCTTGCAAATTTCTCCCAATCTAATCAACTGCAGGCGAATTTTGTATTAATATTTTCTTTAGACTAGAAGACGGACGGATTGACATTTATTGGACGAAATTTCATCTGAGCGCCTTCACTAAATAATAATGAAATTTGTTTATGTTCATACTCAAGTAATTATGCGTGAATATACGTGAACATACAATATGCATGGGCAGAGCCTAAAAGTAGGATTATTTTAATCGACCACAACGATCTGCATTCAAGCTGCATATACTCGTTTATGAGTTCGTATGTTCAATTGTACCCCCAAAGTTGAATAACGTAATTTTAGCCACAATTCAAAGGATGCTTTAAAGTCTATACCTATCGATGATCCATATTGGAGATTTTTTCACACCATACAAATTCTGATGAGCGCTTGAGAATCAAAAGCTGTCTATTAACACAATTTATTGCAATTTCAATAAATATTTATCTATATATCGAAATTTAACATTCGAAATGAAGTATAGCAATCAAAATACGCAATTAAGAATATTGCAACTTTGATTGCGTGTCTGGACTGAAATGAAGTCATGAATGAAGTCAACACCAATCATTTGTCGATCAATATGCAAGCGAAAATTTTATTAAATTTTAAATTATTATCGCAAAATCAAATTTTATTTTCTTGGAAGTTCACGTTTTGTGATAAAAACACAGAATAAAAAGGAATCACCATCCAATATTGCTTCATTCGAACATCTAAATTGTCAAATTACAAGTTCGATCGAACCAAGTCGACAAGCATCATGAAGTTATTCGTCTTTATTTTCGTTATTGCTATCATCAAGTGGTAAATTTTGAATTTTGTTTCGTCATTTAAACGTCATTTAGCTTCTTATTGGTGTGTTCAAATTGATAGAATAATTGTTCATCTCTACTCATTTTGTTGCATACAGCTTGTTCCACCTGTGCCTGCAGATAGCGTAGGAAATATAGTGAAGAAAACTGTAACTCTTCCAATAAGAATAGTGACTGATTCCTTTCGTGCGGTTAGCCGTGGGCTTGGTTTACTACCCAAAAAGGAGAAAAGTTTGAAACAAGAAGATGAACATTATACGAAGTTTTTAAGTGGCAAAAAATGAAAACCCTAATAAGTTTGATGCAATTTTAGAAAGTATTTTTCATAACCGTCTTGCGAAAATAAATGTTGCAAGAAGTAACACACTAAAATGCAAGGGATCTGCATCTTTCTTATTATTGAACCAAATTTTGTGCTTTTTAAACACGCAACGCATTGGTCGCAGGATTGTATACGCGACATCTCCGGTATAACACAATTTTCCATTCGTTTTTTCAAATTATTACTTCAATTTGTAGAGATCTATACATTTGACAATTTTTTCAGCGGTTTAAGAATGGTAGAAGTCAAACAAAAAAAAGTGGTTTGTTGACATCTCTAGTTGTGCCTATACATCGAAGAAATCTGTAGCATTTTTATGAATCAATTTTCGATCGACATCTCCATTGAAAAACCAGTGAATATTTAAGGATTTCGTGATTGTTTAAAAGGTTTGTTTTGGTAAATTGTGTCAAAATTTATATCCATCGATTCAGCCAAAAACTTTAATTTCACAAAAATAGCATCAATAATTTCTGTTTTGAAAGCTGATTCATAATGATGGCCACCGCTATTCAAAACTTTCAGCAGAGTCGGCTTGTCTCTTTGGAATTCATTATTTTCAGCCTTTTCCCGTCTATGAGCTAAATATTTCAATGAATTCGTAATGGAGACAATCTCATCATTTCGGCTGGCCACAATTAATGTTATGGGATAAGATTCTTCCGGTTTTGTTGGTCGTTGAATGTGTAACAGTGGTGCATATCTTTTTATACATTCGAAATCTTCTTTGTTATTTAAATTTCCGTATTGTTTGGCCCAAATACGACCCTTGTGCGGAAGATCATTAATCAAATCCATGTTTCCATTTAAAAAAATAACCGATCTAAATGCATCCCGCTTTATGTTTACAACAACTGCACCTGTCAAACCACCATGTGAGGCACCGTAAAATGCGATTTTATTCGAATCAATAATGTTGCTGTACGATTCTGCTTTTAAATATTCAACACCGGCTATTAAATCTTTAAAACTTGTTTCAGCTTCTGTCGGTTCTAGAAGCCATCCATCGCCAAGCTCACCACCACCACGAATATGAATGAAAACTAATTTGTGGAAGAAAAAAATAAACAATATAAATCAAATGGAGTGAAATAATAATAATTATTGTGTGTATACAAACCGACAACGCCATTGAACAGCTCAATGAAAAGAAGAAAGAAGAGCTTGAATAATGAAATCATAGGAATACCATTCCAACCATAAGCAAATACCAAACACGGCTTTTTGCCAGCATCATTACCATTATTCTTCTGAATAATTGTTATTGGCACTTTGATTTGATCAAAACTGCGGAATGAATCATGCAGAACATAGAACTTATCTAAATTTAAATTTGGTATTTTTGACTCTTTCCACAGTATTGGTTTGACGATTGCTAATGCATCGACTGATAATCTATGCTGGAGCACAAGCTGATCAAAATTAATCCGATATACTTTTCGTGGTGTTTTAACTGTTTGTGTTTCGAAGAAAAACCCAAATAAATCAATCTTCATCGAAATAAAATTTTCATCCTCCAAATCGATTTTATATTCGATACGATGACTTGATAACGAATATAAATACAACGCATTCTATTCAGAAAAAGATCAAAGAATTTTTTAAAAATGAAATTGGAAACCAAACAATATAAAAGTCAACTGAGTATACCTGGAGATTTTCGATGTAAATTAGAAATAAATAACGACAATATTTGTATGCAGTCACTAATACACCGTGATCATCAAGATTTTCCTACAATTTCACCCATTTGTATCAAGTATGCAATGGTATTAAAATGATTATTAGTTACCGGAACAACGACGTCAACGTTCCACATGTCGATGTGATTCCGAATATTGACTTTAATCACATGATGTTTTGGTGCGCCGAAATTTGTGAGAAAGAAAAAATGTTCGTCTTCATTTCCAATGTATTCCTGATTGAACAGAAAGGAAAAAAATGTCAAAATAGTGTCCGGGTGCGATTTGAATTCCATTTTTCTATTACAACTTACATAAGTTATGTCTTGCGAACACTTGAAAATGTTTTCAAATGTTATTTCCATTTTCAATGATTCAATATTTGAAATACTTAGCGTTCGACTACCACGCAAAATCAAATATTTGTAATCACAACTGACTTTGAAGGATACCATGTTAGCGTCTGCCTTTCGAATTCTCGCAATCAATTTGTCTGGTTTATCCGCATCCAAATGGTGATAATATAGATCTCGTTTTTTTCTTCCTTCTGGATCATACTAAAATTTTTAAATGTGATTAGGGTTTTTTTAACTGTTAATAACTGTTCAATGATGAAGACAAAAATACAATATTTACATAAATAAAAAATCCTTTTGAGTCTCTAGACCATGCGATTTTTGCACAGTTGAATAGTGGCAGACATTTTCCATCAGATTTGCCCGTTTTCACATCAATTATCATAATTTTATGCGAATTTTGATTCTCTGCACTTATAGTGAAAGCGCAATATTCCCCATTTGGTGAATACGCATGCTCAACGAATGTACCCAACACTTTATTTGAATCAAAAATAACATGCTCACATCCGTCTAATGATGCTACTCTCTTGAAAATTCTGCAAATTGAATAAAAGAACAATTATTGATAGATGTATCAAATATCTGAAAAATTATTGGATCAAATCGTTTGTTTGTACTCACGGTTTATAGATTAATTTTGAATAATTCATATAATTGTAAAAAATATATCCATTGATATGTTGAACGTCACGATAAATCTCATAGTCCATTGAAGTTTGAAAGATTTTTTCAATTTTCGGCCAATTGTTTTGTGGTGAATTTAATTCCAAATAGTTTTGCAACGCATTCGATTCAACTTTAAGAATCTTATTCCAATGAGATTTATCCGTAAGCCAATCGTAATAGTCAAATATCTGTTGGAATTTCAATTAAATTAAAAGATTTCCATTATAAATTTATAATATTATGCTTGAGAGCATCAACTAGAAGATCTCGTTTTGTGATGAAAAGATGATTAAGAACATATTTTTATTTTAAAATCATATTTACCTTTTCTCTGTGCATTACAATTACTTTTGGTTCTCTTTGCTCAATAATTTGACATTGAATCGAAGATTCTTGCGACCAACCATTCATTATTTCAGCAAACGACTTGCATATTTGATTTGTGTCATATTTTTTATCAACTCGCAATTTCATGGCGTTAGCTAAAAATTTCAATTTTATGAATACCGTGTCAACGTATTCGGTTTTAGCTGCTGTTCTATAATGATGGCCACCGCTATTCAAAACTTTCAGCAGAGTCGGCTTGTCTCTTTGGAGTTCATTGTATTCAGCTTTTTCCCGTCTATGAGCTAAATATTTCAATGAATTCGTAATGGAAACTGACTCATCATTTCGGCTGGCCACAATTAATGTTATGGGATAAGACTCTTCGGGTTTTGTTGGTCGTTGAATGTGTAACAGTGGTGCATATGTTTTAATACATTCAAAATCTTCTTTGTTTTGCGGAAGATCATTAATTAAATCCATATTTCCATTTAGAATGATAACCGCTCTGAATAAATTCCGCTTTTTGTTCATAGCAACTGCACCGGTCAAACCACCATGTGAGGCACCGTAAAATGCGATTCTTTTCGAATCGATCATGTTGCTGTACGATTCTCCTTTTAAATATTCAACTCCGGCTATTAAATCATTGAAACTTGTTTCAGCTTCTGTCGGTTTTAGCATCCATCCATTGTCAAGTTCACCACCACCACGAATATGAATGAAAACTGAAAACGACAATAAAATTGATTAAAGCAAATGAAATGAAATAGCTGGCCGTGCATTACAAACCAACGACACCATTGAATAATTCAACGAAGAGAATTAAATAAAGATCAAATTTCGGCAACAGACAATCACCAAATCCACCGTAAGCATATACCAAACAGGGTTTTCTGCAACTATCATTGCTTTTCTTTTGAATGATTGTTATTAGAACTTCAGTTCCGTCAAAACTACTGTACGAATCATATTGTACGGTCATTTCCAGTCCATCGAATTTTGTGATTCTCGATTCTTTCCAGAGAACCGGTTCGATTGTCAAATAATTCATCATTTTAAACTGATGATATGCAAGCTGATTGCATTCGATTCGATACACTTTCCTTAACGTATTGAATGATCTCGTTTCAAAGATAATCCCATACTTATCCATGTTTGAGGACATAACCAGTTCATCCTTTAAATCGATTTTATATTCAATGCGCTGATCACTTAATGAATATAAATATAAGGAACTCTGCGAAATAATAGGATAATAGGATGATAATGAGGGGATCATTCATACAAAATGCAATGTTATAGGTAAGATTGTACTTGAGCTTTTTCGATGTAATTTAGGAACAAATAACCGGAATATTTGAGACTTGATTTCAACACACCATGCCCATCAAGATTTTCCTGCAATTATTCAAATTATGAGTGCGTACACTCGTAGTATATGTGTAATAGTGATACACTTACTGGAACAACAATATCAAAACATTTTCTTCGTTTTTTATTTCGAATGTCAATTTCAATTAGATGATTCTTGGGCGCTCCAACATTCGTGAGAAATAAGAAAAAGTCCCCATCATTTCCAACGTATTCCTATTAATTGTGATGGTAAAAAATAAATCAATCATCCTTTTAAAACACTGAATTAATTACTTACATAAGATGCACCATGAAATATTCCAAAGACCATTTTAAACGTTATACTTTCGTCCAATGTTTCAATATTCGCAACAGATAGCATGTGACTATCGCATAAAATTAGGTATTTATAATCATAACTGACATTAAACGATAATTCGTGAGCCTCTGATTGTTGAATTTTCGAAATTAATTTGTCTGGCTTAAGTTCATTCAGAAAATGATAGTATAGATGTTGATTTTCCTCTCCGTCTGCATCATACTTCGTGTATTTTTGTTTTAATTTCCAAATGAAAATCGAATTTGAAAAGAAATACTGTAGTTTTTTTTTAACATGATTTAGAGAAGTAAATCAATATTTACATAAATGAAGAATCCCACTGAGTCTGCAGACCATGCGATTCTCTCAAAACTGAATAGTTGCAGGCATTTCCCACATGTTTCACCAGTTTCTACATTAATAACTTGGAGTCGAATCGAACTTTGAACTTTGTCGCTAATGGTAAAAGCACAATATTTCCCATTGGGTGAATATTTATGCTCGATGACTGAACCGTGTTGAATTTCATTCGAATCGAAAACAACGTGTGGACATCCATCCTTGAACGATTTCACCCTTTTGAAAATGCTACATCATCGTTAAAAACGAAGAAAAAAATCAACCGTAATTGACGCGTTGAAGAAACCGAAATAAAGATAAAAAAATCATCAGTTTCTACTCACGATTTATAGTTTGACTTGGAAGAATTTCGATAACTATAAAAAATGTGACCGTTGAGAAATTGAACATCGGAAAACAGTTCATAAACGAGTGGATTATGGAATATTTTTCTGATTTCTGTCCAATCAATGTTTTGTGAACACAATTCCAAGTATTTTGCCAGCGTATAGTTTTCATTGTTTAAAATCCAATTTTTGCGCTCAGATTCATTTTTCAGCCAATCGTAATAGTCGTAAATCTATTTGGAAAGTTCACTTTTTTGAATATTGATCACACAATTCAAAGTCAATTGTTGAATTATTTACTTTTTCACCGTGGCAAGTAATCACATTGGGTCGTTTTTGTTGAATAATTCGATATTGGATTGGCCGACCTGAAAATATAACCAATCGCTTAAATTATTATAATTTTGAGATATCAATTCACATTACATTTGTCTCCGAGCTTAGCGGAATGCTTAGACATCACCACTTGAGGCTATAAAACATATGAATAAACTAAAATCGATTGGTCACGTTAGCATGATCTGATTTTATTTCTATTGACTTTTGATTCTCATTGAATTCATACAGGTACATCACAATTTTCGTGAATGAACGTTCAGGTGTGAATATACAATTACAAATACGCAAATACGTCATCGATTCAAAAATAGATTTATAAACAAACTATTTGTTTCCGTTTAAATTGTTGGCGCGCATTCATTTTTCAAGTTTACTTGATAATTATAGACACACATTTCGAAAGCGATGCATGTTTTTAGGTATGACATTTTTTCAGTTTATCACGTGTCTATAAAACAGCTGACAAACACTGAACCACTTTAATCGAAATGCAAATTCAACGGATATAATAAAACGAATTACATACGTAATCCAAACTTTTCCGCTCCGCAGCAATTTAGTTTACCTCCCGCTTAATGTTTAACCAAAATTTCAATAGACCCTTTTTTCGTAGCATTTTTGACCTTAAAATATAACTATTTCGACCATTTTCCATACAAGAGTGTCATTTTCGAACAAAATTTCAAGATATGTTGATTTCGGACCAAATTTATGGGCAAGTAGGTGTTCGCTTGTCCGAAGGCTCCCATTATTCTTGCAAAAAAATATCAGTTTGCTTCGACCAAAACCCTAAAAAATGGCTTTCTGAGTGATTTTTTATACAAAAGTCTATTTTTCGAGGAAAATTTCAAGAAATGTCGATTTTGGACCAAATTTATGGGCAAGTAGGTGTTCGGTTGTTCAAAGACTCCCATTATTTTTGCAAAAAAATGGCAGTTTGCTTTGATCAAAACCCTGAAAAATGCTTTTTTCGGGTACTTCCCGTACAAATGTACCATTTTTGAGGGTTTTTCTTAGGAGAGGTACCCCAAGGTCACATCGGATATGGCTCAAAATCAATCCGAAGCTTTGTCTCAACATGCCAAAACTTTTGGCTCTTACAGATCTCAATTATCTTATCAACTTTTTGAGATAACCGGCGAACAAAAAACTCGGACGCGAACGCGGACGACGCCATACGCACATCGCTATTTTGCAGATATTTCATAGTAAACAACATGTTTTTGGGGGTAGATAGGTGTTGATCGATAGGATTTCATCCCATCTACATTGCCTAGTGTACAGATATATGCTTTTTCAAGTTTGGCGTGACGTTATAGTGGTCAGAAAGAGGAGATGTCATGAAATTTTGGCTAGTAAAACCAATACTTTACCTAACAAACAAAGTTTGCGGAAAAGTAAAAATATAACGCAAAAAATTCTCCCATTTTGAAAATATTCAATTTATTATTGGGTGTATAACTTTGCTTCCGCCGTTTTTCAAGAATAAAATGAGCTAAGATTTGCAGCCATTTAAGTTTTTTATCGACAAATTTATTTATGGGATTCTGTCGTGGCCTCAGGAAGATCACCCTCAATGTACTGAGTTTGGAGGAAGTTGCCACACACTGGATCACCCAAGCCATATTCCTTTGCCAATTTAGCTGCTGACGTTTTTGGACGGTTGTCATGATTCCTGGAAAGTACATATAATATGGATATAATTTGGAACAAAATAACAATTTGACCAAAAGCTCTATATCCAATCAGGATGGATGCTTACTCAGGTGACTCGTACGGTTCGTTATATTTAATGATTTTGGGTTGTTTGAAGACCAAAAATACATATCGATGAAGCCCACTTCCTTTTGGTGGTACTATATATGGATGGGGGAAGTGGTTAACATACATACAATAACTTGAAATTTACATGAGCTGAAAATAGACACATTATCGTTCATTATTACCTCCCTTACTATATCCCACCACCTCTTGTCCCTTCTCAATGTCATTTTCCGGGATATTCACCACGAGCCAATGTCTATACTCTCGATTCACCGGCGCAACTCGTGACGGTCCATCTGGATTGTACATAAGCACTGTATAATAAGCACCTTCTTTGCATGGCCACGCAACTTCGGTAGGCTTATCTTGTATTTGTGATGGTTTCAATTCGTTGCCCAATCGAACAGCAGTGCCATCTGGATAAACCACCTTAAGAAGTATGTAAAAGATAATATTTGTGAGATAATTTTTATTCATCTAGTCGTATTGATACTTGCATTTACGATCTCCTTCGGAGCAACAATGCCGGCATCAGTATCAATTCCATTTTCTTTGAACGCTTCTTCTACATCCGGCGACGCATTGCAATTCAATGCAATCACCGTGAACAACAAGAAAACCGAATTCATTATATAAACTGCGATCAACTACTTTTGAGAATGAAAAACTTATGGCAGAATCCTTTGCTGGACTGCATTTAAATAACAAACCTAATTCTGAATTTCATGCGTAGTTTCACCCATATGTTTTCTGTGCGGTGGAACGAAGCCCGCCGCGTTGTACAGGCGAGATAGTGCACACAGCATTAGCGAGAGCAGTACAGTACACTGTACTGCTCTCGCTCTAACACACACTGCAACGCGTACGTACGTAGAAACCTAGAGCGCAGAGCGCAAATACACATAAACTCACTTATACGCATGTTACAACGACTGAGTGTACACACAGTCATTGTAACATGCGTACTAGTGTATGTGAGTGTATTGGCGCTCTACGCTTCTATGCTGAATTCTACGTACGCATTGCAGTGTATGTTAGAGCGAGAGCAGTACAGTGTACTGTACTGCTCTCGCTAATGCTGTGTGCACTATCTCGCCTGTACAACGCGGCGGGCTTCGTTATACCGCACAGAAAACATATGGGAAGCAATTGCTATTATCAAATCAATTTCGTGCTCATTTCTCACGAAGATACCATAAATGAAAGAAGTATGATCCGTGGCCACGATTTGCTATACATCATTATTAGTTTTTTAGTTACTATTTTCAAGTCATACGATTTGACATGTGGCACGATCTTCCCAATATATATTTCTATTATATTCCTCCTGTTTGCTTTTGAAATGACAACCTATTCAAGTGAAAACAATTATACCTAAAAAAATGTTATAAACCAAGGCAAATTGTTCCAGGAATTTCTAATATTTTTCTCTAAACAAGATGATTTTACATAACGCACATAAATAATAATAAATTGATTATTATAAGAGAATATTTGGAACTCTAGCTGAGTGATATTGGTCCTTGTGAGGTGTTATTTTCAGGGCGCACGATTGCTTCACGATTGGAGACATGCACGATTTTTTACATATAAAATGGAAAATCGTGTACGATTGCAATCGTGAGCAATCGTGATCCTTGGAAAAAAGTATTTGACGTATTTTCATTAAAAAATAATTTTGGGTGGAGTTGGAAATATTTTTGATTTAGTGGTTTCTGCTAATATATTGCACCACGTCGTGTCTTTTTTCGATAACATTTCTGGGACATTCATTACACTCCAATGTCTGTGACGTCTTATTGGATTATTGGATTATTGGATTATTGGATAAATGCAGGGAGTCAAAGACTCGTCGCTCAGGCTGAATTCAGTCTATTGCGAGACGCCCGCTAGTAACATCTTTGAAATCGATGTACTTTTTGTAATCAATCCGATCCGTTCGAGTCGAAATTATAAAATATCAAAAATTTGTTTAAAGCAATGGTGTTGTTTACACGCTTCGTGGTAATATTTTACGATCTTGTGTATGTCGAGTGCATTTCGCGGCAGTATCACAACGTTTCCAAAGGTCCTGCTACGTACTTCACTGAGCCTTTCACATTCACAGATAATATGCGTCGTCGTTTCCGTTCCCCTTCCACAGAGTCTGCAGTCAGGGTCGTCACGAAAACCCATTTTTCTGAGGTGATAATAGGTTTTAGCGTGGCCTGTGAAAAGGCCTACCGCTATTCTTGTATCTTGCTTTGTTAAACTCGTTAATTGTTTGGTCACTTTTTCATGTGGGTGTAAAACGAAAGCCTTCGTTTGCTCACATCTAAAGTTTCCTTGCCAGTTAAGTTTCTGCCGTTGATTGAGCCATGTTGAGGCCTCTTTCTTTACCAGTGAGTAGCTCACCGAAAGGAATGGCTCCGGCCCAATTGCACGAATGTCAGCTGCTTTTTTGGCTGACTCGTCGGCTATATCATTTCCACGAATGTTAGAGTGGGAACGAATCCAGATCACTCGAACTGTGTTGTTCAAAGCAATCTGTCGTAAAATTGATCTACATTCCAAAGCAATGCCATAACCAACCGTACAGTCCTTTATCGCCTTTATAGCCGCAAGGCTGTCCGTGAATACCGCTATATTTCCCTGGATGTTTTTTTTTCAATTATGCGTTTCCCACAATAAGTGATTGCATAAATTTCTAATTGTTTGACAGTTGGTGTGGTCCCCATCGACACAGAAATCGAGACCCCTGCATTCTGATCGTATATGCCTATACCTCCTCCAGTATTTTTCACAGATGCATCTGTGAAGAAGGCTGCATCGGCCCATTCGAACTCTCTGCAGAAGTCGTTTAGGTTCTCGGTGACAATGGTTTTCACATTATTGTCAAATTCATAAACTGTTTTTTCTAGCTTGTCACAAGGTGCTTCAAAAATGCTATCGATGTTGTATAGATTTTCGATTGCACTGTTATGAGTAGTTCTAGAATACGGATTAATTTTTATTAATGATCTTAGCCTGTAGGCCGTTTTCATGGCCTCGGCTTCGATATAGTCTTCCAGTTTTGGCAAATTGAGTAATGCGTCTAGCGCTGCTTGTGGAGTGGTGCTCATTGCACCAGTCATACACATGCATGCGACGCGTTGTAGGTGATTGAGTTTTTGTCTGATTGCTGCACTTTTGGTCCCTTGCCACCAAATGAAAGCTCCATACGCCAACATTGGTTTGACAATTGCCGTGTACAGCCAGAGGATACACTTTGGCGATAGGCCCCAAGTTTTTCCTATAGCCGCTCTGCAGCTCCAGAACACTCTAAGACATTTATTAATTCTTTCCTCAACGTGTTTGCTCCAATTTAGTTTCGAATTCAATGTAATTCCAAGGTATTTCACCTCATTTTTCCTTTCGATTTCTGCACCGAAAAGAATTGGGTTACGATATCCTTCAAATTTTCGATTTTTCGTAAATATCATCGTTTCTGATTTAGTTGGGTTAACCATTAGACCAACCTTTGTACACCACTGTTCCACCAATTTGATGGCAGCCTGTGTTCTCTCGGTTAGGGTGCTAACGAATTTACCCCTGCAACTGATTTGCAGATCATCTGCGTATCCCGTCGCACTAAATCCTTTGTTGTGTAATTCTTTGATTAAACTATTCATGACCACAATCCTGTGACGTCTTACTGGATTTTATTTCTTGTGAACTTCATATGCAAACCTTCATTGTCAAAGAATTAATTACAGACTTTTCTACGTCATGAATTATCGTAGGCAATTTTGGGACACTTTGTAAAATGAGAGAAAACTAATAATAACTAATAATAAAATGCATTACATTCAAGTTATATGCAGCTAGAAAGAAATTCCCATACACTGAACTACCTAAGCCATATTCCTTTGCCAATCTACATGCTGACGTTTTTAACCTGTTCTCATTAGTCCTATGGAAAGAATATGCAGTGGATATGAAGCGAAACATGATTTACGTTTTGGCGGAAAATCTGGCACAAAATAAACAGTATGCTCATTGCTTACCTGTTTGAAATGTATGGCCCTTTGTATTTTATGATTCAGTTGGGGTGTTTGAAGACCTACAACAGCGTATATATATACAAACATTATACACATATTCATGTCGATTTTCAAGTTATTGTTTCATATCATGATTTCATGGGAAAAAAATTGGAAAAATTGTGTTGATTTTTTTTCAATCTTAGACATTTTAAGGGTGTATCTGTTGGCGAAACGGTTTTGTTCCAAATTGTCATTCCATTAATTAACAATAAGAATAAAATATTTATTATATTAAAAAAATAATTGCGATTTTATAATTTGGTTATTGAAAAAATATTTTTTCACCTAAATGTACTTACATTTTCGACTACATCCCACTCTCTCTCTATCAATTGAAATGCGAAACAATCTCAGTGACTGTTTTGTAATCCAAGTAACCAGAATATGTCTTCATGCACATGTGCATGTTTCGATCGATATTTTTTTTCCTGAAAACGAAAAGAAACAAATCGCAAAACAGATGCATACACGCACATACGAAGAACGAAAGAAACAGAATGAACAAAGAAGAAATATGTAAACAAACGAAAAGCTTCTTCAGTTGTATGTGGCAAAACTCAATCACATCTCAGCGAAGGAAAAAGAATAGAATATTGGAATGTTCAGTACCTGTAAAAATCCACCGATTATTCCTTGGTACTTTAATAGTTGTAGACAGCAGGTAAAAAGTAGTACAAGTAGTTGCTCGCCTAACAAAGGGTTCGACCTTTGCTCTCTACATCTCAACATTCGACCAATTTTCAAAATGTATTTCATTTTTTCTTCAGTCGCATCACTACAGTGAGAGAGTTTAGTACAGTTTCAAAAATGAACGAATATCAAAAATTAAAGAAATTCAATATTCACAACATAAATGTGAAAAATATTCTCGATATCAGAATAGTATCAGTGGTTGCAGTGCTTTCAACGCTATTATCGTTGTGGCATTCGGAAGTGTTATATGAACATGTGCAACAAACTACTAAGCCGCATTATCCAAAATTAGAATTTGCAATTTCAGTATTGAATTAATTACAAAAAAATGAGCCAAATGTCAATAGTTTTTATTCGCCGCATAGTGTGTATCAGGCACTCTTATTAACTTACTTTGTTGCTGCTGGCAAAACGAAGAAAGATCTCGAAAAAGTATTAGGTTTAATGGATTGGGTCGAAAGTAAAGCTGAAGTTGAATATAGATATAAATTCGAAAACGATCTTCGAATCGAACAATCTCAAAATGAATCTATTGAATTTATTTCTGTTAATAAATTATACGTTTCGAACAGAATCAGTATAAGGTAAGAAACAATTTAAATCACACATTATTTTCATTTTTGAAAAAAAAATAAATTGTCTTACATTCGTAAGATGAACTTTTCTTCACTGTTATCAAATTTTCTTTTATTTACTGAACGAATAATTGCATTACCAAAAGTGTAATTATTTTCATAGCAAAAAACAGACGTAGAATCCAAAACATACAAAATGTTTTGTGTTTGCCTGGAAATCAACAAAATTTGTATGGGAGCTATGCTTATTTCTTGTCCAGTCGTAATGAAACTTTCCAAAACTCATTTTTTTATGAAAAAAAAAGTAGT